GCCTCCTGCACACCCCCGACCGGGGATGTGCCTGCAACCAAGGTTTATGCCCTTGACCAGAATCGAACCCGGGACCCTTCAATGGCAGGCTGACGCTCTATCCACTGAGCCAAACCGGTTTCGGCTTCATCTGTTTTATATACCACGCCAGGTACAGACTGTGCTGCCTCAAATGGAACTGGGCAGTTCTAAATATTATTTGTTGCTAAATGTTAAAATATTGCAGTGTTTTGCAGATGCAGCAATAAAACAAGATGAGTTGATAGGAACTCAACCACATGGAAGTAGCCAACCGCAAAGAAAAGAACAGAACAAAAAGAAATCAACATGTAATTAACTAAATGCCTCCAGAAAGCAGAGCATTGGACATGAATCCTGGGTCTTCTTTACTCGATCAAAGTTGTAAAACTGCCTTGTGGCAGCCACATCCGGTTCTTAAATGGAGCACCCCCAGTAGTGAACCCTTAGCGTTCAGTTAACAGCACTTCCAAGCTGATGCCTACAAGCGATGGTACCTTTTTGGAAAAGAATGATAATTATGGTGTAAGGAACGCATGCACAGTTGAACAGGACTAGCAGCTTGCTGCTGAGTCAGAACCAACAACCTGTGTGTGAATGGAAGTGTAAAGAACATTAGTATTGGTTATACAGTGTTGTTAATAAGAGGGGGTATAGCTCAGGGGTAGAGCATTTGACTGCAGATCAAGAGGTCCCCAGTTCAAATCTGGGTGCCCCCTTTTTTAAGAGTCTCTTTTCCTGTTTGATCTAAATGGACAAAACCAGTTTTATGCAGGCCATACTGTAGTCTGCTTCTAGGAGAAGACTGGCGAGAGCCTAGGAAACAGCACGTTTGTGGCCATCCCTTCTTATTCGGAATCCAGGGAGGTGCTAAGCACAGCCTTAAAGACCATGGGCAAGTCTAAATGTATCCTCAATACCTTCTTTGAGGGTCTGTTTCCTGGAACCCCAATGATACTGAGTTAAGGCTCATCCAGGGTCCGTCCAGACACAAAAACTGAGCCAGTTATGGGTGATAAAAGTGAAGGAATTAAGGAGACACACACATACACAAACCACCCATAGATACAGACAATAGTATGATGATTCCTGGAGGGATAAGGAAGTAGGAGAGGGTAAAGGGGGAATAAATGGTCATGGAAGGAGACTTGACTTGAGGTGGTGAACACACGATTCAATATATTGTTGATGTATTATAAAATTGTACATCTGAAATTTATATGGTTTTATTAGCCAATGTCACCCAATAGATTCAATTTAAAGAAACTGAACCAGTTATTTTTTAACAGAATTTAATATAAATAATTGTTAACCAGTATATCAATTTCCGGTAGCTTCTGTAATAAAGTACCATAATGTGGGTGATATAAACAACAAACTTATTGTCTCACAGTCCTAGATGCCAGAGCCTGAAATCTGGGTGCCAGACAGGCCATGCCCTCTCCGAAGGCTCTAGTGGAAGGTCCCTCCTGGCCTCTTCCCAGCTTTCGGTGTTTGTTGGCAATCCTCAGCCTTCCTTGGCTTGTAGCTGCTGCATCATTTCAGTCGCTACCTCTGTCTTCATCTGGCTGTCTTCAGCCTGCATGTCTCTTCTCTTCTTGTGACACCAGTCACATTGGGTTATGGGCTCACCCACACCATGGAAATCTCATCTTAAATAATTCCATCTTTGAGGACACATTACAAATGAGGATATATTCCTGCACAAGGGGGCTGTAGGGACGCTACAAATTCAGCATGTCTTCTGGGGGACACAATTTAATACACAATAACCAGGAATTCGAAGTAAAGGGGCAGGAAGGGAAGACTGAGTATCATGGAGGTACTTTCTGTAGAAGCAGCCACCACTCCGGGGGTGGGACAAACACAAGAGGACAAACTTGGTAAGTCTTACCAGCTTGAGGACTACCTCTGGGGACCAGGGACTCAGATCTGTAAGGTGATGCTACTGTCACTGAAGAGTCATGATGAAGCTGGGCCTCTGAGCACCACACTGCATGTGGCAATCACTGTTGCTACTGGATGGATGGTGGCTGCCAGGTGACACTGACAGGAACCCAAAGCAAGTGCTTCTTCCTGCTCCAACCTTCCATCTCATTTTGCAGCTCTGCTGGCAGGACCAGCCAGGAAGCCGCCTGGCGAAGGACAGCTTGGTTTACAGAGGCTCCAACCCAGCATCCCAGAGCAGAGCACAGAAAGGTGGACGTGGAACCTGGAGACTGTCATTTGTTCATCTCCCCCAGCGGTTAAAAGGCTGACTGTATGGAGATTCAGGCCGGGGGTGGGGTGAGCATTGGGCAGAGAGCTCTGATCTGTAGCCAGTCAAGTGTGTCTCTCTTTGAGGTGCTCCGTGCTTGGTCAGGCCATGAGGCATTTTGAGTCTGTTTTCAGATGCTCTGCACAAAGACTACTATGTAGATGTGAGTGTGGATCCTTTCAGCTGTCAGGGAGGGCTCCCCATATTACTGCTCTCCTCTAGGGACTGAAGGTGGAGAGGTTGTGGAGCTGTGGGAGAAGGGAACCTATTGCTTCTTTTAATGTGGGGAGAGGAGTTAGCATAAAGCAGGTCTGGCAACTCAGCCAAGCTATGTGGACGAAGTATCTGGTACAGAAGCTCTGGGTGTGGCCACACAGGGAAAGGGTGTTTATTGGGCATCACTGGTATGGCAGGGGGTATAGCTCAGGGGTAGAGCATTTGACTGCAGATCAAGAGGTCCCCAGTTCAAATCTGGGTGCCCCCTAGCATTTTAGTCTCAATGGTCATAAAGGAGTTCCAGTTTCCTCTCCTCTTTCTGAATCTGATCTCTAGTCTTCCTGGAAAGGGGAAAGAAACTGAGGAGGCCCTTCCCGCCCAGAGCAGGGCAGCTCTGCTCAGATGTGTTTATCCCACTGCTCTGATCTTCCCACTGTCCCCTCACCTGGCCCCTGCTCTCTAATATGAACTTGATCTCCTGGCTGAGGTTGAGGATTCTGACCTTTGCAAGTAGCCAGAGAGAAGCCTGGGATCACTTACAAAAGAACAATAGTTGGACTCCCGGTTGACTCCTCAATAGTTACAAAGAAAGCCAAAAGACAGTGCAATAGCACATTACATATGTTGAGAGAAACAACTGTTAACTCTGAATTCTATTCCCAGCTAAACTGCTCTACATTCGAAGATCAGAGTTTACACCAACAGACCCTCACTAAAGAAAACATTAAATATATACCTCGGAGAAAAGAAAAATGATCCCAGATGGGAGGTCTGAAATATAAGAAGGAAAGCTAAATAAGGAAATTGTAAGTTATGTAAGTAAATCTAAAAATCATTGACCAGCCAAAATCAGTTATGCTCAGTGGAGTGTCGGCCTGTGGACTGAAAGGTCCCAGGTTCGATTCTGATCAAGGGCATGTACCTTGGTTTCAGGCACATCTGCAGACTGACGCTCTATCCACTGAGCCAAACCAGCTAGGGCATGAGTACAATCTTAAATCTACTCCTAGAGTCGGGACCAGTTTGGCTCAGTGGATAGAGCGTCGGCCTGCGGACTGAAAGGTCCCAGGTTCGATTCTGGTCAAGGGCATGTACCTTGCTTGTGGGCACATCCCCAGTAGGGGGTGTGCAAGAGGCAGCTGATCAATGATTCTCTCGATGTTTCTAACTCTCTGTCCCTCTCAATTCCTCTCTGTGTAAAATCAATATATATATATATATATTTAAAAATCTACTCCTGGAAACATGTATGTTCTTGAAACTGCACAAAACTTCAGTTTATGAAATGGCTTCATTGAAATGCCATCACCATCCAAAAAATTTTGAAGATTAAGAATTAAAAAGGAGTAGTCTTTTTACCCTAATAAGTTCCTATTAGAGGAAGGTCCATTTAATAAATTGATAGCAATGTTACCATATTATATTGGCAGAACTACACTTGCTGGCTAAAGAAGCTCAGTTGAAAATACCTTTTTTAGTAACGTCCCTGTTTAATGGAGGTATCCAGCAGTTGAAAGGGCTGTGAAATTACTGTTCTTGCATGAAGGTCAACTTTAAAAATTTTAAATCATTTTTAATAGTAAAGTTATAAAAATTAATTTCCTTCCCAAGAAAATTCAGAGTTTTTTCCTTTTTCTCCCCCTAGAAGTTCATTCTGTCATGGTGATAGTTTGATTCATAGAATTGCAATTTTTAATTGCCAAACATTCCATTTGACCAAAATGCATATTCAGGTGTATTGGACTTACATGCTGCTGCACGTGTAGCTGTTTTCTAAAAATAGCTCAGGATATAGGTGCCCCAACAGGATGGTTCTCATACTTTAGTGACTTATGCACTTTGCTATGGACAGTGGTGACTTGATTCGGTTGTTGAAACAGGTTTAGGTGGCCTCTGATTCGTGCTCATGATCACGTGTGAAATGAGGGCTTCACTGGAAACTCCTGGTCACGTGGCTGTCAACCGGAAACACACGACCTCCACAGAGAACACGTGTTTCCTTCCAGTCAGTCACCTCGGACCTAGCAAACCATAACCTCAATGATCCGGAAGGACTGCTGTGCACTAGCTTTTTGACCCTAACGCGGGCCACGAGGGATGTGAACCACTTCATCTTGGCTGCCACATGTGCAATTTATGCAATTTATGCACGTCCTCCTCCTCACAGCCGCGCGTCCCTGTGCCACCCATTCCAGCCAGCAGCCTCCCTGGCACCCGGCTCCCGCGCTGCGCCCTTGTCCGCCTTTCGGAATCGGGCTGCCTCCCGCCTCCCTGCAGGCGGTGCCTGCTTATTGGACCTTCAGCAAGAAAACACTCCCCTGACGAGCTCTGGTTTGCGGCTGCGCCCCACGCTGCAAGCTGCGGAGACTCCCGAGTGTGAGAAAACGCCACACGTGGTTCCTAGAGCAACCACCTCGCTGGAGCCCAGACGGTCCGGCCGCCGGGCGAGTGTCCGCCGGGCCGGCAGGGGGCGCGCTGCGCGGAGGGGGGGGAAGGCGGGCGGCGCGTCTGGGCCGCGGCCGTGCCCGGCGTGCGCTCGGTGCCCTCAGAGCGCCAGCTGAGGGGCCGCTGGGGGCCGAGCGAGGCGAGCTTCCCCGTCACCCGAGCCCCTCAGGCCGGCGGCCCTGCCCCTGCCGCGTCCCCGCGCCCCCAGCAGCCGGGCCCGACGGCCGCGCGAGCCTGGGCGCGGAAGACAGGTCGAGCGGTTGCCGTCTGTGAGGGTCCGCGCGGCGGCGGCGGCGGCGGCGGCGACCGGAACGACTGCGGCCCGGGCCGGGCCGGACGGCGCAGAGCCATGGCCGAGGCGGCCCCAGCTCCGGTAAGGGCGCCTCGGGCCCTGGCGCCGGCCCCGTGGGCATGGAGAAGGGCGGGAACCGGGGCCTGTCAGGGGCGCAGCCCGAGCGGCGGAGCCTGGGGTTCGGGTCTGGGCGGGCTCGCCTCCCCGGGCTTCCGGAGGCCGCCCTCGGGGGGAGGCCCGCGGCTCCCAGCCCAGCGGAGGTTTGTTTCTTCTGTGTCAGCCCGGCCGCCGGCCGGACGCAGGGCGCTGGGCTCCCTGTGGCGTTGCCATGGGCCATTCGACAGCTCTGGGCGCGTGCATCCTCACAAAGTCTCCCTCGGTGCAGCCCCCTGAGCCTCTCAGCCACAGATGCGGGGGACAGGGAGCCCCCGGGCCCAGCACGCGGCAGGGCCCGTCTCCGTCAGCGCCCCCGGCGGGCTCACCTTCGTGTTTATTCTCGGGGTGTTGACCGCGGGGCCCGGGGCGCCAAGCTCTCCGCCTGCTGCTAGGGCTGCAGGCGACCCACTCAGCACCCAGCACCCAGGGAGAAGGAGCAGGGACTAGACAAGCTACTCGGGGCCGAAAAATACGCCTGGGATTTGCGAACTAAGGTTTTGGTCCCCACCCCCGAGGAGAGCAGTCTCAGTGGGTCAGGAGCCAGGCTGGGCTATTGAGGAGTGACTGGGAAATGAGAAAAGCAGAGGAAAAAGAGGAGGCAGGAACACTGAGGTGGGGAATGCCATCTCTGCTTTTTGGATCTTCTTTTCCTTTTCCAATCGTTTAAAAACATATGGTAGAGGGGTGAGCACGTGTGTGCCAGCTCTGGCCAATAGAAATACAGCGGAAGCCACGTGTGTCACTTGGTATTTTCTAGTAGTCACATTTACAAAGTAAAGACAAATAAATGAAGTTGATGTATTTTATTTAACCCAGTGCATATGAAATGTTTCAAAATGTGGTCAAAAGTAAGGAATTGATCGAGTTTTGCACATACCCCCCTCCCCAATACTAAGTCTTTAAAATCTGTGTGTGTTTTTTATACTTACAGCACATAGTAAACAAAATAAGCACATTTCAAGTGCCCAGTAGCCATTGGTGGCTACCATATTGAACAATGCAAGTCTATCTTATGGAGAAGAAATGTTGGGGGGAGGGGGGATAGAACGTACCCAAAAAAGTGGAAGGAGTTGGCATTCAGAGCATGAAGTGGAGAGATTAGTTTTAAATATGATGAACCTTTTTCCTGTGGGAAGGAAAAAAGAAAGCATGGGTTAAGTTATTAATGAGTCTGAGGTGCATATGGGTGTGAAGAAAAAGGAGAATGTTCAGAGAGTTTTTACCTAATTTTTTTCCATGTCCTCAGAGCGTGAGGGGCTGGCCCTGCTGCAGCAGCAGTACCTGGGAGCTTGTGAAAAATGCAGATTCTCAAGCTTCCTCCCAGACCTCCCAAAACAAAGCCTGCATTTCAATGAACTCTCCAGATGATTCTTATGCACATTAGTTTGAGGATCGCTGTAGTAAAAGTGTGAGGAGAGTCAAAACCGGTTTGGCTCAGTGGATAAAGCTTCAGCCTGCAGACTGAAGGGTCGGGGGTTTGATTCTGGTCAAGGGCATGTACCTTGGTTGTGGGCACATCCCCAGTAGGGGGCGTGCAAGAGGTAGCTGATCAATGACTTTTTCATTGATATTTCTATCTACCTTCCTCTCTAAAAAAATCCATAAAATGTTTTTTGCTTTTTTTAAAGTGTAAGGAGAGGGCATGGGGGTTGTAGTGGCCACACATGGAATGGGAAAAGCAGTATGGGGTTGCCACCCAGTGTTGAGTCTGTGCTGAGCTTAGGGACCGTTGATGTGTGGTGACACCAGTTTTCCTGGTTCGGTGACTTACCAGCCTGCTTGCAGAAACAGAATGAGAACTCTCAGGACTGATTACAGCCTGGAGGTTAGCCCAGCAGATGAGGCAGAAAGACAGGGTTGAAAGTGGCTGAAGTGATCAGCTGAGGAGGAAAGCAAAGCTTGGAACAGTCTGATAAAACAGCAGCAAATGGACTGGTCAAGGGTTTAGTGGGAATGCAGAGCAGGTGAAATGAAAATAAGATAGGGCATGAGCTGAAGAAGTGGGAGGTTGTGGTCATAGAGCCGGTTACCATGGCCTCAGAAGTCTTTGTGGAAGTCATGCTCATCCAACCTCCTATTGTAGGAATTTTTTTTTTAATATACTGTTTCAATGTACATTCAGTGATGAGATAACCTGTTACTTTCTTAGAAGATCTAGTTCAAAAATTACTTATATAGACCAAAGTTTGCCTGCCTAAAAATTCCATGTTGTTCTAGTTCTGCCTTGTGGAGTAATACAGTATTAACATTAAACAATTCTGTTTTATAACTCTCTAGACTCAACTTTCAAAGCTTGTTCAGCTATTACTGAATAGTATGGTTGTGAGTTTTTTGTTTTTTTAAACAACTATGTTTTAATTTCAGATAGAAAGAGAGAGAGACAGAAACATCAATAATGAGAGGGAACCTTGGATCAAAGCCACCCCCCCCCCCCCACCTTCCCCCACACTGGGGATCCAGCCGGAAACCCAGGCATGTGCCCTGACCAGAATCGAACCACAACCTCATGGTTCAACCACTGAGCCACACCTGCCAGATACATGGTTGTGGTTTGTAAGAAGGGTGATGGACAGGGCCAGAGTCCACGTCAGTAAGCACGCTGAACTGGGTGAGACCTGGAAAGTTCCTGGGGCATGTAGGACTTCATGTGGGCCTTTCCCACTAACAGAGAATGCAGCGGCAACCTTGAGCCTGAGAACAATTGGCTAAAGTTCCTTACATCTAGGGAATATGCCAGGCTGATTGATTCTTGATCTAGTTTCACGCACTGTCTTGACCTAATCCATCCCTGACCCATCAAAGCAGTTCTCTTGACTTTTGATGCTGATGAGCTCCATGAAGATGAGGGGTATGCAGGCAGTACTCAAACTGTGTTTAGATGACCCCCAGATAGCCAGTGAAGCAGTTCTTATCTCGATTAAGTTTGGATTAGGGCCTCTTCTAACACTCAGTGCCTTGTCTCATCTCTCCACTGCACACAGACTTCTGAATGGGATTCCGAATGCCTTACGTCCCTACAGCCCCTTCCCCTCCCCACACCCCCGGGAGCAAACGAGGCACACCTGCAGACTGCAGCCATCTCCCTGTGGACAGTGGTGGCCGCTGTGCAGGCTATAGAGAGAAAGGTGGAGGTGCACAGCCGGCGGCTCCTGCATCTAGAAGGACGGACAGGGACAACAGAGAAGAAGATGGCCAGCTGTGAAAAAACAGTGGCTGATCTCGGGAACCAGTTGGATGGCAAGTGGGCCGTGCTGGGGACCCTGCTGCAGGAGTACGGGCTGCTGCAGAGGCGGCTGGAGAACTTGGAGAACCTGCTGAGGAACAGGAACTTCTGGATCCTGCGGCTGCCCCCGGGTGTTAAAGGAGATATCCCAAAGGTAGTGCTTCACGTCTAGATGGAGGGTTCAATCCTTAGGAAGGGATAGTCTTGGGAACCTTGACCTTGTGTTACGTTTATCTATTTGGGAAGTATTTCACGCTCAATTTAGCAGATCATTTGAAGTGTCAAGCTTTAGATTGGAAAACTTTCCAATACAAAATTGGAAATCTGACAGGTGGATTTTTCCCCTCTTTTGCTTTCTTTTATTCATTATACCCAAATCACTTTTTCTTTGTTTACCTGTCTGCCACAACCTTGGTTAAATATCATTAAACCAGACTATTTTAATTTATTGGCAATTCTGGTGAAAAAGTTAGACGGAGAACAAGGGAAGGGACGTAGAGTAAATGGTTAATGTAAGGGTTTCTGGTGATTTGTAGGCCTAAGGTTGATGTAGACTCTGTCCTTCAGCTCCTTTACAGAAGTGTTCTGCTGTGCTGGAGCCCAGCCTTTCTGAACGGAATAGCCATTATTTTTAAGCTATGGAAGACAGCCTTGAGGCAGCTTGTTCCCAACCATGCCTGTTCATTCATTCATTCATTCATTCATTCAACAAATATTTCCTGAACACTTACTCTTTTGCTTGACATCTGCTCCCTGAAGGCATAGCAATGAACAATTCCTATAAACTCTTCTGGAGTTTAAGTTTTAGCAAAGAAAGAAAGTTAATATAAACAAACAAGAAAATGATTATATTTAAGTGCTTTGACAAAAATGAAGGCGCTATCTGATGGTTTATTTTAGATTGGCTGTCAGAGACAGTCTCATAAAGGAGCTAAAATTTAGGCTGAGACTCATTAACAGGAAGGACCCAACTGTGAGAAGTTCTGAAGAAGAGCTTTCTGGCAAAAAGAATACCTAGGGGGAGTAAGAAGGCCAGTTAGCAGGTGTGCAGCAAATAATCGGAAGCGTGACTAGAAGAGCGAGTAGAGTAGTGTTTTTCAACATAGGCATCGCTTATATGGTTTTAAATTTTAGATGGACATCTCACCTTGAGATTCAGATTTAATAGGTCCAGATGGGACCTAAGCATGAATAATTCTTAGAGCTCCATCACTGATTCTAATATGTATTAGATTTGTGAACCAAAGGTTTAGGGCATTGGAGACCAAGGTAAGGAATTTGGATTTTACCTTAATACTCTAGGGAATAAATTGGAGGGTTTTAAACAGAGGAGAACATCTGGTATACATTTTGAAAGAATCGCTTTGGCTGCTCTGTGGAAAATGGATCATGGCGGTAAGAACAGAAATGGAGAAAAAAGGCAGTTGTAATATTTGGGGGGATGAGAGTAGCTTGGATGAATGTAGCAGTAATGGAGCTGGAGACAAGTGGACAGATTAAGGATGTTTTGATGATAGGGCTTAATGGTGAGAATTAGAGAATGAGGAGTTAAGAATAATAATTTACTGTTCTAAGTGTTTCCATCATTTTCATAAGAACCTTTACATGTCCAAGATCATGTTGTTACTAGGTATAAATAATGGAGTTGTATTTAGCCCAGAGTATATGCTCATAGAGACCTTAGGTTCACTGACACTTAGGCTTAGAGAACTGGATGGATGATGTTGACATTTCCTGAGATGGGACTATCTTGGGGTAGGAAGGAGTTAGGAGTTCTCCTTTGGCAGGTTTGGGATACCTGTGACACATTCAGGAGAGGTGTTAAGTGGTCTCTGAAGCTCAAAGGTAAGAAATATTTGGGAATTATTGATGTACAGATTGCAGTATAAATCACGAGCCTGGAGTGGTTACCGCAGGAGAGAAAGTAGAGAAGCAAGAGAACAAAACTCCAGGGGTGGGAGGAGTGGCCATGAAGTAGGAAAGGGAACAAAACGGAAGTCTGTGGAGTCCCAAGGACGAGGAGAAAAAGTGTTTCTAGGAGAGAATTGCCATCTGAGTTGAGTATGTTGCTGAAAGGTCTAGAAAGATGAGGATATGATTTGGCAACATCGGCTGGTGACCTTGATAAGAGTTGTCTCAGTGTGGTGATGGAGATAGAAGACTGAATGGAACAGGTTGAAGAGTGAACAGCAAAGGGAGAAATGGAAAAAATGACAGTAATTGACTTTCAAAGAAGAGGTACTTTGGAGGATCTCAGAGTCAGTGTCTGATGGAGAGCCTTCCCCACAGTGTGTTTTATTTTGTGTGTGTGTGTGTGTGTTGTTTGTTGTTTTTTTGGTTAATCTTCAGCCAAGGATATTTTTCCATTGATTTATAGCAAGAGTGGAAAAGAGAAGGAAAGTCAGAAATATTGATGTGAGAGAAACACACCGATCGGTTGCCTCCTGCACAAGCCCTGACCAGGGCCTGGGCCAGGGAGGAGCCTGCAACCAAGGTATGTGCCCCTGACTGGAATCGAACCCAGGACCCTTTGGTCCACAGGCCGAGGCTCTATCACTGAGCCAAACCAGCGAGGGCCCCACAGTGTGTTTTACTTTTATTTGGAGACCCTCCAAAAGTTCTTTTGGATAGCTTAAACTTAGCATTTGTCATAAGAATAGCAGAAAGGGTAAGTTAAAGTTACTTATTGTCTTCCCTGGGTAATGGGTAACATTTAAACCGTCCATCTTAAATTCTGAATTCCATAATAATAAAAGGGTAATATGCTAATTAGACTGGGCGTCATTTCAGACATCCTTCCTGACAGTTGGGGTCAGAGAGAAGCCAGCCGGGGTCCATGTACCTTGGGCAGCCTGAAGGAAACATCCCGGGACCTGGTGCCAGCAGCCAGGGGAAGGAAGGCCTACTTTTGTACGAATTTCTGTGCATCGGGCCTCTAGTCATATATTAAATGATGTTATTTCTCTTAAAGATTTATTAATGAAATTATATATATTGCAGATTTGCTAGATTGGTATATGGGAAGTAAAATTTTATGTCCTTGTTTAGTTGAAAATGTTTTTATTTTGCCCTTTTGAATTCCAAGTTCAAAATAATTGTTCCTCAGAAAACTTGTTAATTTTTAAAATTGTGGTTAACCATACATAAAAGTTACCATTTTAACCACGTTTAAGTGTACAGTTCAGTGGCATTAAGTACATTTACATTGTTGCCCAACTGCCACCATTCATCTCCAGAACTTCCCAAACTAAACAACAACTATATTCCCGTTAAACACTATCTCCCCTTTTCCCCATTCCCTGCCCCCCACCATTCTACTTTATTCTTCTGTGAATTTAATGACTCTCATACAAGTGAATCATACAATATGTGTCCTTTTGTGACTGGATTATTTCACTAACCTAGTCTCTCCTGGTTCATCCATGTTATAGCAAATCAGAATTTCCTTCCTTCTTAAGGCTGAATAATACTCAGTTTTTCTCGGGATTTTAAAGGCATTGGTCCTTTGTCTCACAACATCAAATGCAATCGATGAAAAGTTTACTACCCAGTTGATTCTCATTTGTTTGTAAGGTATCTGTGTGTGTTTTTTCTCTCTAGAAGCTTTTATCTTCTATTCATACTGGTTTTTCTAAAGTTTATTGAGGATATGTCTGCATGTAGGTTTTGTTAAATTTGTAATAGGCAGTTGTCGTGGCCTTTCAATCAGAAGTCTGGGACATTTTCTTCTATAAAACTAGATTTATAATATTTCATCCCCTACCCATTTTTTTCTATTAATATTTTCATCGTAGAACTAATTTGACAGGTGATGGATTATTGTATTTGTACTTTAACTTTTCCTTCATGTTTTTCTTTTTGAACATTTTTATTGATTTTTAGAGAAAGGAGAAGGGTTTTTATATATATATTTTAGAGACCCAATGCATGAAATTCATTAAGAGTAGGTCTTCCTTCCCCCGGCTGCCAGCACCAGCTTCCCTCGAAGCCTCAGCTTCATCCAGAAGGACTTCAGGTCTAACTAGCACACCCGCTTTTATTATTTTAGATTTTTTTTTCTCCCTTTATCCTTTTCACTTTTTTAGAGTTCTGTGACCTCCCTTCTAGCCTTTCTAATTTTTATTTGAACAATTATGTATTTTTCAAGAATATTTATTTTTCTGGTCCTTTTTAGCCAAAACCAGTTTGGCCAGTGGTAGAGCGTCGGTCTGCGGACTGAAAGGTCACAGGTTCGATTCCAGTAAAGGGCATGTACGTTAGTTGCAGGCACATCCATCACCCCCCCCCCCTCGTGGGAGGTGTGCAGGAGGCAGCTGGTCGGTGTTTCTCTGTCATCGACGTTTCTACCTCTCTCCCTTCCTCTCTGTAAAAAATCAATAAAAATATTGTTTTTTAAAAACAGCCTGAATTTTTTAAATGGATGCAATATGTGTTTGAATTTCCCTGGGACTGTGTGTTAGAGTTTGTTTGGTTTTCAGTTTACTGGGTTTTTTTCCCCCTTCTAGAATGGTTTGCGGTATTTACTCATCTTGGTGCTATTGGTTTTTATATTGCGTAATCCTCGATTACATATTCATATTTGTAAGTAGAGGATTCCATTGATTAATAGGTTAATTATAGGAAGCTGGCATGTCTTCTCAGCCACTGCATAAATCTGTTGATTCAAAGGGTCTTCCCTTTGCAGGACAGGGTTAGGTCTGTAGGTGCTCCATATAGATGGGCTTCACTCTAAGGCTCTGTGGCAGGGAGTAAATGGGCAGTGCAGGGACCTCCCAGAGGCCAGGCGGAAGATGGTACCAGTTGTCAGCCCATAGGAATCCCATGCTGTCTCCAGGCAGGTGAGGAAATTTCTTTACAGGGGAGGTTTGTGGTTTCAGTTTTGTGGTAAAGGCTGCTGCCAAGGCTGATGAGGATGACAATGGGGGGCCCACTATTCTAAAGATAGATCTTCAAACTGCAGTTTATCATCACTTGGATTCCTACTCAATGCCAGCTTTCAGCTTGGAATTCTCTGGGTTCCTCATCTGCAGTCCTTTCCCATCTGCAGGGAGGTCCGCTTCCTCATGCACCTTAGACCCCAGCAGGAGCCCGTCCTCCAGGTCTCAGTAAGAAACTCATCAAGAATTCTGATCTAGCCGAAACCAGTTTGGCTCACTGGATAGAGTTTTGGCCTGCAGACTGAAGGGTCCCAGGTTCGATTCCGGTCAAGGGCATGTACCTTGGTTTCGGGCACATCCCCAGTAGGGGGTGTGCAGGAGGCAGCTGATCGGTGTTTCTCTCTCATTGATGTTTCTAACTCTCTCTCTCTCTCCCTCTCTGTAAAAAAATCAATAAAATATATTAAAAAAAAAAAAAAAAGAATTATGATCTAGCCGAAACCGGCGTGGCTCAGTGGATAGATCATCGGCCTGCTGACTGAAAGGTCCCAGGTTCGATTCTGTCAAGGGCATGTACCTTGGTTTCGGGCATAGCCCCAGTGGGGGGTGTGCAGGATGCAGCTGGTCGATGTTTCTCTCTCATTGATGTTTCTACCTCTCTATCCTTCTCAATTCCTCTCTGTGTAAAATCAATAAAATATATTTTTTTTTAAAAAGAATTCTGATCTATAATGGGGGAATAAGGACACATGTAATACCTTAATTAATAAAGAAATTTAAAAAAAATAAAAAGAATTCTGATCTAGTGATGGCCTTTCCTTCTCATTCTTGGTGCTGTTTGTAGATACAGTCCCTCGTGATCTTACATACTGTCATGTCAGTGGAACTCTGAGAAGGAAGGGAAGTACATGTGTGCTTAGTTCAAAACCTTGAACCAGAAGCCCATCCTGATCCTTTATTTTTGTCATTATTTTATCATCTGTATTTTTATTATAAGCTATTACAAATCTTTTGTGTAGCGAGGTTAGATTAAAATAAACTATTGAGTATCTACATTTGCCCTAAGACCAATTTTAGGTGCTGAGCAAGATGTAAAAATGCGCCCAGCGAGGATGGCTCAGTGGTTGAGCATCAACCTATGAATTAGGAGGTCGCAGTTTAATTACCAGTCAGGGCACATGCCTGGTAATTGTGGGCTTGATCCCCATTGTGGGGCATGTAACAGGCAGCTGATCAATGACACATTCTCCTCATTGATGTTTCTCTCCTTTTCCCTTTCCATCTGAAATCAATAAAAAAATACATTTTTTAAAAATAATGTAAAAATGAGCAATTTGTGGCTTTAGCCTATTTATAATCTACGTGTCCTTTAAGACTAGTTAGAGTCCTATCACTTCTAGACTCACCACAGCCCAGTATAGCTATTCCCGAAATTTCTTGTTCATGTCATTAATTTGAATACAGTTAAGCACTCCTTTTGAGCAGAAAGCTTATTTTTATAATTCTGGGGCTTTGAATAGGCTTAGTACTTAGTGAGTATTCAGAATATGTTATGTTGTGTGAATTAATGCTGTTTCTCATTTTTACCTATCTCTGAGTGACTGTAACCTTGAAGCTTATATTACCTTTCTCCTTGAAAACATTGTAAACTCTTGGAGGTTGGATCTGTGTCTTAACTTTTTTTCCTGTAACCTTTCAGCAGCTCACATAGTTTTTTTTTTTTATAACTAGAAGGCACTTAGAATAGGTTTATTGAATGAATTGCAGTGGGAGGGACTAACCCCAGTGTCATTGTAATTGCAGGTGCCTGTGACATTTGATGATATTTCCATCTACTTTTCCACTCCAGAGTGGGAAAAGTTAGAAGAATGGCAAAAGGAACTTTACAGGAATATCATGAAGGGCAACTACGAGTCTCTCATCTCTATGGGTGAGCTGAGTTGGCACCTTGTGAGAAGGTGATAGCAGCCCCAGGAGGTCTCAGAACAGTCCCTTTCCTCCAGTAGTCCTCATTTTCATGTTGTCCTTACACACTTCAGATTCTGCTTCCAGGCCACGGATATCCAGTTCACCCTTGCTAAATAGGAAATATAATTTCTCTTTGTGCCAAACAGGCAGTGAATGAAGCTCAGAGCTATGCAGTGGTTTCCGTGGGTAACCTTCACTTTGGGAGAGCCTTGATTCCTCCCCTTGAGACACACTATCACTCTTACTTAATGAAAATAGCAAGTAGGTTGTGCCAAAATAGCCTGTGTGCTTTTCCCACACGTTACCTCTCCTCTTAATATTTTCCTAATGGATATAGTTGGAGGTGAATGGATGGGGAGATGAGATCTCTAATTTAAAAGAGATCTGCTTGGCCTGTGGACCCAAAGCCTTCAGCTCCCCTTGGCCAGTTTCTCAATGGTTAGCACAAGTTCGATCCCCGGCTCCAGTCTGGGAGGCAACCAATTGTGTTTCTCTCACATCGATGTTTTCCCCGCCTCCATCCCCCCAACCCCTTCCACCACCACCACCCCCCTTTCCACTCTCTTTAAAAAAAAAAATCAATGGAAAAAATAATCTTTAATCTGGGTTAAAAATTAAAAGAAAGAAAACTTCAGTTCCACCTTGATGGTAATTAGTTGTCATTCTGACTTATCTCTTTCTTATACCCCCTTTCCCTTCTTATTCCTAGATTATGCCATGAATCAGCCTGATGTCTTATCTCAGATTCAGCCAGAAGGAGGACATAATACGGAGGATCATGCAGGGCCAGAGGAAAGTGCGATTCCCACTGACCCCAGTGAAGGTAAGTGAGAGGAAAGATTCGCCACTCCCTGTCTCCCTGTAAACCTGTCACCTAGATTTTACTTGATCAGAGATGATGGCTTAGGACTTGAGAGACCACCTTGTCTTATGTTTTCATCCATCAATACACACATATGAGGACTGCTAATTGCATCCCATGATGAAGGTTGTGAACCCTAGTTATGTCCTCAGATGGCAGAGCAAGCAGTGGTGCTCATTTGGAAGGAAAGTGGCTTCCTGGGAATGTACACCTGGTCATTGTGCTGGAGGGGCGGGATCTTCCGGGTCCCTCAGAGATGGACTCGACCAAATGTTGCCCAGTGTGGGAACCAGCTATCGTTGAGTAACCATCCCTAATATATTTTTTGTTAAGCTGCTTGATTTTGTGTGGGAAAGACTGCTAGTCCACCTCTGCTAGTAGAAAAATCTCACCCCATTTTTGTTCTTTGCTGGATAGAAAGCTCACAGAAACTTCATCTTCTAGATGTCTCTACTAGATGAATGTCTCTTACAACTTTACCCCTGTCTCATATACTGTTATTTTATTCTAATATTTTATTACAAAAAATTTCAAGCAATTAGAAAGGTAATTTTACATCAAACTCCTAGGTTCCTGTCACCTAGATTTTACCTAGTGGTAAGAAAAGCCCCTCAAGTCTGTCTATACATTTTATAGTTTATTACATATATACCATCTCTACACCCCTCTATTCATCATCAATTCATCAATTCTATTTTCATTATATTTAAAAATCAGTAGAGACATCAACACCTGTCCCTCTTTGTAGTTTAGCATGAATATCATTAATCTAGAGTTCAGTTTTGTTTGTTTTGGGGTTTTTTTTTAGTAAATTTTAAATATAATGAAATGCTCAAATCTTAAGTGAACATTCTTTCTGTGGTAAGGATATATCTGCCACACATTATTTTATTTTTAAGAATGTGTGAATTGCCGAAACTGGTTTGGCTCAGTGGATAGAGCGTCGGTTTGCGGACTGAAGGGTCCCAGGTTCGATTCCGGTCAAGGGCATGTACATTGGTTGTGGGCACATCCCCAGTGGGGGGGGTGCAGGAGGCAGCTGATCGATGTTTCTCTCTCATCGGTATTTCTAGCTCTATCTCTCTCCCTTCCTCTCTGTAAAAAAATCAATAAAATATATTTAAAAAAGAAAAGAAACATAGATGAGAAAGAATCATCGATCAGCTGTCTCTTGCATACCCCCTACTGGGGATGTGCCCGCAACCAAGGTACATGCCCTTGACCGGAATCGAACCCAGGACCTTTCAGTCCGCAGGCTGACGCTCTATCCATTGAGCCAAACCCGTTTCAGTTGTGTATCCATTTCATGAAATGTCTTTTTCTATCCCTTTACTTTCAGTTTGTGTCTTTCCATCTGATGTGAGCTGGGGAAACTTTGATCATTTTTGTTTTAGGTGTATCACCATTATCCCATGTTTATACCTTCACTCTGGTCCAGCAAGACCATCTTTTCATAAACAAAATCAGTGATTAAGGCACATCCCAATATAATCATTTTATTTTAGTTTATCCTATTTGAGAAAAGAAGCATCCTGGAAATGATAAAACTTAAGAGGTTTTGAATTATTACACAAATACTTAACACCTATTACAGCCCCACACCTGTTTCATAGAAAGTTTCAAAATATTAGTTTTTGCATGTTTCGAATATTTTTGTCTGCTTAAGCCTTAAGCCTTAAGGAGTCAGATATTAGTACCAGTTTTAACTCAGTTTATACCTTTGTATACATCTCAGAACCTCAAGGTTCCAGCTCCTTTCAGACAGCAAGGCCCTTATCTGTTTAAAACATGCACACAACACAAAATCAGATTTCCTCATAAAATATAGTCAACCAGTGTAGACATTTCAGTCTTATATTTTTTGTGATCAGATTTTATTATTGACTACCTCTCAAACCTTAAAAACTCAGCATTTATCACCTTCCTCTTACCTGATCAGTATTCAGTTTTTCTTGATTCTCTTGCTTTCTCCAGAGCCTGTTGTTGGCATAAACTAATGTTTTCATGTTCATTTTGTGTCTTTAAGTGTCCACTGTTGGGATTCCTGAGGCCTATGAGGAATGTGCTTTGAGTGCCACTGTGGTGACTTGGCCAGCAATTGCCATACTGTCACCACATAGGTATCTGTATCAGGCCTGTATCTTAGTATCCAAGTTCTCCTGATCTTTTATTTATAAAAGGTCCTCAGGTTATATACTCCCACCACACTATAATTGATAAAACCATAATCTATGCACTGTAGGGTTAAGACCTAATTATTTAATCCAGTAAACATTAACTTACTTATACTGATCTAAGTTAAGTGACCAGAGAAACTTTATCATTATTCAAAAAGAATAGCTACTGTTTCCCCGAAAATAAGACATCCTCCGAAAATAAGACCTACTTACTGGTTTCCTTCTGAGTGAAATATAAGGCATCCCAAAAGAAATAAGGCCTCCCCCTAGGCTAAACATAAGAGATTTGGTCCACTGATTCTGAAAGAAATGGAGTCACAAGAAATTCACCAGGAAATTCAGGAATTGGATTGTTATGATGATGTTCCAGAAGATGATGACATTGAATAAATGAGTAAATTCTTGATACTGTGGGATTCACAGTTTGTCTGGTTTGTGTTGACAACTACCGTACTACCATACCGTATACAGGTAATAAATTTCCTTTATTTTCATTTAACAATAAATGTGTACCGTATTCTTCATGGAAAAATAAGACATCCCCTGAAAATAAGACCTAGAGCATCTTTGGGAGCAAAAATTAATATATAAGACACCGTCTTATTTTCGGGAAAACAGGGTAGTTTCTGGGATTTCCCAAGTTCAATGAAGAAATATGTGGCCAATGAGCTGTACTAACAACTTACACTTCTAGAGAACTGGCTTAGTTTTTTTCAGTTCTGCATAGCTTTTATGGTTGGCCATTGACTAATGTTATACCCAGAGGTTGTAGAGAATCCAAATGCCCATCAATAGGAAATACTTGAATAAACAGTGGTTCAGCTGCATAGAACATCTATGAGAAGGAATGAGAAAGATCTCTAAGCTGCTGTGGACATGTCCAGAATATACTGTCAAGTAAAAAAAAAAAAAATCAAGGTACAGCTCAGTTTGTTTAGTATGCCACACAAAGGGGGGGAAATATCAAGATACATACATAGCTGCTTATATTTTCACAAAGAAACAATAGAAGATGAGAATAAAAACCAGTCAGAACAGCTGTCTATTCAGGGAGAGAGAGAGACTAGAGTGGAAACTAAACCTCTCTGAATATACTGTTTTATTGTTGTTGTTTTTAATCCTCAGTGTTTTATTGATTTGAGAGAAGGAAACATCAGAGAACTAAAACGTCAATGTGAGAGAGAAACATCGATCGGTTGCCTCCCATACACACCCCAACCAGGGAATGAACCTGCAACCTAGGTATATGCCCTGACTGGGAATTAAACCATTGCTCCAACCAACTGAGCCACCTGGCCAGGGCTACAGTATTGATTTTGTAAATATTTTACTTAAATTTTTAAAGATCGTGTTAATGTCATTAGGAACCAAAATTTTCAGTGTGAGAGAGAAAAGATACAAGTATTAAATCAAAGGATTTAAATTAAATCTTACAATCTTAAATATAATATAAACTCATGACACTTTCCTTTTTCTATAAACTCAATGACACTTTCATTGAAAAAACCTAGAAGCTGTGACCTGTTAGCAGTTAGCATCCTTATCATCCAAATTGTGGTCTCTAAATTCCATTGATTGTGTGCTCTGAATGTCCAACGTGAACCTGGGATAGTTTGTCATAACAGAAATGGAAAAGAACTCACAGATGTTTGTTGATGTGAAATGACAGAGAACAGATTTGAGGGGGCTCCTACTCACCAAAGGAGGGACCATTTGAGCATTAAAAGGAATAATGACTACAGTGGATTGGAGCTTATCAAATATGTAACATTCTGTGAGTTTGTAATGATAAAAACAAATTCAGAGCCACTTGATTCACTTTGAGGTTTCTAGAGCACTAACTTATTACTCAAAATTGATGCAGAGAAGCAATTAAGCATTTTAAAAGGCTTTTTATTGATTTTTCTAGAGAGAGAGAAACATCACTGTGAGAGCAAAACATCAACATTGATTGTCTTCTGTATACCCCCTACCAGGGATTGAGCCCACAACTTGGGCATCTGCCCTGACTGAGAATCAAATTGGCAACCTTTTGGTGCACAGGAGGACACCCAACCAACTGAGCCACACTGGTCAGGGCAGCAATTAAACATTCTAAAAATCTCGTATCATTGATGAAAAGAAAGTTCATCCTATGGATGTCTGTTAAAAGATCCTTTTCCTTATACCTAGCCTTTCCCCTCCTGCTTTTTCTTTATATGTGTGTATATAAAACCTGAAAGAAAAAGAAAAGTTAAGGTCAGAGCATGTTTAATACATTTCAGTCTTGTAGCTCAAAGTGGGATGTTGGAAAGGCAAACTGCCACATGTGCTAAAACCTGTGTCCAGTCTCTGTGTAACCTGTCTTTGGGGCCTTAGTCTTGTTCAGGCTCTTGTTACTGCTTGGGGTGTACCTTAGATTTCAGTGGTCTCTGATTCAAAGAAAAACCAGTGAGTTCTCAGTTTCTAAGGATAAAGCCCATAACCTGCCTATAAGGGTTTTCTTTTTTCTTCTTCTTTCTTTTTTTAATATATTTTATTGATTTTTTTACAGAGGGGAAGAGAGAGGGATAGAGAGCTAGAAACATCGATGAGAGAGAATCATTGATCAGCTGCCTCCTGCACACCCCCTACTGGGGATGTGCCTGCAACCAATGTACATGCCCTCGACCAGAATCAAACCCGGGATCTTTCAGTCCGCAGACGGACGCTCTATCCACTGAGTCAAACTGGTTCCAGCCCTATAAGGCTTTTCTGAGAAATAATAAAGAGAGCATGAATTTACTCTCTGCACCTTGTCAGCTTGCCAGCTTGGTCTTTTAGGCCAAGAAAAGTTATATAGGCCTCAGCTAGAATAGCAAACATAGCTGTTTCTTGCTGACCAGATGAGGCATATAAGCTTCTGGAGGCTATTCTTTTTTTTTTCTTTCTTTTTTTCTTTTTTTTCTGAAAAAACCTCCCAAGTTCTGAGGGACTTATACACACTATTTTCCCTCACCCCAGCATTCAGGAAATAAAGACCTATGTAATTGAATAGGCAAAGGTAATATGATGTCTTAGAGAGAGCCTAGAATTGGGAACCTGAAAAATACGTTTCGGAGGAGTCAAGTCTGTATTTAAACTTACCTCACTTTGTAGTTCGGGAAATATATTTGTTTTTTAATTAACATTTAAGAAAAAAATTGTTGGTCAATCTTTCTTTGCTTTTTCCCCCCTGCAGTATTTTAAAATAAATCATTGAACATATGGTACTTACCATGAATATTTATTATGCACTAGTGGCCCAGTGCACGAAATTTGTGCATGCGGCTGGGGCGGGGAGGGTCCCTCAGCCTGGCCTGCTCCCTTTCTAATCTGGGATCCCATTCACAATCCAGAATCACTGGCTTATAAGCATTCACCTGCCTGCCTGATGCCCCTAACTGCTCCCCTGCTGGCCTGATGGCCCTAATTGCTCTCCCCTCCTGGCCTGATCCCCCTAACTGCTCTCCTCTCCTTGTCTGATACCCCTAATTGCCTATCTGCTCTTCCCACCTGGCCTGATCCCCCTAACTGCCTATCTGCTCTCCCTTCCTGGCCTAAACCCCCTAACTGCCTATGTGCCTTCAGACCTTGGTGCAGGAGTGCTGAGAGCTCTCTGCTGAGGCCCCGCCCCTGACCTGATGCCCTGCTCTGGGCCAGGGGCCTGTGTATGCTTCCACGAGGGATGGGTGGGAGGAAAAGGGGGGCCTCAGCAGCCTCATGTCCTGGTGGCACAAGTCCCCACCCCCATCCCCGCCCACCAGCTCCTGTGCGCACACAGCCTGGTCAGCCTGGTCATGATTGTGACACAGTAGGACCAATTAGCATATTCTTTATTATATAGATTTAACTTCCGTGGGCCCTCTCTACTTAAATGGAAAGAATATTCCTTATTTCATAAAAAAGCTATGAAACAAAAAATGGAAATATTTTAAAAGTAATTATGCTAATGAAATGGAAGGTACTATTGATTTTAGATTCTTTTTTTGGAAAATATATTTTTATTGATTTCAGAGAGGAAGGGAGAGAGAGAGGGAAACATCAGTGATGAGAGAGAATCATTGATCGGCTGCCTCCTGCATGCCCCCTATTGGGGATTGAGCCTGCAACCCAGGCATGAGCTCTTGACTGAAGTCAAACCCTTCAGTCTGCAGGCCGGTGCTCTATCCACTGTACCGTACTGACTTGGTTAATTTACATTATTTATGGGAGTCATCTCCAAAATAAAGATTTAATGAAATGGGCCCACTTGAAATAGTGAATCAAGCTGGGTACATCATGTAAAAATAAATAAATTTTTTTAAAAATAAATTTTTATTGTTCATATTATTACAAATGTTCCTTCCCCCCCCCCCCCACCATTGCTCTCCTCCACCAGGTTCCCACCCCACCCTCTGCCCTTTCCTCACTCCCCATTGTCCTCATCCATAGGTGCACAGTTTATGTTCAGTCTCTTCCCACATCCCCCTCTCCCCTTTTCCCCAAGAATCATCAGTTCACTCCCCTTCCATACCTCTGATTCTATTATATTCAACAGTTAATATTGTTCATCAGATTTTTTTTTTAATTTACTTGGTTTTTAGATTCACTTGTTGATAGTTACGTATTTGTTGTTCATAATTTTTATCTTTATTTACTTTCTCTTCTGAAAGAACCCCCTTCAGCAATTCATATAATTCTGGTTTGGTGTTGATGAACTCCTCTAGCTTTTTTTTATTAGTGAAACTCTTTATCTGACCTTAGATTCTGAGTGATAGCTTTGCTGGATAGATTATCTTTGCTGTAGGTTCTTACTATTCATCACCTTGAATATTTCTTGCCATTCCCGTCTGGCCTGCATGGTTTCTGTTGAGAAGTCAGCTGACAATCGTATAGGTGCTCCTTTATAGGTAACTACCTGCTTTGCTCTTGCTGCTTTTAATATTCTCTCTTTGTCTTTTGCTCTTGGAATTTTAATTATGATTTGTCTTGGTGTGGTCCTCTTTGGATTCCTTTTGTTTGGAGTTCTGTGCGCTTCCTGGACTTGTAAGTCTAATTCTTTCACCAGGTGGGGGAAGTTTTCTGTCACTATTTCTTTCAGTATGTTTTCAATATCTTGCTCTCTCTCATCTTCTGGGACCCCCATAATTCTGATGTTGGTTCGCTTGAGGTTGTCTCAGAGGTTTCTTACATTATCTTCAATTTTCTGGATTCTGTTGCCTTCTAGCTTCTGTGGAGGAGTGTCTTCTGGCTCTTTATGTTCCAAATCTTTGACTTGATTCTTGCGATCTTCCATTCTTAGGACTCTGTATAATATTTTTTATTTCAGACAATGTATTCTTTATTTCTTGTTGATCCCTTATCATTTCTCGTTGATCCCTTGTCATTTCTTGTTGATTCCTTATTAATTCTAGTTGATCTCTTTTCATATCCTCATAGGTCTTATCAATCTTTTCTAGGAAATTCTTGAACAACCTTATAAGCGTAGATTTGAACTCTATAGCCAGTCGCTTTTTGTCCTCCATTTCTTTCATTTGTTATCTATTTCGTTGTCGCATTTCGCAGCTACAGATGGGGTGGGGTTTCAGGATGGAGCCTACAGCCTTGGCTTCCGTCAGCCCCGCCCTTTGTGGTTCCTGGGTCTCAGGGTCCTTCCTTACTCGCTGCAAGCGCCTCTGAGAGAAAGGTGCCTTCGATTTTCGCCTGCTGCCAAACAGTCTATGCTCTCCCCCAATGAGCCCGGTATTGGGGTTCAGTTCAGTTGGACGTGGAGTTGGAGGTGGCGTTCAGAGCAGTCTGGAGCTCCTGTCTCCTCCCCACCAGGACAATTCCCCGGCACAGCCGACCGTCCCTTCTCTGCGCGCAATGTGCGTGCCGCCGGGACCTCCTTTCGCCACTTCCCCCGGGTTCCGCCTTACAGCCCAGCTCCCTATGGATGAGCCTGGGTCCCGGGGGACCTAGAACTGGGGTTCAGAGCAGTCGGAGCCCAGCACAGTCGGAGCTTTTATCTCCTTCCCGCTAGGGAACGCCCGCCAGGTACTCAGGCGCCCTCCTCTCCGGCTCTGTCCTCTCCCGCACGCACTGCACGTCTCCGTACCTCAGGCTTTTACAGCTCCTCCGCGCTTCCTTCTGGTTTTCTCCTTGCTTCTCGTTGTAGAATTTTCTGTCAGTCGACTTTCCTGTAGTTCTGAGTAATGTCCATTTTATATTTTAGTTGTATTTTATTGAAATTGTTAAGTGCTGCTGCGGCTAGTTTTTTACCTGGGCAGCCATCTTGGATTCTCCTCAAAATAAATAAATTTGGCTTCATTTTGAACTAGTTCTCTAGGTGTTGTAAGCATTTTTAAAAGGCTGATTCCATATTGTTGTTATAGTTAAATTTGGGCACCATGTGTAGTATTTAACAAACCAACATGATTATTTTCATTTTCTGATTCAAGTCCCTGAAGGCCATTCTCTTTTCCCCCTACAAACAGAGCCTGTCATTTCAACATCAGATATTCTGTCTTGGATTAAACAAGAGGAAGAGCCCCAGGTTGGGCCCCCACAGGAGACCAAGCAGAGTGACATATACAAGGGTCCCTATGCTGGTGAGTAATGAATTGAAGAGACCTTCACGCCCAAGTCCAGCTGTGCCAGGACTGACTGAAAACACAGCTTTGAAATGGGATGTGGAGGCAAGGAAGTGAGAGAAGAATGGGAAAAGGGGAAAATGACATACTCCAATAAGTGAGAAATTTAACAAATCAAATTAAGATACATTTAAAGTGAGAAAATACACTCTTTTTAAAAATAATATTGATTTCAGAGAGTAAAGGAGAGGTAGAGAATGATAGAAACATCAGTGATAGGAAACATCATTGATTGGCTGCCTTCTGCACACACTACACTCACTTCCCCGGGCCCTGACCAGGAATTAAACTATGATCTCCTGTTTCATAGGTCGATGCTCAACCACTGAGCAACGCTGGCCAGACAAGAAAACACACTCTTAAGTGTAAAGACAAATTAGAATTGTCAGGGGAAGAAAAATAAGTGCATACAGATAGACCGAAAATATGAGGATGGGGAAAGACAGAAGAACATTTAAAGATCATGGAGAAAGGATAGAACAAAAAGGGGAAAGGGGAGCAGGACAAGCAGTGGGGACAAAAATGTCATTGGGGAAGCACAAATGGGACTATCAATAAAGAGCTGGACCTCAGGAGAAATGATGAAGGGAAACAGCAAATTATCTTCCTTCTGAAGTTATAGAAGAGAATCTCGAGATGGTACTTGATTGTTTACATAACTTAATGCAATCTGATTTTTAATAGCCTCTATGCCCTATGTTCTTTTAGAATCTAGGAAATAAGACAGGTTCTTTTCTTCAAGATATTTATAATGAAGGCACACATCAATACTAGGCCTGCCTGTTGTTAAGTGTCAGGGGTGAGTGGGACTTATATTCAAGAAATGAGAAGTTCGGAGACTATGCATCAGTTTTGGTTTACATTTTTAGATAAGGCCTAAAGAAGTTTGAAGCCAGAGCTGGGCCCTGGTTGATTGGTGTGAAGTGCTGGGTATAATTTGGAAGAGGGTGGATACATTCTACAAAAGGAAGGACAGAGTAAGCAGAGATATGAAGCAGAAATGTGTACTTCATTCTCAGGGTCAGTAAAGAGAGAGCTAGCAACCAGGAAGGCTTTATCTGGTAGAATACAGAGGAATGGGAGTAGATTAATACATGAGTTTAGGCCTGGCAGCAAACTCAAAGTTTGTGAGCAGAGGAGGAACATAAAGTAATGGTGGGAAGATTGATGTCAAGGTTGTTCCTCTTCAAACGGGGAGAATTGAAGATGTTCAGTAGTAAATTCTCTGGTGATTTGCCACAGGGACCATGGATGATTTGATGATTATCTCAGACCTATACTGAGCTTCTTATTGGAGCCAACTGAGAGCTGAGAGCAGTCTGTGAGAGCTGGGGAGGGACGCTCAGCTGCTGTGAGAATGTGATGGGAGTGACTCTGAGTCCTTTCTTTCAGATGAGCAGCTTGTCATCAAAGCCGAAGGCCTCGCCAGAGCCTCCTTGTGCCCCGAGGTTCCTGTCCCCTTCTCTTCTCCACCAGCAGCAGCAGCAAAGGATTCTTTTTCAGATGTGGCTTTCAAAGGCCAGCAACCTGCATCCATGACACCTTATGTACATCCGGCCACTGACCTGGCAGAAGCCTCTGAGGGACAAGTGACGTTCACTCAGTTGGGTAGCTACCCCCTGCCTCCCCCTGCTGGAGAGCAGATGTTCTCATGCCACCACTGTGGCAAGAGCCTCAGCCAAGACATGTTGCTGAGCCACCAGTGTAGCCACACTGATGAGCACCCCTTGTCCTGTGCCCAGTGTCCCAAGCACTTTTCTCAGCAAGCTGAGCTCGGCAGCAACCCCCAGTCCCATGCCAGTGAGACGCCCCCCACCTGCCCACACTGCGCCAGGACTTTCACTCACCCGTCAAGACTCACCTACCACCTACGGGTCCACAGCAGCACTGAGCGCCCTTTCCCCTGTCCTGATTGCCCCAAGCGCTTTGCAGACCAGGCCCGCCTCACCAACCACCGGCGAGCTCATGCCAGCGAGAGGCCCTTCCGCTGCACGCAGTGTGGCCGGAGCTTCAGCCTGAAAATCAGCCTCCTGCTCCACCAGCGCGGGCATGCGCAGGAGCGGCCTTTCTCCTGCCCCCAGTGTGGCATTGACTTCAATGGCCACTCAGCCCTGATCCGACACCAGATGATCCACACAGGCGAGCGTCCTTACCCGTGCACAGACTGCAGTAAGAGCTTTATGCGCAAGGAGCACCTGCTGAACCACCGGCGGCTGCACACCGGAGAGCGGCCCTTCAGCTGCACGCAATGCGGCAAGACCTTCATCCGCAAGCACCACCTCATGAAGCACCAGCGCATCCACACAGGCGAGCGGCCCTACCCCTGTGCCTACTGCGGCAGGAGCTTCCGCTACAAACAGACGCTTAAGGACCACTTACGGTCAGGCCACAACGGAGGCTGTGGGAGTGAGAGTGACCCATCTGGACAGCCGCCTGACCCACCGGGTCCTCTCCTAACAGGGCTCGAAACCTCTGGCCTTGGCGTTAACACGGAAGGTCTAGAGGCCCATCAGTGGTATGGGGAAGGTAGTGGAGGGGGAGTTTTGTGAATCTCCCTCCCGGTTATCCATGCTTATCCAGGACAAGAGAAAGGGACTTGAGCTCCTCCACTCTGGAAGTAATCACTATTGATTGACACATTGATGCATTCGGGGTCCTGTACACTTGACTAGAGACATGCTTGAGTTTGGGAACTTCACAGCATTACCAGTATACCACTTTTTTTTTAGCATTTTTTTTTTTTTTTCAGAGAGGAGGGAAGAGAGCGAGAACGTCAATGATGAGAGAGAATTGTTCATTGGCTGCCTCCTGCATGTCTCTCACTGGGGATGGAGCCCACAACCCAAGCATGTGCCCTGATCAGGAATTAAACCATGAGCTCCTGGTTCATAGGTCAGTACTCAACCATTGAGCCACCCTGGCCTGACCAATAATAGCACATTTTGAAACACAGAAAGAGTCCAGCATCCCCATCTTTTCAAAAAAAAATGAGACCTAAGCAGAAGTTGCAAAGAGAGAGGAAAACATGATTTGGCCTTTGGTAATTCATCACAGGGTAATAGATTAAGAATGATTGCAGCTCTGGGTATAGACAGGTACATGGGAAGAACCTCCAAAGCTTGAAGTTCTGAGGCAGAGCCTTAAACCCCTGGTGATAAGACAGTTGTTAGAAGAAAGTGCTCAAGCCTCAGTCCATACTCCTGCTCCTTCCAATACTAGCTAAAGTCCACTCGTGTGCTAATGGACTGCCTCTTCCCAAACGATAGCTCAGTATGGCCTTTCTAGACTAATTCTTTTAAAGTACATTTTGTTAAATATTGGGTGAGCAAGAAATCTGACTTTAAAAGCTTCTTAAGGAGAACAGTGCTTAACTTTCACCAGCTTGATTTGTAGCATTAAGCCTCTCACTGGCATTTAAACTGCTGGAGACCTCTGCCGAGGTCCTGGTTTAAAATGTTTGGAATCGTGTTCTCAGCCCCAGCTATAAAAGCCAGAAATCCCAGAGAAATGACAGAACAGCCTAACGTTTATGCCTGAACCATGTTTCTTAGAGGTACTTACTTCCAGTTCTTGTTATTTATAAGCCAATAAGATGACTTTTCGATTTCTAGTGTCTGATATTCTTGACAGTCCTCAGCAGGAAAAAAAAAAAAAAAATCACTTTCCAGAAGCATTACGGAGTTTCAGAAAAGCTGGGTGCACTGGCACTCCCAGCTTTCATCTCAGAAGTGAGGTGCTGGTGTGATAATGCAACTTTCTTGAGCCATTAGAAAATATTCACCCATCTGGCCATTTCCGAGTTGTCAGTGGACGGACTGAGGGACTTCATAGATCACTGAGAGCGGAGCACCAGAGGCAAACAGGGATACCCTCTTCCTGCTAGTTCTGCTTTCAGGGACCTTGGCTACCATGTGTCCTTTGGTCGGGGTCATTCATTCCCCTGGGAGTCTTCTGAGCCTGTGCTGCTCCTAAGTGGCTTTGCACTTGGGTGCAAGTCCCTTTCTTTTCCTTTACAGATCTCATATTTTCATCTGCGAAGAGAGGCTGGTGAAAGAGAAAAAGCTTTTAAGAAAAAACTTTTTTATATCTTGTGAGACATTGCTGCTTTTGCCAGAATCCTATCTCTATCTCTGGCTTCTATCCAGGCAAAGCCAAATAAGAAGCAAAATCAAAGCAGAGACATTCCTGCTGAAACTTGATTGAAATCAGTTTGATTTGTTATGTTACTCCTGCTTGGAGCCTGAGGTGGAAGGCAGAGAATACAGAAACCCTAAGTCTTAGGTAGAAAAGCTGATTATATCCACACGCTTTTGTTTCCCCTGACCTTCCTGAGATGCCTGGAAACAATGTCTATAAGTAATTAGGACATTTTGTTGATGAAGTAGTAAGGGAAGGACCCATTTTTTCCTTATCACCTAGCACCGCCTTTAGCCTGCCTGGTTGTGCATAACCACACCAGGGAAAAGCGTCATTACCCCAGCCAGCTTTGCCTCTGGGAAGGCTCTGTCTGAACATGCTGCTCTTAAGGATAATCACAGTGATAGCATCTACTCCGAGAGTCACAGTACCAGGAATTGAGGGAGACCTCTAAGAAATGTTTGTGAGACCATAAGAGTGTGAAGGTGATGAAGAAATCCAGGGCTATGGAACAAACCAAGTCAGATGAGGACAGAATGCTGGCATATTGGGAGCTTTCTAACTAGGACCTAGCCTCATACTGTGAGGGACTTGGGGGGGTTCTGGGAATTCTAGTTTCACAGGTTACCCACCAGGAACTTGAGTGTGAGATCCAGCTCTGGTTTTCACCCTGATCTTGTAAAGGGAGAAGAATTAATAGTACTACCTTTAGGTGGTATGTTCCCTTTTCTGAACAGCATTCAACCACAGTATGCCAGAGAAGGAATTCTTGGTATGATGTTGGACTAGGTAATATGGAAAATTCTTCTTACTCAGTGATTTACTGAGGACATGGAGCTTGCTTACAAAAACACCTGTGGTTTAAAATGCCACAGATAGATCCCACAGTCCCTTCTTCAAGGAACTGTAGTCAGCAGGATCCCAATCTATGGGAAGAAATAAACACAGTTCAGATACCAATGAAGCAGAGTGAAAGGGGTGGGCAGGACCATGCCAGAAAGACAGAGGTAGGGGTTTTCCTAATCTTTGGCCCTGTACATACCAGATGTTCAACTATGGTGCATTCTGGTCTCTCCCTCCACCTGGTAGAATTCCAGGCCATCTCCAAATTGGAGAGTTTGCCTGAAATTCAAGAATGGGTAAGTAAAATGGATCAGTGGAAAAGATTTCAGTGTATGGAGAAGCTTGGTTTAGCCAGGGCTCCCGAGCGAAACCAGGCAGTAACTCAGCAGTTAAAGAAGTACCTGTGGATTGGGTGTCATGAGCAGATTTGATAGCAAAGAGGAAAAGCCAGAAACATGCTCATTAGGCTGCCCTCTGGACTAAGAAATCTGTATTATCTCATAAATGGGCACCATCTCGCTGGAGTGCATCCAGTTGTTTGTAACCAGATTTACTGTGCTTACAAGGTTTTTCATTGTCACTATAAGGTGAACCTATGGTTCAGCCACAGATGTGAAAATAAATGGAAGTTTATCTAGAAAGTGAAAGCTGATGATTGCTCTTTTCTGCTGGATACTTGATGTTGGCAACACCATAGCTGGGCTGTGGCGAGAGCAGTGCTTTATAACTTCCCTCATCAGGAACAGCCTGCAGAGTCCCTACTGAATGGCCAAGGGGCTGCTCTTTGGAGCATTTTAAAATATATATATTTTATTGATCTTTTACAGAGAGGAAAAGAGAGGGATAGAGAGCTAGAAACATTGACCAGCTGCCTCCTGCACACCCCCTATTGGAAATGTGCCTGCAACCAATGTACATGCCCTCGACCGGAATAAAACCCAGGACCCTTCAGTCCGCAGGCCTATGTTCTATCCACTGAGCCAAACCAGTTTGGGCTCTTTGGAGCATTTTTGAGAGATTGAGTCTCCCTGCCCATCTCAACCAGGACCAGACCCTGTGCCTACTGAGGAATAACAGGTGCTCACTGTGTCTGTTTGCAGAGGCCTTGGTATAAACGACCCACATTCCTTTATCTGTTCATTCTAAATGGTATGGAGAATCCAAATTTCTTTTTTTCTCTAATGATGCCCCTGACCAGAATCAAACCCTCAACTTTTCAGTTCACGGCCAAAATTCTAACCATGAGAAAACTGGCTAAGGCCGAACCCAAGTTTCTGCTCGGATTTCTTTTGAGGAAGGGCAGGAAAGCACCCCATCCCTTCCTCCATGTTGTAGCTTCCCCTCAACAGCTATTGCACAAAGGCTGCTCGGTAACAGAAAATAAAAGCATCTTCTCACAAGGCTCTCCTAGACCAGGGGGTCTGTTATCTTCAAATACATGTTTTGTCTGTGTGCTTGGTGGATATCTTTGATCCTGTTCCCTTCACTCTACAAAGCAAACAGCATTATACAACGGAGGACATTCTTTGACTAGGAAAGTGTCAAGCTCTTACAAGCAAAAGGTAGTCAAGTTAAGTTGAGGATGGGAGGGAAAGGGAGAGGGCAGTGTACAAGGCCTTAGTTTGAGGCCACATTACCTGGGGTAGTACGGCTTCATGGTTTAGGCAGTGGATCTCCACCTTTCTAATGCTGCGACCCTTTAATACAGTTCCTCATGTGGTGACCCCAACCATGAAATTATTTTGGGCTCTACAGCAGCGGTTCTCTGTAGAGGAAAAAAAACGCTAGCAGGGTCGCCTAAGACCACCAGAAAACAGATATTTACGATTCATAACAGTAGCAAAATTACAGTTATGAAGTAGCAATGAAAATAATTTTATGGTTGGGGGTCACCACAACATGAGGAACTGTATTAAAGGGTCGCAGCATTAGAAAGGTTGAGAACCACTGGTTTAGAGCATGGACTCAGACCTAGATTCAAGTCCTGGTATCGGCAAAAGTAACATACTGTACATGCATTATTTAACCATCATGGGCCTAGTTTCCTTATCTGTAAAATAGGGAGAATGATACCTCTGTCTGTGAGGTGTTAGGTTAGGGGATAGCTGTGAAAGTGCTGAGCGCGGAGCCTGACACGTAGAAGGTGTCAGAATGGCAGCCATCAAGAGGTGTGCAGACCCATCCAGAGAGGACCATAAAGCCAGCTGAGCCTGCAGCAGTATCAAGAACCGAGGCTGCTCTACAGAATCACAGGATTTTTTTTAATTTTTATTTTTTAAATATATTTTATTGATTTTTTCAGAGAGGAGGAGAGAGGGATATAGAGCTAGAAACGTCGATGAGAAACATCAACCAGCTGCCTCTTGCACACCCCCTACCGGGGATGTGCCCGCAACCAATGTACAGTACATGCCCTTGACTGGAATCGAACCTGGGACCCTTCAGTCCGCAGACCGACGCTCTACCACTGAGCCAAACCGGTTTTGGCCAGAATCACAGGATTTTTAAAAAATATATATTTTACTGATATTTTTGCAGAAAAAGAGAGGGATAGAGAGTTAGAAACATCAATGAGAGAGAAACATTGATCAGCTGCCTCCTGCACACCTCCCATTGGGGATGTGCCTGCAACCAAGGTACACGCCCTTGACTGGAACCAAACCTGGGACCTTTCAGTCCGCAGGCCGACGCTCTATCCACTGAGCCAAACCGGTTTCGACTAAGTACATGATTTTTTTAAAATATATTTTATTGTTTTTTTATAGAGAGGAAGAGAGAGAGACAGTTAGAAACATCCATGAGCGAGAGACATCTATCAGCTGCCTCTTGCACATCCCCCACTGGGGATGTGCCCGCAACCAAGGTACATGCCCCTGACCGGAATTGAACCCGGAACCTTTCAGTCTGCAGGCCGACACTCTATCCACTGAGCAAAACGGGTCTCAGCTAAGTACATGATTCTTAATATCTCAGCTTTTTGCTTCCATGCAGCCTGTTCTGTTACTCCATCTTTTGAGTACTTCTGACTCCCACAAGTTCCTGTGTGCCACAATACCGTGTGCCTCTGGTTCCCTTGGTTTTTCTTAGTTCTGGCCCTGTCCTTTCTACATCAGGCCACAGAAGCTTACAGCCAAACCTTGGATTGGCTGCCCGTCAGTTACGTGTCATCTTGGTTCAGTCAGCTGTTGTCAGGAGGGATGGTCTTGTGGTCCCTGCACCAGGATCTGTGACGGGAATGGGCAGACAGGGGCACATTATGGCATTTCCAGTACTACCAGGAGAGGAGAGCATCTGCTTCACCTGCGTGAGGGTCCCTGAAAAGACTGGAGCTTATTATTGTCTCTCACAAAGGACCTGACAGATGATATTTAAATAACTTGCAAAAGGAGTAATTTGTCACTTTGTAGGGTTCTGTTCCTGCTACAATTTTTTTTAAGTGTGTAACTTTGACCATTTATATATATATATATGTCTGTATATTTAACAACGGTTGTTCTAGGTGTCTATAAACACACAGACACACACACACAATGACTTTTGTCAACTTGGACAAATTGCCTCTTCAAAACAAAAAATTATTTCAGTCCTAAGACCATCCATCCACTAAATGCAGAAAGATACAGTCTAGTCAAGGAAGCCAAAAAGCAGTGTGCTGCAATTTTCTGAAAATTGCCAGGTTACACCCTACCTAATAAAAGAGTAATATGCAAATTAACCATCACTCCACTACACCCACAACCCACGCCCACCAGCCAATCAGAGCGAGAATACAAATAAACCCCAACCAAGATGGCTACAGCCACAGAGAGCAGGAGGGAGGCTTGGGTTTCCCAGGCAATGCAGGAAGCCAAGCTTTCCACCTGTCCTTGCGGCCTAGGCCTCCATTCAAGGATATAACGTTTCAATTATAGAAGGTAAATAAATTCAAATAGATATGGCTGCTGGCCATGGAGCAAGCAGGAGGCTTGGCTTCTCTCCAGGCTACAAAGTTTCAATTATAGAAGGTAAATAAATTCCAGATACCAGTGCCTCTGTTTTGGTCGCCAGGGGGAGTGGCTGGTCTGTAAACCACAGGCCCTGGCACAGGCCACCCCATTTCCCAAGGGGACCCCCCACCCTGATCTGGGACACCCTTCAGGACAAACCAGCCGACCTCCATCCATGCACCAAGCCTCTATCCTATCTAATAAAAGAGTAGGTAAACCATCACTCCAACACACAATAACTGCCCCCATATGTCAAAGATGGCTGCCCCCATGTGGACACAAGATGGCCAGCAGGGAAGGGCAATTGGGAGGGACCAGGCCTGCAAGGGATGGCAGTTGAGAGGGACCAGACCTGCAAGGAAGGGCAGCTGGAGGCATTCAACCCTGCAGGGGAGGGCAATTAGGGGTGACCAGGCCAGCAGAGGAGGGAAGTTGGGGGCAAACAAACTGGCAGGGAAGCAGTTAGACATCAATCAGGCTGGCATGGAAGTGGTTAGGGTGTGATCAGGCTGGCAGGCAGAAGCAGTTAGGGGTATTCAGGAAGGCAGGCAGGCGAGCAGTTGGGAGCCAGCAGTCCTGCATTGTGAGAGGGATATCTGACTGCCCATTTAGGCCCGATCCCACCAGATTGGAGAGGGTGCAAGCTGGGCTGAGGGACACCCTCACACACACACCGGGCCTCTAGTTTTAAATAAAAGAGTTGATAAAACCTCAGTGGGCAACATGGCTTTGTTTCTGTTTATTAGCAAAGCCAGTATTTGCTGTGAAATCTTGAAACCAATCTAAAAATCCCGTTGACCAAGAAGGGAGGCCACCTGCTAGGGATGCAGCCACTCCATGAATAACTGGATAGCGGAAAGATCACCTGAGCAGGGGTTAAAAACGGGATTCTCACTTTCCTGATATGGAGCAAGCCACTTAATTTGTGGAGATCTCATTTTCATAATTCTAATGTGCACATTGAACAAGATGGTAATGTAAGGTCACGTCGACCTCTAAAATCATAGACTTCAAGATTTCACTTCGTGGTCCTTTCCTTGTCTGGTTTCTCTCCAGCTTCTGCCTTACTAAGTGATTGCTTCCACCCAATAGAATAAGCTCCTTGACGAGTTAAGCATGAGTATTATAATTACTCCAAAGCCACACATACTGACAAAATGTTAGCAAAACTATAAACTTTTGTTTTAAATACACAGTATGCAGTTGGTTGCATTTTTTAAGGATAGGAAAACACACCAAATTAGTGATGGTTTTTCTAGAGAGCTGGGGTTATTCAGTGGTTATTTTCCCCTGTAAATTCTATGTAATGTAAAATATCTTGTGTATAGCATTAAGAGAGGAAGGAAGAGGGAGAGAGAAATATCAATGATAAGAGAGAATCATTGATTGGCTCCCTACTGGGGATTGAGCCCGCAACTAGGACATGTGCCCATGACTGAATTGAATCCGGGACCCTTCAGTCCACAGACTGATGGCTCTACCCACTGAGCCAAACCAGCTAGGGAGTATATAACATTCTTAATGCTTTTATAGGGACATGGATTATTTTAATGAGAATGGTCCTGGAAATGAAGTCAGGAGGCCAGAGTTTTAATCTTGCTTTCATTTGTTACGCGTAGTGTGAAAGTATTGCACACTTTACTAACTTTACTTCGGTGTTGTGAGGCTCAAATGAGGGACGGTCTTAAAAAATGCTTTAAAACATATTAAAGGCCTGAGAAGAAAGTGTTGCCATAGTAGGTACAGAAGAATTACTTGCTGACTAGGTAAACAGTCTCTGGGATGCTGGTGCTCCTCATTCAGGATTGGACCGTGGTTGTTTCTTTACTTACAGTTTGCTTGCCTGTGCTGGCTGGTGGGCAGAAGCTGCCTGAGATTGCCATTTGGGAAGCAGTGGGGGAAGGGACGTACATGTGGGTAGAGATTGAAAACCAAGTGGGATGCAGAAAATACCAGGTAGACCTATATACTGCAATGTGTTGCCTTTTACCAGCAACTTTTGCAAGCTCACCAGTTTTATGTACATAAGGAATTATAACAAGTTGGTAAGGCAGAGATTGGGTTAAACAAGCAGGATTCAAAATCAAGGATGTACCTAAAGTTATGTACATCAAGCCAGTTCTTGGCTTTGAATTTACAGTTATTAAAAATTATACAGGAAAATTATACAGTGGGGATGTGCAATAGGCAGCTGACCGATGATTCTCTCTTACCTATGTTTCTGGCTATCTGTCCCTCTCTTCCTCTCTGTAAAAAATCAATAAAATATATTATTAAAAAAAAAAAAGAATAACTTTTTTTTTTAAGTAACTTTGACCTGCATTGAAAGGTTTGGAAGAGGCTGCTATTAAAATACAGTGCCCCTTTCCTGGGAGGAAGAGTTCAGCCCTCCTCTGACACATCAGCCTGATCACTTCTCCATCATCCATCCATACCAATGCGAGGGCCTGGAATTGGCCCAGGTAAATTTGTGCTGGGAGGAGGAGAGTGGGGGAGATGAAGCCTGCCAAGGAGAGAGGGAAGGGAGAAAGGCCAAAGAGTCTGGAGACACAATTAGTCTTGCAAAATGTTCAAAAGGGATGCCCCATCCATCTGCAGAATCTAGCAGACATCAGTGCCCTGCCTTGTTTGGGACTTTAGGACAGGCCATTCCGGACAGAAGGGCCCTGATGAGCACACCCGCCCAGGGGCCACTGTTGGGAGCGGCCTGGTCCGTGCAGCGGGCGGGCGGGAGCTCGGCGGCCATTGGCTGGCGCGGGCGGGCGGGCGGGAGCTCGGCGGCCATTGGCTGGCGCGGGCGGGCGGGGCGGGGCGCGCCGCCGGGGGGACTGTTTGCTCCTTCGGGCTGTAGATGGAGCTGTCCGGCCCCGGCGAGGGGGAAGGCGCCCGGAGAACGTTCTTCTTCTCCCTGGCCGGCCCGAGCGAGCGGGGAACAGCACTCCCAGGATGCAGTTTGTGTCCACACGGCCGCAGCCGCAGCAGCTGGGCATCCAGGGCCTGGGGCTGGACGGCGGGAGCTGGAGCTGGGCGCAGGCCCTGCCCGCGGAGGAGGTCTGCCACCAGGACCCGGCGCTGCGCGGGGAAATGGCCGAGGGGATGCCGCCCATGCAGGTGGGTGCAGCCCCAGCCCGGCGCCATGGCCGCGCCGCCGGGCCGTGGGGGCGGGGCTGCGGGCTCCGGGGATGGGGGGGGGGGTACCCCGGGCGCGGAAGCGGGGGGGGGCCCCCGGCGGGTCGGGCACGGGCGGGCTCCGGCAGCGGGCGGGCCTCGAGGCAGGCCCGGCCCCGATCCCGGCACCCCGGCCGGCCGAGGCCGCGCCGCAGAGCCGCAGGCCCCCAGGCCGCGTGCCGCCGCCGCCGTGAGCCCGGGCCTGCGCCCGGAGTTGGCTCCGCGCGGCCGGAGGGCCCGGAGCGCGTGGTCGCGGGGACCCGGCGGGGCCGTGGCCGCGGCTCCACCCGGCCTGGCTCCCCCTGTGGGGCCGGAGGGTTCGCTGATCTCACCCAGGCCGCCTCCGCAGGGTCACACGGTAGCCACTTGGATGAAAAGCTGCATTAAACCCATGACGGTCTTTCCCCAAATGCAACAAGGAATTCCCTTTCCCCTGCACCCGGGGTGACGGGGCCGCTGGGAGGTGACTTTGCCTTCCTTCTCTCCTGCGGTTGGCAAACTTGGCTGCATATTCCGATCACCGGAGCAATGGGACTCCTGCCGCCCAGGCCTCATCCCAAACCAGCTCCATCGTTGTGTGGGGTGGAGAGTAGGCTCCCGTCATTTCCGAAAGCCCCCGGGGACCTCGGCGTGCAGGCCCCGCTGGGAGCCCCGCTCCGGGAGGGACTGTGTGTGTGCACAGGCCGCGGTGCTCCGAGAGGCCTGCGTGGAGCGCGGGAGCAGGCCGCGGGCAGACCCCAGCGCCCCTCTGCCCATGGCCTGGTGCTCCCAGCGGGTTCTGACCCGTCAGCAGCCGGGTGCTGTGTTTGATCATTCTCCCGTGTTAGGTCTCCAGACCTCAGAAAAGTTAGCTGGGCCCGGTGACTTCCCAAACTTCCACGTTAGCCCTTGCTGCCTTCCGTGGGCCAGGCAGGAGAGTAGCCTAAGGGAGCCCGTGTGCAGAGCTTTGATGGAAATACCACCGCCTTTTCCTGAGCAGGGTCTGGGCCCGGAGTCCTGGTCCTCTTGCTCCCGGGTCAGTGATTTCCTGGAAGCTGTGGGATGTTCCTCTCTGGCTGTCACAGTTGCTCCAAGTTAGAGAGGGCAGTTGGCATGCCTGTCCCAGGCCTGCCCAGGTCACCTCTAAGCAACAGGTCTCCACTTGGCCCAGCCTGAGGCCTCTGCAGCAGCAGCAGCAGCAGCAGCGAAGAGAACAGAAAATGACACCTCTTCCTGTCCCTGGTGGCGAGGAGAGGCCGTCATTAGACCCCCTGTGGTCCAGGAACTGCTGGGTGCTGGGACAGGGTGGGGCCAGTTCCCGGGTCACCTGTGAATGGTCACCCACCTCACTTGGTCATAGGATTCAGCTCTCAACCTGCACCCATGGGGTACCCCTCCCCAGGAGCCACAGGGTCCCCCTCCCCAGGGGGCAGGGCGGGGGCCGACAGATCTTCTCTTCCTCTCAGGGATGTCTCCTCCTCCCCTCCTCAGGGAGTGACACTTTTTTTGGCAAACCTATTCTCATTTTGGAAGGAATCTGAATCAGTGGTTATATATGGGAAAAGGGCTACTCGTCTGCTCTCTCGCTTGGTCTGTGACTGGTGCGACTCTGCTGGGAAGGTGTCAGCACCCCTGATCTGACCTGTGGTCGCACCCAAAGTCGCTGGCTCCGGGTGGCGGTGAAACCAGGTGCTGTAGAATGACCAGCTGCCTGTCTTTCAAGCAGAGATCTTCACGAGTGGCCCTGACCTGCTTAGAGTTGCCTGGGAAGGTTAGAGTCAGATGGCTTACATGAAAATTCTCACCTTGAAACGGAACACATGAGGCCACGCTAAAGAGTGCATCACGCCCGGCTGGTGTGGCTCAGTGGTTGAGTGATACCCTATGAACGAGGAGGTCACGGTTGGATTCCTGGTCAGGGCACATGCCGGGTTGCTGGTTTGATCCCCAATGGGGAGCGTGCAGGAGGCAGCCTACAAATAATTCTTTCTCATCGCTGAGGTTTCCGTCACTCTCTCCCTCTCCCTTTTTCTCGAAAATAAATAAAAATATATGAAAAGAAGGAAGAAAAAGAAAAAGAATTCTTCATTAAGTCTGGCGCTTGAGGAAAGTAGCTCTTCTATTCAAAGAAAACTATGTGTGACATTTTAGGCCAAAGGTCAAAATGGGTGAACCAGTGACCAGACTGACTGGTTGGGAATGGGAAGGCCGGGTGGGTGGCTGCTGGCGCTATTGCTGGGGACGTTTATGGGCACCATAGCCCGCGAGGCAGCATGAGAGTCTGTGGCATTGGGTTCATTGGGCTCTTGGGCCACTCTCCCCCCAAGCACAGGGTCCCACTCTCTCCCTCTTGTCACTTTCCCCCTCTGCACCCAGGCTCAAGAATGGGACATGGATGCCCGGCGGCCTATGCCTTTCCAGTTCCCGCCCTTCCCAGACAGAGCGCCCGTCTTCCCCGACCGCGTGATGAGAGAGCCCCAGCTGCCCACGGCCGAGATCTCCCTCTGGACCGTGGTGGCCGCCATTCAAGCCGTGGAGAGGAAGGTGGATGCCCAGGCCAGCCAGCTGCTCAACCTGGAGGGACGGACGGGGACGGCCGAGAAGAAGCTGGCCGACTGCGAGAAGACGGCCGTGGAGTTCGGGAACCACATGGAGAGCAAGTGGGCCGTGCTGGGGACCCTGCTGCAGGAGTACGGCCTGCTGCAGAGGCGGCTGGAGAACATGGAGAACCTGCTGAGGAACAGGAACTTCTGGGTCCTGCGGCTGCCCCCGGGCAGCAAGGGGGAGGTCCCCAAGGTATGTGGTGGAACGTTCTCCCTCCAGGAGTTAGCCTCCTCCCGGACCCCACAGAGCCTGCACGTTTCTGTCCCTGACCGTTCCCCTTCCTGAGAGGTCTGGGTGTCTGCAGATTCCTGAAGCGTTCACACTTGGGTTTTCCATGTGGCACCAAGCGGCCGTTTGTCATGGGTTATCTTTGTGTGTGCTTTTTGTCTGAACGTGGCTGGAGTCAGGCCCAAACCATGCTGACCGGAATTCCTTGAAAGTCATAGCCACTCCCCTCCCGTGTCCCCTCTCACAGTTCCTATTCCACTCGCAGGGCCTTCGTGCTCTGGTTCCTACTCCATTCGTGTTCCCCTGGCTCATCAGCACCACACTCTCGGTCCATGACCTTGTTTCTGGCCCACCGAAAAAACTGAGTCACTCCCAGGTGACGTCCACGTTCATCCATCCGTCCGCCTTGTGCACTCTGCCTATTCTGTCCCCAGGGGCTCCCTGTCCTCTGTCACTCACTCCAGGAAGTTACTTCAGCATGTCCCCTTTTCTTCTGCATCATCAGTTCTTCCCTGTCTGTGGGACTGACCAGCTGTGCAATTGAAAACCCGCCTAACCCCTGTGTTTCCCTCCAGTTAGTGCCTTGGTTCTCTGCTCTGCTACAGAGCAGAATGCCTTCGACTGGTCTGTATGTCTCCAATTCTTGCTTCTCACTTTCCTTCCCTCCCTTTTTTACCTTTTTATTGTAGAAAATTAAGACACATACCCAAGCAGATAGAAGAGAATAATGAAATCTCACAAACCCATCATCCAGTTTCAATAATAATCAGCTCTGGGCCAATCGTGTTTCATTTAAATCCCTACCTGTAGCCTTCTTCCATTTTATTTTATTTTATTTTATTTTATTTTATTTTATTTTATTTTATTTTTATTTACTTTTTAAAATACATTTTATTGATTTTTTTTATAGAGAGGAAGAGAGAGATAGAGAGTTAGAAACATCGATGAGAGAGAATCATCGATCAGCTGCCTCCTGCACACCCCCTACTGGGGATGTGCCCCCAACCAAGGTACATGCCCTTGACCAGAATTGAACCTGGGACCCTTCAGTCCGCAGGCCGACGCTCTATCCACTGAGCCAAACCGGTTTTGGCTACCATTTTATTTTGAAGCAGATCTCAGACATTAATTATTGTGTTTATAAATATTTTGATATGTATCTCTAAAAGATAAACACTTTAAAAAAAAAATGAATAATCTCAATATTTTTACCACCACAGCAAACGCTTCAACCTCCTCAAATATCCGATTGGTGTTCAAATTTCCAGTTATTCAAAAAATGTTTTAATCTCCCCCACATCACCCATTTGTTTGTTGGTCTACCATTGTGATTGCTTTGTCTCCTAAGTCTCTTTTGAATCTGTAGGTTCCTCTTTCATCTCCTTCACTTTTCCTTTTAATTTCTCTGTGGAAGAAACTGGGCCATCCATCCTGTCGAGTTTCTCGCTGTCTGGATGCCGCTGCTGCATCCTCCGTGGTCTCATTTAGGGTGTTCCTCCATTCTCCGTGTTCCAGACACTGGTCGTTGGATCGTGCTCCCTGGCACCCACCCCATCAGGCACTGCTACCCCCCTCCATCCTCCTGGTCTGGCCAGAGCTCTAACCCCCAGGGGCGGGTCCTCAGCCTTCATCCTCCAGGCCTCTCCTGGAGGTGACCTGCCCCTCCCCGAGGCCACCTCTCTGGGTCCGTTTCCTACCTCACTAGCTGCTCCAGACACCCATTTCACCTTCTTTCCCGACTTCTTGAGTTTGGAGTGGGCAGGGCTCTGTCTGACCTCCAGCTCATTTTTCTACACTCCCTCCCTCACGATTTCCTCCAGTGTCAGGGTTTTAAACGCAATCCGTGTGCTGTCAGCTCCCAAACGCCATCATTTCTTCCTGCTCTTTATCTTGTCCACACTCCCTCCAGTGCCAGGTTGACATTGGGGGTGTCAGGAAATACCTTAGGTTTAACGTGACCCACTTGAGCGAACGCTCTGCCTGACACCCGTTATGCCCAAAGTTGTCCTCGTCTCTGGTGAAGACAACTACATCCTTCCACTTACTCAAGACAGAGCGTTGGGGTCACACTCCTTCCTATTCCTCACAACAACTTCCAATATTTAGTAAATACCATCTGATTTTTCTTCAAAATCATATCCATAGTCTGACCATTTCTGCAACCTCCACCACTCCCACCACCCTCACCTCTCATCTGGGTTTTGTCATGGCCTCCTGCCTGCTCTCCTTGATTCTGTCCTTGTCCCCCACCCCATATGGTGTATCCTCAGCAGAGCAGCGGAGGGATCCTTTTCAAATATCAGGCAGTCATATTACCCCTCTGCGTACGACTCTCCCCTGGCTTCCCATCTGATTCGGCCTTAAGCCCCGGTTTGCCAATGGCTGTCTCTCTCTGACTACCTTTCTGACGTTATCTCCACTCCACCCCTCTGCCCACTCCTTCCTGGCACAGTGGCCTTTTACCATTCTGCCCTCACGCTGTCCCATCCACCCCCCTCAGGGGCTTCCCTCCACTGAAAAGTTCCTTCCCTGCCGAAACCGGTGTGGCTCAGTGGATAGAGCATCAGTCTGCGGACTGAAGGGTCCCAGGTTCAGTTCCAGTCAGGGGCATGTACCTTGGTTGCGGGCACATCCCCAGTGGGGGGTGTGCAGGAGGCGGCTGGTAGATGTTTCTCTCTCACCGATGTTTCTAGCTCTCTATCCCTCTCCCTTCCTCTCTGTAAAAAATCAATAAAATATATTTAAAAAAAAAAAGAAAGAAAAGTTTCTTCCCTCCCTGTCACTTCCACCAAGGTCTGTTCAGTCGTCACTTGATCAGTGTGCCTTTCTGAGGCACCAGGGAGCCACGTCTCTCCAACCCCAGCACACTCTTGTCTCTGCCCCTGCTCGCATGCTCTCCAAGCTCTTATGCCATCAGGCATCTTCAGTATTGACTTCTGCTTTTATCTTCTTGGTTGGTTCTCTCTGACCACAGTGTCCAGTCTGCTTGCTTCCCTGTTGTGACTCTGTGCCTATACTAGTGCCTGGATTCCAGTCAGTCGGAATGCAAGAAATTCTTACCCTGTGAGTCCCGCTGGAGAGCCCACACTCCCATGAGGGCCCGGGTCTCCCAGGTCTGTGTCCGCAGCGGTCACGCCCAGTGATTTCGCCAGAGGCGTTGTTAGACACAGGGTAAGGGAGCCCTCATAGGACCTCGCTGGCATACCAGTGGGCGCCTGGTTCCTCCCTAACGCAGTCCCTGCCACCGAAGTCCACAAAATTGGTTTTCAGAATGGCCTTTTTTTTTTTTTTTTAATATATTTTATTGATTTTTTTACAGAGAGGAAGAGAGAGGGATAGAGAATTAGAAACATGGATGAGAGAGAATCATTGATCAGCTGCCTCTTGCACACCCCCTACTGGCAACCAAGGTACATGCCCTTGACCGGAATTGAACCCGGGACCTTTCAGTCCATAGGCCAACACTCTATCTTTTGAGCCAAACCGGTTTCGGCCAGAATGGCTCTTACAGTGCCTGTGCAGCACCATGAGCATCTCTCACAGTGCTCTATGGTTGACCTCGGTGCTCTGCCCCCACGTGGCCTTGTTGTGTGTTCTGTGCGAAGGATAAGTATCAGGACTCCAGAGTTGACATGTGCCATCACGGAATGATAGAATGGTTATGGGATCTCCAGTCAGAGGACTAGGATTTGGATCTTGGCTTCATACGTACTGGTTCCCTTACCTTTGGTCAAGTCGGTATTTTGCTATTGCTGAGCATCCTTGACCCTTCCTTTGAAAGAAGTGAAGTTTAAATGGATAATCATTTAGGAAATCTCCAGCCTGTCTCTCTGAGCTTGTGCTCTCTTCTGGAAAACGAAGGTGATCAAATGCTTCGTGCATGGGGTTGTGAGGATGTGTTGATTTTGCTGATGGGACAGCACTATGTGTTAGTAATCTATTGCTGTGCAAAAAGTTGCCCCCAAGTTTAGCAGCCTAAAAAAACCTTGCCCTTTTTTGTGGGTTACGAATCCAGGAGCAGCTTAGCTGAGTGGTTCTGGCCCAGAGTCTCATGGAGCTATTGACTGGTGCTCCAGCCATCTGTAGGCCTGACTGAGGCGGGAGGGCCTGCCTCCGATATCACTCACTCATTCAGCTGTGGGCAGGAAGCCCAAGTTCCTCCCCACGTGGGCTTCCCCACGGAGCTGCTTGGGCATCCTCCTGGCATGGCAGTGACTTCACCCAGAGCAAGCAAGTCAAGAGAGAGACTAGGATGGAAGCTGCAGTGTCTCTCATGACCTAGTCTCAGAAATCACACACCATCACTTTTTCATTTGTTTTTTTAGAAGACAGTCACTAAATCCTGCCTACACTCAAGGGACTATCAAAGAATTTATGGACATATCTGAAACCCTCACAACCATAAAGCTCTGTGAGAATATAAGTTCTTGTTCCTCACAACTATTGTAATTCATTGTGGACTCTTGGCTGTGCTGGATGCATCCTCTTTGTCAGATTCAAGGAAGGCTGTCGGCTCACAGATCCTTTATGCCTCTTGGATTCTGTTGTACCTGTTCATTGGTTTGCAGATAATTTGTGGGTAGTTTTTTTCTGTCCAGCTAGAATGTAGGCTCAGGCCATGTCTCAGACTTCTGTTGTGTCCTGACATAGCGAAGTTTCAAAAGTGACGTCCATTTCCAGCGGTGAGAATATGATTCTAGGATGGTGACCGTTCACAGAAAAGGTGAAGTGAGGCAGAGAGTTGTGATGTCCAAAAAATAATGAACTTGGTTTTGGATACGGTTAGTTTGAGGTATTTAAAAAGTGATTAAATGGAGCCACTCAGAAGACCGTTGAAATGTGAACTATGAAGGGAGCAACGAAAATTGAAGGGTGTCCTCTGCAAAGAGGTAACGGTTGAGGTTGTGAAAAGAATGAAATTGCTGAGGGAAGAGTGAAGAAACAGGGAAAGCCAAGGGCAGGCCCTTGGGTCCTGTGGGAGGAAAAGGAAGCCGGGAAGAAGACATGAGCCACGAGGGCAGGAGGCAGCGTGGCCCAAGCAGGAGAAAAATTCCACTGAGGCGGTGTGACCTTTCAAAGGTGCAGGCTAACAGCAGGAGACCACGGATGACCTTCCGGGGTGTGGCTCCGGAGAGTGGGGTTAGTAGAGACACTAAGAGGTTCCAGGATGTGTGAATTGTGAGGAAGAAAGCACAGAGGGTGTCTTGGATGTTTGAAGTGGAAGGAGAAGGTAGAGTCGGTTGAGGTAACAGCGTTGAGTGGGGTTCTCCTTGGGTTGGATGACCCTGAGGGAAAGCCAGTGGAGGGAGACTGAATGGCTATTTGGGGTGCGTGACCGAGGCAGGGGGTAGAGGAGAAATGAAGGGCGCATAGGGAGGGGTTTGGCTTGGCAAGAAAGGGAGCTTGCCAACAGCTCCCCGAGATCAAGGCTAGCCTGGGGGACGTGGGGAGAGTTTGAAAGAAGCCTCTCGGGGGCACAGTGACTGAGGCTTTCAGAGCAGCCTGAGGCGAGTGATGTGAACGTGCGATGTGAACGTACGGGCGGCACCTGCGAAATGTGGGGATTTTTATCCAGCAGCAGGGAAGCAAAATGAAGAAAGTGGGCTGGATCATCTATTCCCGTCGTCCGCAAACTGCGGCTCGCGAGCCACATGCTGCTCTTTGGCCCCTGGAGTGTGGCTCTTCCACAAAATACCACGGCCTGGGCGAGTCTATTTTGAAGAAGTGGCGTTAGAAGAAGTTTAAGTTGAAAAAACGTGGCTCTCAAAAGAAATTTCAGTCGTTTTACTGTTGATATTTTGCTCTGTTGACTAATGAGTTTGCTGACTACTGGGCTATTCCAAGTTGGGGACTCACCCAGGTCTATTGAGGGCCCAGGGAGTCTGTTTCTCAAGATGGCTGGTGAGCTGTGATCAGCACACAGGTGTGTGCATCGTGCCCGTGCAGGAGGCCCTGAGGGCTGTGAGCACTGGTGCACGGGCTGGCATTCCTAATTTATGGGAGGACATTGCCCACCTACCACACTGTGCACCGGTGAGCAGACACCCAGGGGGCTGACTCTCATGTGCACACAGGTGCCACGTGGGCCCGCTGTGGCTGTGTGTGCAGGCAGGAGACTGGTGGACCAGGCTTAGAGCCTGGGGGAGATCTGAGGGGTTGGATTTCAGAGTGAGGGTGCAAGGCTGGCCTATTAGGGATGTGAAAGTGGTGGGAGGTAAGGCCCTGTGGCCAGCGAGGGGAAGTTCTGTTATTAAAATCATGGAAGTGAAACCATTTTTGAATGATTCCGTCCCAGGTGAGGCCATGCTGGTGAGTGACAGGCAAGTGTCCTTGTCAAACTGAAATAACAGCTTAAATAACAGATGAGCCTGCCTGGGACACCGAGGGACTGACAGTAGTCAGTGGGTGACCCAGGCTACAGTGGAATTTCCTGGTATTGGCAACCACGATTCAGCACATTCAGCAAATGTCTTGATTTCAAACTTTATGCTTCTAGATGCGTGGACATAGCTGTGAACTCGCATACCTTTAGCTATTACATGGGCAGTGACCAAAAATGTCACCGCGTGCCCAGAGGTGACCCGACCAGAAATACAGGTTTTCTAACAGGATTTTACTGTGTTTGGCTCACCGATACCCGCTCAGAACTGACCACACCCCTGTCTCCCTGAGCGCCAGAAGCAGCGCAATGACTCCAGCTCTGCCTTCATGTACCCAGGAACCTAAAAAAGAAATTGCAGAGGATATAGTAAGTGCTTAAAAAAAAAAAAAAGGAAGGCAGTGTTGGCCATCATTATTCTGGAAGCACAGGGCCAGGAACAGAATGGACTGACCACACTGAAGCAGAGCGGGTGGGGTTAGGGGATGGAGAGCCCTGGAGAGCAAAGGCCAGGCTCCAGGCTCCAGGGGCCCCAAGGTCTGAGAAGGGGAGGGAGGGGAGGTGCCGGACTGAAACTCTCGTTGAACCAGGTTCCGGTGACTTTTGTCGACATCGCTGTGTACTTCTCTGAGGACGAGTGGAAGAACTTGGACGGATGGCAGAAGGAGCTTTACAACAACCTCGTGAAGGAGAACTACAAAACCCTCATGTCCCTGGGTGAGTGCGCACACACACACATACATACACACACACACACACACACACACACACACACACACACACATACACACACACATACACACACACACACACACACACACACACATACACACACACCCCGCCTGCCTGCCTGGCCGCCGTCCTAGAGGGGCATGGCGTGCTTTCAGCCCACGTTCACACTCCCGGGCCGTACGATATAAGACGCGATTTGCTTATAATGCACAGGAGATGGAATGGTTCCTAATAGGATGAGAAGGAAAAATCCAGGGACAGGGCTTATCCTAGAATTGAATGCCACCACTATTGTGCAATACGGTCGGAAGCGCTACATCCCAGCAGCCTCGGTAAGCCACGGCGGGCCTGCTGTTGGCTTTCCAAGACCGACTGTGTCCACACCAGAAATTGGGGTATCTGTGGACATGTTTTCAGGTTCCTTGAGCCAGTGTGACTCACGAGCCACATGCGGCTCTTTGGCCCCTTGAGTGTGGCTCTTCCACAAAATACCACGGCCTGGGCGAGTCTATTTTGAAGAAGTGGCGTTAGAAGAAGTTTAAGTTTAAAAATTTGGCTCTCAAAAGAAATTTCAACCGTTGTGCTGTTGATATTTGTCTCTGTGGACTAATGAGTTTACCCACCACTGGCCTAGGAGATTGATTACCTGAGGAGCTCACATAACGACCTCCACCGAGGGGCACCCAGCAGGGGGGAGGGGGAAGGGCTGCCAGCGCCCTGGGTCATGACCCCCTGCTCAGCCTCACTCAGTCCCTCCTACCTTCCAACTCATTGCAGACGCAGAGGGCCCTGGGCCCAAGCCGGAGGCCCCGTCCCAGGCAGAGCCCCGGGAAGAGCCTTGCGTGTGGGAGCAGCGGAACCCGGAAGAGAGAGAGATCCTGATGGATCCTGACACAGGTGATGGCGGCTAAAAAAACACAGGTCCAGGACAGGAGAAAAGCCCTGCCCCCCTCACGTCCCCTTCACCTTCCCACCTCAGTTCAATAGGAGCTTCTTTTTTTTTCTTCTTTCTTTTAATATATTTTAATTGATTTTACAGAGAGGAAGGGAGAGAGATAGAGAGCCAGAAACATCGATGATGAGAGAGAAACATCGACCAGCTGCCTCCCGCACACCCCCCACCGGGGATGTGCCCGCAACCAATGTACATGCCCCTGACCGGAATCGAACCTGGGACCCTTCAGTCCGCAGACCGACCGACACTCTACCGCTGAGCCAAACAGGTTTCGGCAGGAGCTTCTTTTTTTTAAATTGATTTTTAGAGAGAGAGAGAAACATCAATGAGAGAGAAGCACATCAATTGGCTGCCTCCTGCACACCCGCTACTAGGGATTGAGCCCACAACCCAGGCACGTGCCCCGACCAGGAATGGACTGGTGATCTCTGGATGTATAGGTCCACGCTCAGCCACCGAGCCAAACCAGCCGAGCAACAGGGGCTTCTTTTCAGTTGTTTGTGGGGCCACTTCTACCACCGTTGGAATTTGTTGGCCTGCCAAAACCGGTTTGGCTCAGTGGGTAGAGCGTCAGCCTGTGGACTGAAAGGTCCCAGGTTCGATTCCCGTCAAGGGCATGTACCTTGGTTGCGGGCACATCCCCAGTAGGGGGTGTGCAAGAGGCAGCTGATCAATGTCTCTCTCTCATCGATGTTTCTAACTCTCTATCCTTCTCCCTTCCTCTCTGTGAAAAATCAATAAAATATTTTTAAAAAAAAAGAAAGAAAGAAAGAAATTTGGTGGCCACTTACAGGAAGAGAGCTCAGGCCTGAAAGCCCACCAGGGTGCTGGGTTAGAGCCGTGCAGCTCTGGACGCCCAGGCGAGCTGGCGGGAGAGAAGGGGACCAGGCAGGCTGGGGCATCCAGGCCTGACGGTGACCTGCAGGGAGCGGCCTGAGACCTGGGAGCAGCCCCACGGGAGGGCGGGAAGGGGTGTGCATGGACATGCAGTGTTTTTTAGTTTTGTTTTGTTTTTTAAATATATTTTATTGATTTTTCAGAGAGGAAGGGAGAGAGAGAGAGAGAGCACTAGAAACATTGATGAGAGAGAAACAGTGACAGCTGCCTCCTGCACACCCCCTATTGAGGGTGTGCCCACAACCAAGGTACATGCCCTTGACCGGAGTCGAACCCGGGCCCTTCCAGTCTGCAGGCCGTTGCTCTATATACTGAGCCAAACCGGTTTCGGCTGGACGTGCAGTTTTGCTGGGGGCCTGCTGCTTCTCGCTCATGTGTCATCTCCAGTATCGTCGTCCATTCTCACACAGAGCCCCTCGTCACAGGCAGACTTGCTACCCCTCAAGGCTTTTTCCTCCCCCAGAGGAAAATGCGGTTCCTGCAGCATCACCCCGGGCGGGCGGCCTTCACCTGGGCTGGAAGGTGCTGGGCTTCCCGCCCCTGTGCCCTCCAGGCCTCCTCTCGGGGCTTCGTTCTCCTAAGTGGTGTTGGACCAGGTGGAATCTGTGCTCTAATGGCGTTCTCTGCCTTATCATATAACTGTCACCTGTCCGTGCCTGTGTTTGACATTTTTGCTGTAAGCATCTTTGCTGCAAGCATTTTTGCCATGTTTGTTTTGCCACACAATTGGCCATAGGCAACTTCACCACAGAAGATCAAATAACCGGCTGGCATTTTGGTTTATGTTTGGCAGACTTCACGTATTTAAGATGATTGCCAGTTGGTCTCATTTCTGCATTGACAAGGTTCTCACAGTGTTTGTGTTATTAAATCTTTTTTTAAATTATTATTGATTTGGGAGAGAGGAAGAGAAAGAAACATTGATTTGCATTTCATTTATTTACACATTCATTGATTGATTCTTGTATGTGCCATGACTGGGGATTGAACCCGCAACCTTGGTGCGTCAGGGTGATGCGCTAGCCAACTGAACTACCTTAGGCCAGGGCCTCTTCATTTATTTTTTCCATTTTTTTTTTTCCTTCTTTTGGGTTAACTGATCAATTTTTATTATTCCATTATATCTCTTGTATTGAATTATTATTTATATACATTTTAAATTTTTCAGCATTTACCAGAGTTTTTCCTTCTTTTTAAAGCATTTATTTTCAATTATAGTTAACATACAATATTATATTAGTTTCAGGTATACACCTCAGTAATTAGACATTATGTTTTTTTGTTTGTTTTTTAATTTATTTTATTGATTTTGTACAGAGAGGAAGGGAGAGAGATAGAGAGTTAGAAACATTGATGAGAGAGAGTCATTGATCAGCTGCCTCTTGCACACACCCTACTGGGGATATGCCCGCAACCAAGGTACATGCCCTTGACCGGAATCGAACCGGGACCCTTCAGTCCCCAAGCCGACGCTCTATCCATTGAGCCAAACCGGTCTCGGCTCTATGTTGTATTTTACATCTCACGGCTGTTTGTATCTACTACCTTATATGTCTTTTTTTTTTAATTTTTAAAATAATTAATTTTTTACAGAGGAAGGGAAAGGGATAGAGAGTTAGAAACATAAATGAGAGAGAAATATCGATCAGCTGCCTCCTGTACACCCCCTACTGGGAATGTGCCAGCAACTAAGGTACATGCCCTTGACTGGAATTGAACCCTGAACCCTTCAGTCCACAGGCCAGTGCTCTATCCACTGAGCCAAACCAGCCAGGGCCTATCTTGTATATCTTAATCCCCCTTCAACTTTTCAACCATCCTCCCAACCCATTCTCCCTTCTGGCAACTATCAAAATCTTCTCTGTATCTATGAGTCTGTTTCTGTTCTGTTTGTTTGTTTATTTTGGGGATTTTTGTTTGTATAGATTTTTATGTTTCATTACATCCTTTTCATGTCTCTTATTTTTTTCTTATTTTTATCCATTTTGGCTGAAATTGCCTTATGGCCTGTTAGTTGTGCAGTGAAAATGCTTGTGGCAAAGATGCTTAGGCTGAAATACCTAGAACCTGCAGCCGTCTGAGGTGGGCAGCTGAGGCAGCCTTTCAGTGACAGCACTGAGTTACGGCCCCTCCGTGTGCCCAGAGGGCAGGGGCCACTGTGCCCATTGTATGGGTGGGATGGGCAGGCAGAGCCAGAGAAGACAAGTGACTCATCTGCTGGGCTGGGGGCAGAGTTCAGACCAGGACCACGTGTTCCTTTAATCTCTTGACTGCTGTCTGTGCTGTCTCCTGCCAGGACTGGTACATTGCACCATAGAACAGCGTAGAGGAAGATGCCTTCTTGCCACGTGTCAGGGTCTTGTCACTGTCTGTTAAGCCGTGCACCCTATGGGACGTTGGGCTGCATCTCTTTGCCTAGTCTAACTTCTTGCTAATTCTGTGCCTGTGTGAGTGGGTGCGTGGGAGTATGAGTGTGTGTGTCTGGCCACCTCTTCCTGACTCGGGCGACAAATGGGACCAATGAACTCCTTCACGAAGGTCAGACTAGTCCTGTTTAGCACCCAGCCTGGCGTGGGGCTGTGTCTGGAACTCTCCTGGCCTTTCACCCCACTTTTTGCTGTTTGGCCTATTCCCTCAATGCCTCTGCTCCCAGGACTTCTGCCTGCAGGATCCCAAGACCCCCTGTGCTCGTCCCTGGCAAGGGCTGTCAGCCCTGCTCCTGACCCCAAGGGCACATCCAGATGACAGTCATTCCCAAAGAGACTAAACGATATGGTTTTATGTCCCAGGACCGGAGCCCCTGGTGCCCGCACAAGACTCGTCTCAGGTGAAGCGTGAGGAAGCCCTGTGCGCCCGGGGTCCGCGGGGCCTGGAGGAGAGAGCTATCCCCACGGAGTCTATCACCGGTGAGTGAGCCCAGCGGCAGGGTCCGCAGGTCCTGGCCTTGTCGGCCACGTGTGCCAGACGCGGGGCCTGAGCTGGAAGTGGAAGGGCTGTGCATCCAGGATGGAGGGGGAGACAGGGTTTCCCATTGGGGCACAGACATGGCACACAGCAGGATGGTTTGCCAGCACATCTGGGCTTAGTTTGGTTTTCTCTGCTCTTTGTAATATGATCAGTTTTTAACTATTCCTTTTGACAAGCAAGGTTAGGGCAGCCCTTTATGAGGCTCCTTGGGTGGGGGGATGTGTCAGCCTGTAAGACCTGCTCCTGACCAGGAAGAATGTTCCCTGTTTTATACAAATGTTCATGAGCTGGGGCCTCCAGGCACCAGCTCGGTTGCATCCTGTGGGGTAGTCTGGGGAGTTCCTCTTAGATGGCATTGCAGCTGGACTCTGTGTGAGAACTCTGTGAGAGCACCTGTGTGTTGAAGTTCTCCAGTGAACCAATAGGGGTGTGTGGGTATGTGTGGATGGGGTGTGTGTGTGTGTAGAGAGAAAGAAAGCAGATTGACTGACTGACTGATTGATCGATTGATTGATTTGAAGACAGTGGCTTCTGTGACTGTTGAGTCTAGCACATCCAGAATCTTTAGGGTAGGCTGTCAGGCTGGAGACCTGGCCTGCGGGCAGAAGTCCTCTTCCCCGGGGGAGGCCGGCATTTCCTTTAAGGCCTTCAACTGAGTGGATGAGGCCCACCCACATAATGGAGGATAATATGCTTTACTCCAAGTCTGCTGAGTTCAGTGTTAACCTCATCTTTAAAAAGTACCTTCACAGCAACCTCTAGAATAATGTTTGGCCCAATATATGAATATTGTCTGCTACCTCTCTGTTCCCAGAAGGGCCTGGGAGCAGACAAGTAAGAAACATTCAGGGGTTAGGCCAAGCAACAGAGCGTGGTGTGAAAGGCCAGGAGACATAAAATCAGACATCAGCCGATACGTTAGCATACGGTAGCTCTCCTGACCCGCAGGCTGGCGCTCACAAACCTCATCCCCTAAGTAAGTGATGGCAGAGGCTGAGTGGAGGAAAGCCCTGTCATCCAGTCCCCAAAGAGATCTTTCCGAGATGAGAGGGCAGTAAGGGTTAATGAGGAGAGATGGCCTCGAAGAAGAAAGGAGATGTAGAATACATCCTACAAATACCCCACTGAGAAGAAAGGCTTCAGAGAAGGTACGATTTTCCGGGACAATCCCCACATGAGGACTGGTTGCTTCCAAGGTGGTGCTCAGTCCTCAGTACCTGAGCATGAATCTCCTCCAAGGAGTTAAGTTCCCAAGCACAGAAAGACTTTCTCTCTTTTTTTTTTTATATATATATATATATATATATATATTTTTAATTTTATTGATTCTTTACAGAGAGGAATAGAGAGGGATAGAGAGTTAGAAACATCGATGAGAGAGAATCATCGATCAGCCGCCTCCTGCACACCCCCTACTGGGGATGTGGCCGCAACCATGGTACATGCCCTTGACCTGAATCGAACCTGGGACCCTTCAGTCTGCAGGCCGACACTCTATCCACTGAGCCAAACCGGTGTCAGCAGAAGGACTTTCTCTTGAAGTCACTGTTCTATCATTCCCCAATAGCATCCACTTATTTGCAGCAAAAGCTCCAGTGTTTGAGGCCAAGCTGACTGAAACCTCTAATTATTCAATAATTAATTAGCATAGGTTAGCTAATAGTTTCCCAATTTGTAGGGAAAAGACACAACTGCATGTAGTAAGAGATTTACTCAAAGCAAAGACTTGTGGGCATTTTTATGTCCCCTGACACCTTTGCTGGTCTGTTCCCATGTGCAGACTCGCCAGCCTCTGCCCAGGACCTCCTGTCCCGAATCAAGCAGGAGGAGAACCCGTGCGTGTGGGATCAGCAGGACTTGGCAGAGAGAGATATTCCAACGGACCCCAATTCAGGTGAGCACGGTGCCCTGGAATATTGGGAGGATAAGGCTGCTGGCTTTTCAATTATTATTATTATTTATTTATTTTAATATATTTTATTGATTTTGTACAGAGAGGAAGGGAGAGAGATAGAGAGTTAGAAACATCGATGAGAGAGAGTCATCGATCAGTTGCCTCTTGCACACCCCGCACTGGGTATATGCCCGCAACCAAGGTACATGCCCTTGACCGGAATCGAACCCGGGACCCTTCAGTCCCCAAGCCAACGCTTTATCCATTGAGCTAAACCGGTTTTGGCCAATTATTATTATTGATTTGAGAGAGAGAGAGAGTGAGAGTGAGATAAAAACATCAATGATAAGACAGAATCATCATTCAGCTGCCTCCTCCATGCCCCCTAGTGGGAATCAAGCCACAACTCAGGCATGTGCCCTGACCCAGGAATCGAGCTGTGATCTCCTAGTTCATAGGTCATTGCTCAACTGAGCCACTCCAGCTGGGCTGCAACTTTGTACGGATTTTAGAAAGTGGAAAGGGTTTTTCTAAAGGAGTCATTGACCATTTGCTGTGTCAGTGTAACTAATATTAAAATTACTTCCTCAGCACTGATTTTTAAACAATAAATATAACGAAAAAGGCTTTTTAAAGTTGTGTATACGTCTATAAATGTATATTTACACTTCCTGGAATTTTTCTTGAGTGAATACTAGTTAGATGTCTCCCAGGAAAACTTCTGAGGAGGGTCTGGGCATAAAGGAAAACATAAAATCATAATTGGGGCGCCCTACTGCCTTGGACCTCTGTGTGTGAGTGTGGGTGTATGTGTGTGTGTTGACATAAGCTTGCAGATCTGGAGAACTCCAGTGTCATCTCATTTGGTAAACATGACCCCGAAGTTTGCTCCCACCCCCGCATTCCAGGAAGAGATGATGAACTCTACAACTTTACCCTGGGGAGGTGAGAGGCTCCGGGCAGAGGGAAAGCCAGGCCTTCCTGACAGAGTGCAGTTCTTACGACAGCCTTTGCTCACTGCTCCCACCGTTGCTAATCTCTGAGCCCCACCTCTCATTCCTCGGTCCTATGGGCCTTCAAGGCTGCCCTCTGGCTTGTTCTGGACCTACAGGCCATTCTGGGGCTCAGTGGCCACGATCAGGAGACCTGGGTTCTAATCCTGGCTGTGCCGCCACACAGGCTTGGGGACAAGCCTCCTCCGCCCTGACCCCGGGAAGTGTCGTGAGCACAGCGATGTCCGTGTACGCAGGCCTGAGTGGGGAGGACCGCCAGCAAATGAAGCTGATGCCAGAACCGCCACGTGCCCCGAGAGCTGAGCTGCAGCCTCTGCACGCGATGTTTTTTTGTTTTGTTTTTTTAATGTATTTTATTGATTTTTTTACAGAGAGAAAGGGAGAGGGATAGAGAGCCAGAAACATCAGTGAGAGAGAATCATTGATCAGCTGCCTCCTGCACACCCCCCACCGGAGATGTGCCCGCAACCAATGTACATGCCTTTGACCGGAATCGAACCCGGGACCCTTCAGTCGGCAGGCCGACGCTCTATCCACTGAGCCAAACTGGTTTCGGCTGCACGTGATGGTTTTTGAACTTTTGATGGGACGCTCAGCAGAAATGAACGGATGCTAAGACTGCCTTCTTTCCACGAACAGAGTCTCTGATCTCAGCACATGACATTTTGTCATGGATCAAGCAGGAGGAGCAGCCGTACCCGTGGGGCCCTCGAGACTCGATGGAAGGAGAGCTGGGATTGGACTCTGGCCCCAGTAAGTGCTGTGTGCGGCGCCCCGGGGCCCCCGGGTGCTTGTCCAGAGGGATGGCTGCTCCCTCAGCTTACCCCCGATAAGGCGATGCTCTGTTGGGGCGGGCGGCCTTCCGTCGGTCAGTACCAGAGGCAGGCCCCTTTCCTTCTGCAGGCTGGGAGGCTTGTTCGTGTCCTAGGGCTGTCTTAAAGCCCCGCACCCTGGGTGGCTTTGAAAAACAGAACTGTGTTGTCTCACAGCTCAGGAGGCCAGGAGTCTGAGATCAGGGGGTGGGCAGGGCCGCCCCCTCTCTGAAAGCTCCAGGCAATCCTCCCTTGCCTTTCTCGGCAACACCTTTGGTGTTGCTGAGCTTGTAAGCGTGTCGCCCCAGTCCTCTGTCTTCACGTGTCTGTGTGTTCACCAGGCTGTCTTCTCATAAGGACACGGTCCTATTGGACCAGGGCACCCTGCTCCAGTGGGACCACATCTTCACGAATTCCACTTGCAAGGACCCTGTGTCCAAATCAGGTTGCATTCTGAGGACCTGGGTGTTCAGGTTTTTATAGTTTTGGTGTGGGAGATGGGAGGGAGGTGTCATTTAGCCCATAACATTGGGAAAGGGGAGTGGGCTGGGACAGAGCTGACAGGAGTTGATGGCGCCCATCAAGACAGCATGGCCGGGGCCAGCCCCGAGCTGGGCCCCCAGTGTCACAGGTGAAGATCCTGAAGCTCGAGCAGAGAGAGGGGATTTCCCCTCCAACAGGTTTCTGACCAAACGTCTCCGCAGTTTGGGTCTCCTGGGCATTTTTTGAAGCTCCACTTATTACCTAGTGACCTTAGGCATATGTCCTTGGGGATTTAACACTCTTAGCTTTGGGGTAGCGTTCCTGGCCAGACCCAGTGCCGTCACCCTCTTCTGGTTGATCGGAGTGTGAATTCATATTCCTGACACCCTCTAAGAGCTTAAAATCCAGCTACGAGCTGAGGACACAAGTCATTCCTGACCTGAAAGGCCATTTCAAACCCAGGTCAGCCCATCCCACTCTCTGTGACAAACGTAATTCCGTGTGGAGGCCCTTCTGACACATGAGGGACCTTCTCCAGCCCTCTTCAGCTGCCTGAGGCCGGACGCAGCAGGACAGAGGGGAGAGTGAGGGGGTCTCACCGTGTCTGCAGCGCTGACCACAGAGCTAAGCGGGGCCAGGAAGGGAGAACAAAGGAGACAAAAGCAGCCGGGCGCTCACACCGCGTTTGCGAATCATCAGAGCAGCACTGGGGCTGTTTGGGGCTGGGTTTCTAGGGAAACGGCCCCTGAGATGGCGGTTTGAGTGTGGTGGTTTCCTCGGGATCCTCTGGAAAACTCCCGGGAAAGAATGAGGGGAGGGGGCTGGGGTAGAAGGAGCAGCGAGGCCACAGCCAGGATCGCAGGCATTGTCCTGGACGGTCCGACTGGGGCCTGAGCATTGCCTCTGCCCTGGCTGCTGTCCTGTGGAGAGGGCTCTTTGTTCTCTGCTGGTCAGTCGCCATTGGCTTAGAGGGGGCAGGCTGGGCCCAGTCTGTTTAGGGATGACATAGGAGAACAGGCTTCAGTCAGATACTGACGAGCATGGGGTGGAGTGTGGCAGATGCGGCCTGGAAAGTCACCCCTGGGGAGCAGATGGGTCCTGGGCAAAGGAGAGAAAGGGATGCCCACGAGAGGTGGGGGACAGAGGGCAAGCTTCCCCTCCTTTATTCTTCCACGGACCGCCCCTAAGTGGGGGAGGGGTGCTTCCAGGGGAAAGGACTGCCCGCTGGGGGTTGGGGAGGTGATGGGAGGTAGTTTGCAGGGGGAGTAGTTCCTACGGCGGAATCCTGGCCAAAAGGTCCTGCTTGGATGCTCAGCCTGGACTTTGGCCTCACTGGTACTGGAAACTGGGAGCTTGTCCTTGAGACATGGGGGTGCAAGCAAAAGGCATCACGGCAGGAGCAGGAACAGCTTCCTGGGGAGGCGGCTGGGCATCCGCTTCCACACTGGGGCACGGGGCCCCAGTCACACATGGCCAAGCTTCAGGACGGAACTCACACCAGCCCAGCTGAGCAGCTGCTGTACAAGGCAGAAGGGGGCTTGTCTGGTAGAAAGATGACTCACTGGGAGGGTGGGTATGGTCCCAGCTCCCCGCAGCCCATTCCTGTTGGCCTCTAGACAAGCTTTTCAACTTGAATAAGTTATGGCAAATTCCCTCCAGTTGAGAGGTTTTCAGATAAATTAGCCTTGAACATCAGAACACAATTTCCCGCCCTCCCTGCAAGCTGCCTCCTCTCCAGCAGGTGGCTTGGGGCAGGTCAGAGGGGCAGGGAGCCCAAGAGACATATGGAAAGTGGCCATTTGCCTTGTTCAGGCCCCTCATTTTCCTAGAGAAGCCCGGGCCCAGATTGCCTGTGCCTCCCAGGAAGCCGCGGGCAGATGAGCTGAGCACATCTGCCCCTTGCAAGGACAGTGTAGGGTCCTGGTCGGAGCGCTGTCAGGTCGTCATTTCTCTGTGTCTCTTCCTCCCCAGGTGACAACCTGCTGCTGGTGAAGAACCCGGCCCCAGCCCAGCCGCCCCAGCCCGCTCCGCCGAGCCTGCCCCCCGCTCCGGTGGCCGAGAACGCGGGCGGCGCCCTGGGCCGGAGCGCCGCGGGGCTGCTGGACGACGGCTTCCCCGCGCTGGCCGGGGAGCGGGGCGCGGCGGGCGGGGCGCAGGCGGGCGGCGGCGGGGGCGCGGGCGGGGGCCCCGGGGGCGGCGGGGGCTGCGGCAGCTGCTGCCCGGGTGGCGGGCTCCGGCGGGGGCTCCTGCAGGGCGCGCGCAACAAGCCCTACTCGTGCCCCGAGTGCGGCAAGAGCTTCGGGGTGCGCAAGAGCCTCATCATCCACCACCGCAGCCACACCAAGGAGCGGCCCTACGGGTGCGCCGAGTGCGAGAAGAGCTTCAACTGCCACTCGGGCCTCATCCGCCACCAGATGACGCACCGCGGCGAGCGGCCCTACAAGTGCTCCGAGTGCGACAAGACCTACAGCCGCAAGGAGCACCTGCAGAACCACCAGCGGCTGCACACGGGCGAGCGGCCCTTCCAGTGCGCGCTGTGCGGCAAGAGCTTCATCCGCAAGCAGAACCTGCTCAAGCACCAGCGCATCCACACGGGCGAGCGGCCCTACACGTGCGGCGAGTGCGGCAAGAGCTTCCGCTACAAGGAGTCGCTCAAGGACCACCTGCGGGTGCACAGCGGGGGCCCCGGCCTGGGCGCCCCGCGGCCCCTGCAGGCGCCGCCCGACCGGGACTAGGGCTGGGCCGGGGGAGGGAAGGCCGGCAGCTGCGGCGGCGGGCGCGGGGGTGCGGAGGGCCTGGGGGCGGCCTGACCACCCTCCATCCTGCCGATCGTGCCGCGGCTCCCGTGCGCCTTCCTTCCCTCCGCCTGCCGCCCGCTGGAAATCGGGAACAGGAATTGCACTCTAAACAGGGTCCCCCAGCGTTGGACAGGGGTCCCCCTAGACCTGTCCGGCCTGAATGAACGGCCCAGCTCATCTCAGAGGTGGCTCAAGGGGCCGGCTGCGCGGCTTCCCCGCAGGGAAAGTGCAGGAGGGGCAGCGAGGAGGCCGGAGGCTGCCCGCCCGCCCCTCAGACACCCGGAGTGCCCACTTGGCCACTGGGGTCTCAGATTGTGATCATGGGAAGCAACCAGGGGGTCTCGGAAGCCCGAGACCGGGAGATCGGGTCCCAAGGCTGACATGCTGCAAGAGGAAGCCAAGGCGTGGCCGAGCCGAGGGATGTGCTAAGGGATACCACCACCTCCACGACGACAACACTGCCTCGCGTTTGAATAGCGCTTTCTACTTTTTTAAACGTGTTTTCTATCCGTTACCTATTCTTGCCCTTAGCCTATCCCTCTGTGGCAGGTGGGGGTAGGGTTTGCCTGATTCGGTAACCAAGGAGAGGCGCAGGCCAGGTGGTTTAGCCCAGATGACAGGAGAAGGGCGGCAGAGCTGGGACCAGGCTCCTGACCCAGCGCAGTGTCCCCACCGCACTCACTGCCTACCTCCCACATCTGAGACAGACCTCGCTGGCCCTGCCTCTCCCGGTCTCTCTCCCTGGCCCCCGACCCACCAAACAATCAGAAGCCACTGGGGACAGTTCGTTGGGTTACGGGGAGTGGGGTACAGATCGCCTCAGGTTATGCTTCTGAAAGGCGCTTCCTCTGTGGGCACTTTTGGGGTCCAGGACCCGTCCCCCGGCCCATCCCTCCCACCTCTAGTCCCTCAACCTGGTGCAACCCATCTTGTTACTACACCGTAGTGACCCGGCCCTCCGGAGGCAGCTGGTGCCCTGGGTCCGAGCTCACCCTGACGATCTATTCCAGTTTCCCCAGAGCCACAGGGTGAGAGCAAGGCTCATGCTGCAGGGGCCGCCATCGAGGAAGCGCATCTCTTCCCAGGAGGGCCGGGCAGTGGGTGCTGGAGGCCGAGAGCCTCCGTCTCTCTCCTGCCCTGAGCCTCCCAACCGGTGCTATCTGTTACTGACCATGCTCACGGACATGGACGTGGACACAGACCTCCTCTGCTCCAGACCCTGCAGGCGCCTCAGGAGGCGCCCAAAGGACTCCCTTGTGTTGGTGCAATGCTCCGTGGTCCCGCGGGGCCACCGTCTCCATTTCTGCGTCTTGCATGGCCAGGCACTGGGGTGGGGTGGCATGCCCCAGTTACCCTCATTTGTGTTGAGAATGACTTTTTCTGCTCCGCCCGTCCACCCCACTTCTCTCCGGTCCGTCCGGGAGCACGGTGGGCAGCCTGCACCTGGCACCACGTTTGTGAGCGCTCTGCTTCCTCCCTCACCTGCACCGCTTGGCTTTCCTCAGACCCCTGTTTGCCATGCAAAGGGAATTCCCGAAATTAAATAAAAGGTGTCCAGATCGCAGCCTGCATGTTCACAAGGCCGAGCGAGGGTTCTGCATTGTGGCTTCAGACAGGAAAGCCTCCATACGACTGGAGCCCAACTACCTGGGGTTTTTCTCCTCTGTTCATTTTGAAGGAGGCAAATCTTAAAACTAGCTGAGAAATTAGGCAGACAAGTCCAGTGGAGTTCTGTTAGTGCAGAAGGGACTCTTTAAAACATTGTTTTTGTGGGGAGGGAGCAGTCTCTGGTTTTCAAAGGCATTTGTAGGAAAGCAAGCTTTTCATCTAAATAATTGGAAATAAGACCTTTTTTTTTTTTTTTTTTTTTTTTTTTTTGGCTGTTAAGAGTATAAAGATAGGGAGAGATCACTATTGAGACATGGATTTGAAGTATTTGAGCACATAGTTCAAGTGTATATTTTGCCTTCAATGAGCTGATTCCCAAAAAGGTTTAGAGACTAAATTAGAGGGCAGAAAGTTAGCACCTGGTTCCTTCACCTTAGCCTGGTAGATCCCAGGGCACCGAGAGCCCTCAGCTAGGAGGCACCCCAGCCTCCAACCCTGGCCCCAGGGGAGTCCAATAGTGAGCCCTGCCCCTGAGCCGATCCAAGGTGATGACACTCAAGATGGACTTCTCCCAGGCAGCAAGGATCCCAAGAGGGGACCCTGCAGTCCACTTTCTGAAGCGTCTGTTTTGGGTGGATTTTTATTTCCCATCTGATAGTGTGTTAATTAAAACTAACTTTTAATTTTAAAAATGTGCACAGTAAAGTTTCAAATGGTTAAAAAAGACAATCCTCACTCGAGCATATATTTTTATTGCTTTTTAGAGAGCAGAAGGGGGAGAGAAACATCCATCTTTTTCCTGCCTGATCTCCTGTTGAAAAGCATCCACTGCTAAGAGCTTTTTTTTTTTTTTTTTTAATATATTTTTATTGATTTCAGAGAAGGGAGAGAGATAGAAACATGAAAGATGAGAGAATCATTGATCGGCTGCCTCCTGCATGCCCCACGCTTAGAATGACAGCCTGGGCATGAGCCCTGGCCAGGAATGGAACTGTGACCTCCTGGTTCATAGGTAAATGCTCAACCACACCAGCTGGGCAAGAGCTTTTAAAAATCCTCACTCAAGAATGTTTTCACATTATTATTATTATTATTATTTTAGGGAGAGAGAGGATGAGAAACATCAATTAGTTGCCTCCTGTACCCATGCTGACCAGAGATTGAACCCAGAACCCTCTGATGTATGGGTTGACGCTCCAAACAACTGAGCCAGCTGGCCAGGCTACTAAGAGCTTATATGTCCTTCCAGAACTGGAGAAGTCCTCACAGGGAGTGAGGTGACAGGCCCAGAGGAACGGAGAAGTGCTAAGCTGACAGAATTATCAGATGTCTGGTGCACACGCACTCCGCAGGGGGGTGCAGCCTGAACCACGCGCGTTCTGCTAGGATTCTCACTGACCTCAGGCCCAGTGCGGCATGCTCCCCAGCATTGTTTTTGTTTTTGAGAAAAGGTACACAAAGGATATGGTCCCTGCCACCTGGAGACTAGGATAGTAAGGGAACAGAATAGAAAGGGTCTCTACTAAATGGAATAAAGCTATGGCCTGTATACTTTCTTGAATAAAAAAATGTTTGGGCATATATATGCTAATACATATACTATAAATCACACTTGCAATAGAAAAAAAAGTCAAGGTAAATATTTTAAAGCATTTTAAACTATATTATTTGTGATTCAAAGACTACTTCTGTCACTAAAAATGGGGGTGTGAGTAAGATATCTAAGGTCACATTCAGCTCTGGGTGTGTGGCTTTTTTTTATTACTATTGATTGATTTCTAGAGAGAAACATCAATTTGTTGTTCCACTTATTTATGCATTCATTGTATGTACCCTCATCGGGGATCAAACGCACAACATTGGGATAGCAGGAGAACATTCTAACCACTGAGCTACTCGGCCAGGGCCTCTGGATGTTCAATCACTCATTCTACAGATGACAGGATATGAGTATATTGATTTCTCTTATAACAGTACCATCAATGGGAATAATTATGAACCTAACTTTAGAGTTTATTTGGCAGTTACTCTTTGAGCCTGCCCGCACTCGCTCTCCTTCTGAGAGTGTGCTTTCACTTTAATAAATCTTGCCGCTGCCTCTTGAATTCCAAGAAGAAGAAAAAAAAGTTTATTCAAAGGCATGTGTCAAGATATGGGTGTCATTGGGAGAGGACAAATGGGTGGCTTCTCAGACAAGGAGAATTTATCTTGGTGAATTCTAGCACCTTGCCAAAACAAAGACAAACTAAAATGAGAAGCTGCCTGTTATTGAGTGCTTGCTCTATAGCAGGCCTCCAGCTACATAAGCATTTTACTTATACAATGTCGTTTACTTTAACCCCATTAACAACCCTTGGATGCGGTTTTCATAACCTCAGGGAGAAGACACTGAGACAGAGTGAGCATGAGCCACACTTGGTGAGTGAAGGAGCCAGGATACAAATAATAGCAATCATGAGTGCATCTTGAACTCTTACTATGACGGGTTGCATTGTAAGCATTTGACTTGAACTAACTCATTTAGTCTGCACAACTCATAAGATGCGTGCTATTACTTCCCACTAATAATGAGGAATTGGAGGTGCCAAGAAGTTAACGAGTTGCTCAAAGTCCACATGTACTAAGTGGGGGTGCTGTTCTCACTCCTTGGCCCCACTTTCTAACTCCCTGTGCTGCCATCTCCGAAAGCCCATGACTCTGCAAAATAGTGCCTGGTGCTTCCTCCCTTGCACACTGGAAATCTGATCTAAATATTCTTCCAGAGTTCCAGGCTCAGAGTCAGGGATGCTGAATCATGCTGACTCTCAGGAGACTGACTGATGGATAAGCCAGAGTATCAGTTTAATAACTTCCAAGGGTGGGCTGGATAGTTGCATCAGCCTGACCTGCCTGTTGTCTCCCAATAGCTATCAACACAGGGACCTGCATCAGCATAAGGTTGCCTGCTGGACACAAAAATGAGATGGAGTGTGAGTTCTATACCTGGATCAGTGACCTCAGTATTCTATGTCCTGATATGACTATCTCCACAATCTCCATACATTATTTTCTGTATCTGCAGTAAGTTTTTGTTGGCCAGAGAGAGTAGCTCAAACCCTGGATATATCTTAATGGCTGACTAGTTTCCTCCACATGGCCCTTTAAATAGATCAATAATTCAATCAATCTCCTGTCAAAGTGATTGCCCTGGACATCATACATTTATATATATATATATATATATATATACACACACACACACACACATATATATATATATATATATATATATATATATATATATATATATATATAATTGATTCTTTACAGAGGAAGGGAGAGGGATAGAGAGCCAGAAAGATCCATCAGCCGCCTCAGGCACACCCCCCACAGGGCATGGGTCCGCAACCAAGGCACATGCCCCTGACCAGAATCAAACCCGGGACCCCTGAGTCCACAGGCTGACGCTCTATCCACTGAGCCAAACCGATTAGGGCACATCATGCTTTTTCTTAGAGGTGACTTTTCCTAGCCTTGCTCTCTGATTTGCTATTCAATCACCCAAAAGTATTTATGAGCACTTCTCTGAGCAAATAGAAGTATGGAGGAGGGAGAGACATTTTCATGAATTACCATATAAACAAATGAAAAAATGAGGTGATTTTGGATTGTGATAAATGCTATGAACAGTTTTTGGAGGAGAATAACTAGACTGGGAATTGGGATGGAGGAACATATAGGGAATGTCTCTCTGAAGAGGTGAAGTCTGACCTGAGCCCTGCAAACCAAGAAGGACTCAGTCATGTGAACACAGAGTTTAGTTCTCAGGGGAGGCATTTCATGTCTGTCATTGGAAGTGGAAGTTCATTGCAAGTCTCTGCAGAGACAATGTGGCACAAATTAGGCACGTATGGTTGCCAAACTCCACATGCATCATTTCACATGTAGCATGTGCACTGGATTGCATATTTGACATCAGGGCTATCTTGGGGTTTCCAAGGCATGTGATTACTTATCATGAATAGGTTACGGTGGGTTGGCCTTGGCATCTGACCCCACATTGTTGAGATGGGAAGTGTGCTTCTAGCTGCCGAAAAGCAAAATTTTGGAATACAACCGCTTGCCATTTGGGACCATAGCCCTTTCCCCCAACTAGATGACATGTTCTTCTCACAGAAAAAAAAAAGTATGAGTTTTATACATTTTGGAATATCGCAAAGCACCTAGCAGAGTTCTGGGCACGTCAAATATGGAAAAACAAAAACACTAAGTCCTTTGGGTTTGCCTTCCATTTGGAACCTGCCCTTGACGCGGAGGCGGCGCTGCTCTTCGCCCTCCGGCCGCACGGGGGCGCCATGGGAATCCCGCGCGCCGAGGACGGGCGGCTGGAGCCGGTCTTGGCCTTGTGTCAACACGGCGCCGGCGGCGGCGGCTGCGGGGAGGGGCCGGGGCGCCCCGCAGACCCGCGCGCAGTCTGAGGGAGAGCAGGCGCGGCCCCGCCGCGGACAGGCGCCCGGCAGCCATGGCGGAGTCGGCGTCGGCTCGGGTAAGAGTCCCCTCGGCCGGGGGCGCGTTCGCGGAGACGGAGCTGCGGGCGGGCGGGGTGAGGGGGGTCCCCGGGCTGCCGCCGCGCCGTGAGCGCCCACCTGCCCCCGCGCCCCGCCGGGCGCTGCCCCTGCCCGGTCCCCTCCGCGGCGGCCGGAGCGGAGCGGAGCGCCGCGCCTCCGCGGGGAAACTTCTCCGCGGCCCGTCCCGCGGCCCCGGGTGTGTGACGGCCCCGCAGCGCTCCCGAGAGCCCGCGCCCGCAGAGGGGTCGCGGCGGAAACTCCGGGTCCGCTCGGCTGCCCCGGAGCCCGCCGGCCGCTCCGGGACCCGGCGCCCCCCGCTCCCCGCTCCCCGCTCCCCGGCGGCCGGCGGGCTCGCTCCCGGCCATTGTGCCCCGCGGCCCCTCCGGCGCCTTGTCCCGCCTCGGACTTCGGTCCGGGGCTGCGGCCGCAGGTGGGAGTCGCGCTGGGCTTCCTCTCCCCCGGGACAGGTGTCAGCTCGCCGCGGAGCTGCGGGGGTTTGTCTGGGAAGCTGTGGGGTCCCCCCCTTCTCACCCCCGGGCCCCCAGGCTCCCGCAGGACCCCCGGCTTGGGGAGAGGGAAATCCTGGGCTTGGAGGCAAGACCCTGGTTCCCAGCCGTCACTCGCTCCCACCCTGGGCCTCCGCTTTCTGGGTGAACCGTGTGGGACTAGTTGCTGGATAGTCTAGTCTCTCAGGCTGCCGGCAGCTCTGACATTCGCGTGGTATTCGGAAGTAGTGGCTCCTTTGATAATGCAAGAGGATGGTGTGCTGTGGAAAGGGCAGATGGAATGTAATAGTTTTTATTTTATTTTATTTTGGATGTAGAGAGAAAGAGCAAGAGGAACATCGATTTGTTGTTCCACTTATTTATGCATTCATTGGCTGCTGCTGGTGTGCGCCCTGATGGGCGATCGAACCGGCAACCTTGGCATATCCGGACGACACCCGGCCAGGGCTGGAATTTAATTTTTTTTTATTATTGATTTTTAGATAGAGAGAGGAGGGGGGAGAGAGGAGGAAAGAGAGAAACATCGATTTGTTGTTCCACTTATTTAAGCGTTCAATGGTTGGTTCTTTTTTTTTTTTATAACCCATTGATTTTTTTTTTTTTTTTACTCATTGATTTTTTTTTTTTAATCCTCACCCGAGGATATGTTTTTATTGATTTTAGAGAGGAAGGGAGAGAGGGGGCGGGAGAAAGAGAAACATCGATCGCTGCCTCCCATCTGCGCCCCAAGCATTTCGTGGTCTAGAAACTCTTTCAGAATCATATGAGATCTCGTGAGAATTGAGGGCTAGCAAGATGCACTGTATTTGATTCTTTTTTTATTTTTTCAATCCTCACCCGAGGATATGTTTTTATTAATTTTTCAGAGAGAGGGGCAGGGGGAGAGAGGAACAGCGGTGGTCAGGGCCGTTTGATTCTTGCAGGAAGGGGGTGAGGACGTAGAGGGGAGGGACTGGCAGGCTCGGAGAACACTGTTTGCTCTCAGGGAAGCTAAAGTTGAACTGTGAAGACAAGACAATGTTTACAGCATTTGCCTCATCTGACTCCTTTAACGAAGGTGAAAGAGGCAGAGACCCGGCTTTCCTGCAGACCAGATGAGCTGTAAAGCAGGGCAGGAGCACTGCACAACGACTTGCATGGCATTAGCAGGGCTTATTAAGAGGAAGCCTTCAAGGATCCTCCAAAATTCAAAACTGCGCTCCAAGTGACTTATGGCTCTGTCCTTTAGTACAATGTATTTAAATTGTCCTCCAGCATTATTCCTGTTCTCAGGCATTTTCTCTTCAGATGAGGATTCTGTGTACCTCTCATTTTGATAGTGTGGCCAAGTAGATACCATGATGAGAACAACTAAAAATGCTGGCAGGGGGTGGGAAGGGTGGGGGGGCGACACATATATTTGAAATGTATGTTAGTAAAGAATACTGGGGCCCAAAACCCAGGTGAAAGAGGGAGCTCTTAAGAGGTAAGGAGAGCCGAAAACGGTTTGGTTCAGTGGATAGAGCATCAGCCTGCGGACTGAAAGGTCCCAGGTTCGATTCCGGTCAAGGGCATGTACCTTGGTTGTGGGCACATTCTCAGTAGGGGGTGTGCAAGAGGCAGCTGATGGATGTTTCTAACTCTCTATCTCTCTCCCTTCATCTCTGTATAAAATCAACAAAATATATTAAAAAAAAAAAAAAAAAAAAGGTAAGGAGAGTTCTGAAACCAACTTGGAGGGCTTTTGCTGAACATTCATCTGTGGTGTTTATGACCTCCAGGGGCCTGGAAAATAAAAGATGAAACTCAATGCCTAAGAGTCCCTGGTTGCGGGGGACTCCTACCAGAATCCCATAAAGCGGAGACTCCAAAGGGCAACATTCAGGGTGAACTGAAAGCTCTGACCCCCAGGTGATGGCAGAGAAAGTTACGTATGTCAAACCTTGGTGCCGCGAGATGAGTGCAAGATGTCTCTTGAAAATTGATGACTCTCAAATGGTTTTAAAAATATATATATTTTATTGATTTTTTTACAGAGAAGAAGGGAGAGAGATAGAGAGCCAGAAACGTTAATGAGAGAGAAACATCGACCAGCCGCCTCCTGCACACCCCCTATGGGGGACGTGCCCGCAACCAACGTACATGCCCCTGACTGGAATCAAACCTGGGACCCCTCAGTCCGCAGACCGACGCTCTACCACTGAGCCAAACCGGCTTCGGCTCAAATGGTTTTATTGCCTGAATTTATATGACCTGGATGGTCCTAGAAACTGCAAGCAGAGAATTTAATTTAAAGTAGAACCCTCCAGCTGTCTTGACAAAAATAAACATGAATCATCCTAGCTGGTTTTGCTCAGTGGATAGAGCATTGATCTCCATACTGAAGGATCCCAAATTCAATTCTGCTCAAGGGCACATGCCCAGGTTGTGGGCTCAGTCCCCTGTAGGGGATGTGCAGGAGGCAGCCCATCAACAATTCTCTCTCATCATGTTTTTATCTCTCCTCCCTTCCTCTCTAAAATCATTAAAAATATATTTAAAAAGAAAAAAAGGAGGGGGAATAACAGAATAAGGAAAAATTCATCTAAAAGAAGGTAAGAATGAAGATGAAAGTTGGGATAAATCACACAGAAAAGGTACAAAGTAAATATACATCAATAATTAGAATAAATGTAAATGGACTGAATGATCTAGTTAAAAGAAAAAGATGGGCAAGAGAAGGGAAATTCAGCTATATGGTTTATATAATAAAATATAGGATAAAGCCGAAACCGGTTTGGCTCAGTGGATAGAGCGTCGGCCTGTGGACTGAAAGGTCCCAGGTTCGATTCCGGTCAGGGGCATGTACCTTGGTTGCGGGCACATCCCCAGTGTGTGTGTGTGTGGGGGGGTGGTGCAAGAGGCAGCAGATTGATGTTTCTCTCTCATCCATGTTTCTACTCTATCCTCTCTCTTCCTCTCTGTAAAAAAATCAATAAAATATATTAAAAAATATATAGGCTAATGCTGTGGGAATGACTGGATATGAAAGGATAGGAAATCATATACCAGGTTAATAGTAATCAAAAGAAAATTGGCCCTCGTTGGTGTGGATCAATGGTTAGAGCATTGATCCTCATTCCTAAGAGTTGCAGGCTTGATTCTGGTCAAGGGCATGTACTGGGTTGCAGGTTCCCCTCCCCAATTGGAACGAGTGCAGGAGGCAACCAATTGCTGTGGCTTTCTCACACTGATGTTTCTCTCCTCTCTTCCCCTTCCTCCTCCCTTTCAGTTTCTAAAATCAAATGGAAAGAATATCCTCCTGTGAGAATTGACAAAAAAAAAAAAAAGAGAGAGAGAGAGAGAGAGAGGGAGGGAGGGAGGGAGGAAATGGGCTTATCTATAAATATTGCTGGAGATGGAGGACTAATACTGTTTTTATAATGGTAAAAGACTTAATTTACTAGCTTGATATGACACTTGTAGTGTTATATGCAGCTAATTATGTAGCCTCAAGTATATATAAAACAAAAGTTGATAGAACAAGGGAAAATTCACTACCATAGTAGAAGATTTTGATATTGGCTTAGTATTTTATCTAGCAGGAAACAATCAGTGAGGGTGTGGTATCTCCCACGAACATTCTGAGATGATGGGAATATTCTGTCTGCACTGCTCAGTGCAGTAGCTGCAAGGTGCATGTGACTGTTGAGCACTTGTAATGTAGCTCGTATGACTGAGGAACGTGCATTTTTAATTTAATTTCAATTCATTTAACTTTCAACAGCCACATGTTTCTAGTGTCTATTATAATAGACAGGACATATAGAAAGGATATGATTAACTTTTCCCATATATCTACCCCATATACATAATTTTGATGTATAGAGAAATTGGTGGGGGGAAAAAAAAGAGAAAACGGATAAAACCCTATTAGTGCCCTGGCCGGTGTGGCTCAGTTGGTTGAGCGGCGTCCCATGCACCAGGAAGATACAGGCTCGATTGCCATCAAGGGCACATGCTTGGGTTGCGGGCTGGATCCCCAGTGGAGGCTGTGCAGGAGGCAGCCGATTGATGTTGCACTCTCACATTGATTTTCTCTCTCCCTCTCCCTTCCTCTCTTGCTAAAAATCAATAAAGTATTTTTTTAAAAAGGAGTGGTGGTGGAGGGATTGAACAAAAAGAAAAAAAGAGCTTATGGACACAGACAAGGAAGTGGTGATTGCAGGGCGGCAGGGTGGAGGTGGAAGAGGACAGAGAGGGATAAATGGTGAAGGAAAAGATGATAAAAGAAAAACAAAGCCCTGTTAGTAATGGAAGTGTGTTCTGGCGCTGGCCGCGGTTCGGGCTGTGAAGCGGAGTCGCCATGCGCCCTCCCCCTGTCCAGCTTCCTCAGATGGCCGCAGTGCCTGCTTGCCTGCTATTTGCTCCAGGTGACACGAGCTCCCTGCCAAGCCCTCATTTAACTGCAGATTCACGAGCAAGATAGATGTGGTTGTCTTACGCCTCTACATTTTGGGATTTGAGGATTGGAACAGGTTCTTTGAAAAATATGCTCAAATATTTTTTATTTTAAAAAATATATTTTATTGATTTTTTTTTACAGTGAGGAAGGGAGAGGGATAGAGAGTTAGAAACATCGATGAGGAAGATCAATCAGCTGCCTCCTGCACCTCCCGCTCCCCGACTGGAGATGTGCCCGCAACCAAGGTACATGCCCTTGACCGGAATCAAACCTGGGACCCTTGACACTCTGTCCACTGAGCCAAACCAGATAGGGCTATGCTCAAATATTGAAAGACATAAAAAATACCTTTAAAAAGAGGTGTATAGCCCTAACCGGTTTGGCTCAGCGGATAGAACATCGGCCTGTGGACTGAAGGGTCCCGGGTTTGATTCCAGTCAAAGGCATGTACCTTGGTTGCTAGCACATCCCCAGTGAGGGGTGTGCAGGAGACAGCTGATCGATGTTTTTCTCTCGTCGATGTTTCTAACTCTCTATCCCTCTCTCTTCCTCTCTGTAAAAAAATAAATAAAATAGCCGAAACTGGTTTGGCTCAGTGGATGTAGCGTTGGCCTGTGGACTGAAGGGCCCCAGGTTCGATTCCGGTCGGGGGCATGTACCTTGGTTGCGGGCACTTCCCCGGTGGGGGATGTGCAGGAGGCAGCTGGTTGATGTTTCTCTCTCATTGATGTTTCTAGCTCTCTATCCCTCTCCCTTCCTCTCTGTAAAAAATCAATAAAATATATATATTTTTAAAACAAAATAAAATATATTTTAAAAAAGGAGTGTATAATATGTGCATGGATTAAACATTTCATTTTAAAGATGATACTTTTCGCCAAAACTGGTTTGGCTCAGTGGATAGAGCGTCAGCCTGCGGACTGGAAGGTCCCAGGTTCAATTCCAGTCAAGGGCATGTACCTTAGTTGCGGGCACATCCCCAGTAGGAGGTGTGTAAGAGGCAGCTGATCAATGATTCTCTCTCATTGATATTTCTAACTCTCTATCCTTCTCTCTTCCTCTCTGTAAAAAAATCAATAAAATAGACTGAACATAAACTGTGCACCAATGGATGAGGATGAGTGGGCAGAGGGTGGGGTGGGAACCTGGTGGAGGGGGGAAGAAACGAGGAACCTGTGTAATAATATGAACAATAAAGATTGATTTTAAAAAATAAAAAATAAAAAAATAAAATAAAAAATCAATAAAATATAAAGATATTACTTTTCAAATTTACCTATGGATTTGAGGCAGCTCCAAACAAAATCTCTAAATATATTTTTTGTGAAATTTTTCAAATTTGTAGAATATCAACAGGCCTAAAATAGTCAATATACTCCTGTAAGACAAGGAAGTAGGACTTTCCTTACCAGATATCAATAACTACAAAAAAAGCTGTGGCCATTAAGATGGCAATATTGATTAAGTGATAGAAAAATTGACCCATAGATCAGAATAGGGAAGCCAGAAACAAACTGATATGTAAGAAAACTTGACTTATGACAGAGATAGCATTTCAGATGAGTGGGTAAATGATCGATTTTTCATTATGTAGTGTTAGATCTGTTGATTTCCCATATGAAAATTGAGTCTTACACCGTACACAAATATCAGAACTAGTTGAGGTAAACACTTAAATAGGAAAATCAAAACTATGAAGTATTTAGAAGACTGTATTGTGGGTTCTAGATTTCTTTTTTTACAACTGGCACAAAAGTTTAAACCATAAAAGTATTAATATTGATAACATTAAGCTCCATTAAAGTTAAGGATTTTTGATCAAATAATACTGAAGAGAGTAAAAAAAGTAAAGTACAAATAAAGACAAGATATTTGCAACAGATATAACTGATAAAGATTAGTGTCCAGAATTTATAGCGAAATCCTAGGGGGCAGGAAGAAAAATCCTATGAGTTGCTGAAAGTTTTCAGCAAAGGGAACATGATCAATTATGAAGTCTGGCAGGAATGTGGAGTCAGGAGTAGATGTAAATAATATCACAGCAAAACATCACAAATAGCCCAAAATATCTGAGAGAAACTGGTTTGAAAAATGAATCCTCCCTCCTTTCTACTTTTCCATACTTTTTATTATAAGTGTATAATTTGCAGTTTCAAAATACAAGAGATCACACTTTTTAAATTAAAAAGTGGCAGCCAGTACTGGTTGTAAGTGCTGCTGGGCTCCGTGGTGTTGGGAAGTGGCTGGCTGACCACCCGGTCTGGCTCTCCAGCACAGGAGGAAGCGCCGCGCCACCCCTTTGGCTTCTCCCTCGCCGCCCCCACCAGAGACCGAGGAGCTCTCACTCCAGTCCGTGATGGCCGCCCTGCAGGCCGTGGAGAAGAAGATGGAGTCCCAGGCCGCCCAGCTGCAGAGCCTGGAGAAGCGCATGGAGTCAGCCGAGAAGAAGCTGGCCGACTTCGAGAAGACGGCCGTGGAGTTCGGGAACCAGCTGGAGGGCAAGTGGGCCGTGCTGGGGACCCTGCTGCAGGAGTACGGGCTGCTGCAGAGGCGGCTGGAGAACATGGAGAACCTGCTGAGGAACAGGAACTTCTGGGTCCTGCGGCTGCCCCCGGGCAGCACGGGGGAGGCCCCCAAGGTAGGCCTTTTATTTGAGATTCTAAATGGGTGGCTTTTCCCTCATGGCTGAGACAGGGCGCACTCATGGTATAACATTTGCGATTTCAGATGCCCAGGTCACTCGAGAACGATGGAGTCTGCTTCTCGGAGCAGGAGTGGGAGAACCTGGAGGACTGGCAGAAGGAGCTGTACAGAAACGTGATGATGAGCAACTATGAGACGCTGGTCTCTCTGAGTAAGCAGCGCTTGGCCCCCCAGACATCCCACAGTTCCTAGCCTGTGCTGAGTTGAGAAATGGGAGTCTCTGAGTCCTCAGTTTACCAAGATATTGGGAAAGGTCATGGTGTCATGCCTTTCTTCTTTGTGGTCACATAGTCCGATCTTGGTAATATTTACTTATAGATAAGAGGTCATGATACTCATTATTTATAATATAACATAGCTAGGGTTCCTCATCCTTCCCCCCCCCCCCCCCCCCCCCCGAGAGGAAAGGAGAGGGAGAGAGAGAGAGACAGGAACATCAACAATGAAAGATGATTACTGCACACCCCCACCAGGGACCTAGCCCGTACCCTGGGAATGGAACTGTGATCTCCTGGTTCACAGTTCGACGCTCAACCACTGAGCCATGCTGGCCAGGCCTCATGCTATTTCTACTGCTTAAGACTATTTGAGCCGAGACCGGTTTGGCTCAATGGATAGAGCGTCGGCTTGGGGACTGAAGGGTCCCGGGTTCGATTCCGGTCAAGGGCATGTACCTTGGTTGCGGGCACATCCCCAGTAGGGGGTGTGCAAGAGGCAGCTGGTCGATGACTCTCTCTCTCATCGATGTTTCTAGCTCTCTGTCTCTCTCCCTTCCTCTCTGTACAAAATCAATAAAATATATTAAAAAAAAAAAAAAAAGACTATTTGATAAAGAATCCTTTGCTACCTGGGATGAGACAGGCAGTGTAGGCTAACCAAAAATTGTCCTTGGCACTTGTCTGGAATCAGAGCCAGTTGTGGTCTTGGTGTTTATTTTGTGTTGATTAGAAGTACTGCTTAATAGATATAGATCTTGATCTTAACATGCAAAGTGTTAGCTATTACATTATAAATGCATTTTGTTTGGTAGACAAAATGTTTTACAACCTAAAAGGTTCATGGAGGATTGTCAAGAAGGCCACTGGGACTGGAGCAGAGGGGAAGGGGCAGGAGAGTAGCGAACGGGACAGATGCCTTACCTGTCACAGGTGGGGGACAAGTGCCTGCCACTCCTTGCCCTGTATTAGCACAGAGGAAAGTAAATGCCCGGAAGGAAGCCTACTTGCAGCCACGTATGTGTGAGGACGCGGTGGTCTGGGCGGAATGAGTGATGGGCCCCTGCGCCTGCCTGCTGAGCCACAGGGGACTGATGAAGGGCTCCGAGGGGGCAGTAGCCGAATACATCATTCCGATGGGCCATGATTTTCTAATTGTCCCAGACTACGAGGGGAAAGTGACAGGAACAGTCCTTTGAAATTTTAATATTGACTCATTGACATTGGTCACCTTGTTCATCAGCAAACAACTAGTGTGCAATGAGAATTTACTCTCCCGGGCTCACATTGTGCCATTTCCTACCCAGAGGTCCTTGGGCAGCCTGAAGGAGAAGCGGAGTTGGGTACAGAGATGCTGGGAGACTTGGAGGAGGAAAGCCTTGGTGGTGTCCACCCAGGTGAGTGGCTCTAGAATATTCCATTCCTCTCCCCATCCCCTGCAGTCTATGGTGAGCTTTCCCACTGCCAAACACTGATCATCAATAGCCTCATGTGGCATTTACTTATTCTAGATTCTTTTCTGATTATCGTTAGCTCACCTATTACGTGTGTCTGAACTCCTTACCGCTATTTGGAATCCTTGAGACTCGTGACCGTGTCAGACTTCTTCGTGTCCTACAGAGGAGAGTACATAATAGGCCTCAGTCAAAACCCACAGGGCATTGAGGACAGGGTTATTCCCAGCATCAGGAGTGAAGCTGACTGGGTGAGAGCCAGGAAAAGCATTTGTAAGCCAGGTAATTTGGGGAGAAAGTACAGGAAGAACAGCTGGATACATGAACTTTTAAACCAGGCGTCTTCAAACTACGGCCCGCTGGCCACATGCGGCCCGCAGAGGAGTCTGATCCGGCCCGCCAGGTTTTTTGGGCAGTGAGCACAGCCGAGGTGTTACAGTAGGAATTAGTAGTTCATATAGTCCGGCCCTCCAGCTCTCTGAGGGACCGTGATCTGGCTCCCACTTTAAAAAGTTTGAGGACCCCTGTTTTAAACTATAGGTTTAGTTTTGTGTGTATTTGTGTTTTGTTTTGTTTTTTTAATCTTATTTTTATTACTTTAACACTCTCCTAAGTAAGTATAGTTTTTCAGTATGTTTAGCCATTTCTCAGAGATTGAAAGTAATTTGTGGACAAACTTAGAAAAACTAGCATTTATAACATTGTTCTATAAGAAGAACATATTCAGATTTTTAACCCGCATGTCTCTACCCGAGTATAGGTTCCACTTTCCAGGTTTTGGAATCCAGTCAGTCTCTAATGCCCTTGACCCTTTGATGTGAGCCCTTCTGGGATTCACAGATGTTTAGCTCCAAAGAAACCCAAGATGCTAGAATGTGACCTTTTTTGTTGGTTTTCTGCGTTTTGGCAGCAGACGGGGTTGTGATTAAGCAGGAGGTGGAGTACCCGCCGGAACGCTCTGCGGACCTTCCGGGAGAGCTCTCGGGCCCCACAGAGGAGCCGGCCTTCCTGGGCCCGGAGCAGACTGAGCTCTGGAACACGCAGGGTGGCGCTGTCCTCTTGGAACCGGGGGCCGGGGACGCCCATCCAGAGGAGCCTGCCGAGGGCAGCAGGGACCCTGGCAGCGACAGAAGTCTGGACTGCCCCCCGAAGCAGAAATCCAATAGGCCAGTGCCGCTGGCTCCGGAATGTAACCCGGCCCTGAAGCTGAACAGGGAAGATTTTGGCCCCTACGACTGTCCTGAGTGCGAGCTCAGCTTCCGCTGTGAGCAGCAGCTGGCCTATCTGCGGGCCCACCCGTCGTGGGAGTCTTCCACCACCTCGGAGTCCGAGGAGGGTCTTAGGTCCAGGCCGCTGCTGAAGGCCTCGTCCAAGAAGGGGAAGCACCAGTGTGACGTGTGCATGAGGAGCTTCAGCAGCAAGGTGAACCTGGCCAACCACCAGCGCTGCCACTTGCAGGAGGGGCCCAGCGGTGGCCAGCGTGTCCAGGAGAGGTTCTCGCCCAACAGCCTGGTGGCCCTCCCCGGCCACATCCCCTGGAGGAAAAGCCGGAGTTGCCTCATCTGTGGTTACTGTGGCAAGAGCTTCAGCCACCCATCAGATCTGGTGCGGCACCAGCGCATCCACACGGGCGAGCGGCCCTACACCTGCCCCGAGTGTGAGCGGAGCTTCGTGCAGAAGCAGCACCTCCTGCAGCACCAGAAGATCCACCAGCGGGAGCGTGGCACGCTGGCCTCCGAGCCAGGCAGGCCCAACGGCCTGCTCTAAGGGTGCCAGCCCCCCGCCTGTCCGGGGGAGCTGAGGGGGCTGGCATTGGTCCCCTGAAGAGACACTGTGCAGAGTCAGGGACTGACTTCTTCCTTGGGGGTGTCATTTAGGTTTGGCTGACTTTGGCCAAGCAGCAGGCCGAGCCCACGCCCTCAGAACTGTGCGGAGGAGCGCCGGGGCCAGGCCTGTCCCTGCTGTCTGCCCTGCTGCTGTGTGTGCCGCGTCTCGGGTTTTCCCATCCGTGCTGACACTGTGCCCTGGGGCTGGTGTGAGGTCCGTCCCAGCGTCCCAGGTCTTCCCACGGGTGGGGTCGGGCCAAAGGAAGGAGCAGGTGTGCAGGAGAGCTCTGGAAGCACAGCCCTCTGCTTCCTCTTCGGCTGTAGTCTCCTTGTTACTAACAAGGAGCAGTAACTTAAATGAACTGCTCACCTTGCTCTGAAGAACCTTTTTTGGAATTAGATGTTAGCTGGTTTGAAGAAAATACAGCCTGACCCTTGTTTTTTAAACTTCCCAAGTTGTGGAAGTTGTTCCTCACCTGGGGACTGCGGCCAGCTGGGAGGGAACAGTTTGGGGCCTTCTTTAGCTGAGGCCAGCGGTCAGGGTGCAGAGCGCGGGCTCCCTCTCGGACGGGGCTCGCTGAATCGGAAGGACCAAGAGGGAGAGAGCAGTGGGAGTAGACCCCAGAGCCCCCCATTGGGAACGAGGAGTCTGGGAAAGGAGCTGAGAGGCGCCTGGGTTTCTCGCCGCAGCTCACTTCCTCTTCCACCTGCGTCCTTGCTGCGTCCTGCAGCCTCACAGGGTAGACGACTCCTTCGTTACTTAAGGTGGTTCAGCTTGTATCAGCTCGTATTTGAGTTTGTTCCTGTTAGACCAGTTGTTCCTCGAGGTTGTCCAGATGACACACTTTCCCACTTAGTGCTGTCCCAGAGACGTCGGAGAAAACGCGCGCGGGTGCTTGTCTCCCCGGAGTGCTGAATGCCTGCCGCACTGCTGTTTGGGAGTGGGCTCCTGGGTCCCGTGTGAGTGTCCCCTCTGGTGACTTGGCAGTTGCTTAGAATAAAACTTGCTACTGGCAAAAAAAAAATGTGCTCACGTTGGGTGTTTTTCTCCAGCTGTTTGTCAAGAAGACCCTCCTAGGAGCAAGGTGGAGGGGACGCCTGACCTGGAGCAGCGGCAGAGGGTGACTTAAACCTAGATTTGCAGACGAGAAGAGGGCGTGTGTGGGACCCTGTTGGACTCAGGGCTGCAGACAGTCTGCGTGTCAGTTGTTGGAAAGCAGTAGGTGGAGGAGGCAGGTGCACCAGGGAGTACTGGGTAGCAGTTGGAAGTCCTGGCTTCAATATACATGTAGTCCTATGGGTTGATCTTAAACATACACTGCTAAGTGGGAAATCTGAGATATGTAACAATACCATCTATGTAAATTAAAAATGCATGTACACAAAACAAGACGGAATACATAGAACTAAAAAAAGGCACCTCTGTGCGCTGGCCAGTGGCTTCAGTGGTTAGAGTGTCAGCCGGCACAATGGACAGGAGAGATGGACAAGACTGACCAGGTACAGTCAACAGCACCTGATGCTTTTTGAAGGCAGGAACCTTGTCTTAATCGTATCCAGACTCCCCAGCTCTGAGAACAGGGACTTGGCACAAAGGTGTTCAACACACATTTATTGCATGAACAGATGTTTAAGGGGAATTCACAGAATGGGGAGCTCAGCATTGTCTGGACAGGGTCGGCTTTGAGGAGGAAGGGCTTGGTAACATTTTTGGTCTCCCTCTACAATAATTTCCCTCGGGAGTTTTACATACCAGGGTGGGGCCATTTTAAAAACTGATACTTTTACCAAGTAAGGTGCAGCCCTGGAATTTGGGGCCTATTAGGAGTATTGCTTTGAAACAACAAGGGATCAAATCAATATATGGCAGTGTTCATTGTGAAATTCTTTATTGAAGTAATGCAACGTAACAGACAATTTGCAGGTGAGTGCTGAAGGCATTAAGAGGATCTCTAGTAGGGACCCTAAGAGGAGAGATCCAGTTGATGTGAACCCCGAGAAGGAATTGATCTGCTGAGATGGGCTCCCTGTGGTCAACCGAGGGCCCAAATTTTTAAAGTAAGAGCCTGGCGGCCATTTGCCTTCGGGCCCCTCACAAATGCTGTGTACCAGGGAGAAACTCAGACTGAACTCGCAGTGTCCCCCACTATTCCCTGCTGATTTGCATCAACCTCTGAAGGGAAACCCTGGTATCATCTTCTGCCAATGGACTGAGACCTGCCCTGTCCTATCAGAACTGCACAGTTTGACACCTCACATAAGAAGGACCTAATTGAAAACCTGAGTGGGAACTTTCACTGTGAAAATTGTCTTCATGCTGGTTTGGCTCAGTGGATAGAGCATTGGCCGGCAGACTAACGGGTCCTGGGTTCAATTCCCATCAAGGGCACATGCCTGGGTTGCAGGCTCGATCCCCAGTAGGCATGCAGGAGGGAGCCAATCAATGATTCATTCTCATCATTTATGTTCCTCTCTCCCTCCCTCTCCCTTCCTCTCTGAAATGAAAGAAAACAACAACACAAAAACTTCCTTAATTACCCTGTTCCGGTGCCTCGGGTTGGAGCATCATCCCATACATACACCAAAAGGTTATGGGTTTCATTCCCGGTCAGGGCACATACTTGGGTTGCAGGTTTGATCCCCGATCAGGGTGTGTATGAGAGGCAACTCATCAATGCTTCTCTCAAATCAATAAAAAAAAAAAAAAAGTATATCCTCGGGTGAGGATGAAAAACAAAAATTGGTCGAAACCGGTTTGGCTCAGTGGTAGAGTATCGGTCTGTGGACTGAAAGGTCCCAGGTTCGATTCCGGTCAAGGGCATGTACCTTGGTTGCGGGCACGTCCCCAGGAGGGGATGAGCAAGAAGCAACTGGTCGATGTTTCTTTCTCATCGACATTTCTAGCTCTCTATCCCTCCTCCTCTCTGTAGAAAATCAATAAAATATATTAAAAAATTTAAAAAAATTGATTCTTTGTCTTAGTGGAAGAGTTTGGGTGATTACCTTAGTCTGTGTCTCTAGGCTGAAGCTCCTTTTTGCTTAAATAACTATTTTTTATTCTTTACTAGAGGCCCAATGCATGAAATTCGTGCAAGGGGCTCAGCCCTTGAAGCCCCAGCTTCATCAGGAAGGATGTAGGAAGGACATCCAGAAGGTCATTAGGCTGTCCAGTCTAATTAGCATATTATGCTTTCATTATTATAGATTATAGGTTAAAATTATTTTTTATTTACACTAGGAGCTCATCAGGGATTTGTCAGACCAATATAGTAAGAATTACAAAATATTGGTAAGTTGTGATCTTAGAAAATAAGAATTGATGCCCAGTGTAAACAGATGAGTTTGTGAGCTTGTTGGAAAAATATAAAATGAGTGGGAAAAGCCCTATCCGGTTTGGCTCAGTGGATAGAGCGTCAGTCTGCGGACTCAAGGGTCCCAGGTTTGATTCTGGTCAAGGGCATGTACCTTGGTTGCAGGCACATCCCCAGGAGGAGGTATGCAGGAGGCAGCTGATTGATGTTTCTAACTATCTCTTTTCTTTCCTCTCTGTAAAAAAAATCAATAAAACATATTTAAATAAATAAGTAAAACGAGTGAAAAATGCAGAAAAGGTAGAAAATAAAAATTTATACTGCATACAGCATATTTCACTTTCTATTCAGTGATTAACTCTGGTTTTCCACAGTAAGCCTCTTTATAAATGAGGAAACGGGTCCTATTTTGAGTGGTTTATTCAAAATGCCTCAGGGTCTGAATTAGTGGTGGATTTTCTCTTGCTGCAAGCCCAGCCTGGAGCCAGAGCTGTGAAGATCCAAGATGGTGGCTGACATGCAAGGGAAGACTGGGCATTGTCAACCTAAGAAATGTTTAAACCTGTAGAGAATTTTTTTATGAGTGTATTTGAGCCAAACTGACAATTGCCGGAAAGCAAAATCTTAACATATTGAGAAAATGCTCCAGAGAATGACCGTTTTGCACCTTATTTTATACATTACAATCAAAGGAGGAGGCAAAAGGGGTTACATGAGATCCATGTAACTGGACATGCTAGATGAGGGAGGTGGGAGAAAGCAAAGTGGGGAAATCTCTGGGATTGGGTAAAAAGTAAAATAAATAGACACTTCCTTTACATTTGTGGTTATAGGATAGTTAGCAGTTAACACCGTAACAAATCACAAGGGCTTTTGTGATCTTTGCTCTGGTGCAGAGAAGGGGTCCAGAAAAAAAGGAAATTACCCTGACATTTCTCATTTCTTCTTTTTTTTTTAATCCTCGCCCGAAGATATGTTTCTTATTGATTTTTTAGAGAGGGAGGAAGGGAGAAAGAAGTATCGATCGGCTGCTTCCCGTAAGGAGGGTTTGTGGTCTCTGCTCTGGTGCAGTGCGGGGCCTAGAAAAAAATTACCCTGGCCTTTCTTTTCCTTTCCTTTTGAATCCTCACTCAAGGATATATGTGTGTTTGTTCATCTTTTAATTTTTTAGAGGAAGAGGAAGGTGGAGAGAGGGAAAGAGATTGGTTGCCTCCCATACTTGCCCCAACCGAGGATCAATTCCACAACCGAAGTGTGTGTCCTGACTGGAAATAGCACCCGAAACGTTTTTTGGTGCATGGGATGATGCTCCAACCAAATGAACCGCCTAGCCAGGGTACCTGGCATTTCAGAGATGCAAAACGACAGTGGACAGGCTCAGTTAAAGAAAAGATTGACCTTTTGTCAGGGTAGCTTTTGTTAGAAAGGTTTTTTTTTGTTGTTTTTTTAAAAATATATTTTATTGATTTTGTACAGAGAGGAAGGGAGAGAGATAGCGAGTTAGAAACACTGACGAGAGAGAGTCATCTATCAGCTGCCTCTTGCACACCCCCTACTGGAGATGTGCCCGCAACCAAGGTACATGTCCTTGACCAGAATCGAACTCGGGATCCTTCAGTCCCCAAGCCGACGCTCTATCCATTGAGCCAAACCGGTTTCAGCTAGAAAGATTTTTTAAAAAATCTATCTTATTGATTTTTTACAGAGAGGAAGCGAGAGGGATAGAGAGCCAGAAACATCGATGAGAGAATCATTGATCAGCTGCCTCTTGCACACCTCCTACGGGGGATGTGCCCGCAACCAAGGTACATGCCCTTGACCGGAATCGAACCCAGGACCCTTCAGTCCACAGGCCAAGTCTCTATCTACTGAGCCAAACGGGTCTCGGCTTGTTAGAAAGTTTTAATTTCAGACCATCCTGTGTGGTTACTTTAGGTCTCAGTTTGTAAGGCACATGAAGCAGGCCTTTGCTGAGCTTGTCAGGTTTAGTATGTGGCCTCTTTTTGGTCCACAGCGTGGCACAGAGGGCTTCAGGGCACGGCGTGGCACAGAGGACTTCCACAGCTCTGCTCAGGAGCTAGGTCCCAGGGCGGGAAGAAGGGAATTGAGGATTCCCAAAGCTGTTTGGAGAAGAGAGGGAAGGCTGTTTGTGTTTGTTTTTTTAATGAATTAAATTTTTTCCTGAGGTCTTTCTATTTGGTCTGGAAAACTAAGAGATTTAGCCGGACTGGCATTGGTTCAGTGGTTGAGCGCCAACCTATGAACCAGTAAGTCTAGGTTGCAGGCTCCATCCCCAGTAAGGGGCCTGTAGGAGGCAGCCTGACAGTGATTCTCTCTCATTGATGTTTCTATCTATCCCTCTCTCTTCCTCTCTGAAATCAATCAATCATTCAATGATAGATAGATAGATTTTAAGAGTTAAAACCTTCACCATCCCCTACTTTTTTTCCTGGGCATGAAGTACTATACTCAAACTAATAGTCACGTTGAGTCCATTAGAGATGTTAAAACGGAGACTACATACACTTGAGATTCCCCATCGGCGGTTGGGGCGAGCGGAAAGTCCCCCAAGTTTTGAAAAGTCATACATTAACCCTGTCTGGCCCGATTCCTGGGTGGCAAACTGGGGTTCCTAACACCTCCCCCCCCCCCCCCCCCCCTGCGCACCCATCCTGCAGAGGGTGCGGGGCCGGCTTGGGCCCCGCAAGCCACGTCTGCGCGCGGCCCGCCCCCGCCCGCCGGCGTCCACGCCCGCGGCCCAGGCGAGGCGGCCGCCGGACACCGGGCTGCGGGCTGCGGGCCGCGAGCGTGCGGTCCTTCGGGCTGCAGGGGGCGCTGTGCGCGCCCACGGGCGCGGCCGCGAGCGCAGCTCTTGTTTAAAGGGCCGGCGGGGCACGTGGCCCGGACGCAGCAGCTCGCGGCCGCCGGGCTGAGGCTCCGAGGCTGGGCGGCTCCCCCGCCTCCGCCGCCGCCAGCGCGCCGGGCCCACGGGCCGCCGAGGGGAGCCGCGAGCGAGGACGGCAGCCATGGCCGAGGCGGCGCCCGAGCGGGTAAGCGCGGCCGCGGACGGCGCCCGGCGGGCCGGGCCGCCCTCGTCTCTCTCTGGCCGGGCGGGCGGCCCGGAGGCCCAGAGGCCGGGCCGGGCGGCGGGCGGCCCGGAGGCGGGACCGGCCCGCTTTCCAGGTGACGGGCCTCGCGCCTGAAGAGGGTGGCGGCCCCGTCCATGGTGTCCCTGGAGGCCGCGGCCCGGGGCGGGGGCGGGGGGGCAGGGGCTCCGGCCCCGATGGGCTTTGACTCCTAGTCTGAAGCTCAGGGAAGGGACCGGCCCAGGGTCACACGCAGGCGAATTACATCCCCGTTAAGGCACCCAGTATCCTGCCCAAACCGGTTTGGCTCAGTGCATAGAGCGTTGGCCTACGGGTCCCGGGTTCGATTCCGGTCAAGGACATGTGCCTTGGTTGCGGGCACATCCCCAGTAGGGGGCGTGCAGGAGGCAGCTGATCGATGTTTCTAGCTCTCTATCGCTCTCTCTTCCTCTCTGTAAAAAAAAAATAAAGCAAAATATATGAAAAATATATATATATATAGCACCCAGTATCTACTTTTACCTAAGGCAAAGGTGCTAAACGCTGTTTACAGGAGAGATTGGAGGTGGATTTCATTTTATTTTTAAAGATTACTTTATCACGCCCAAACCGGTTTGGTTCAGTGGATAGAGCGTCGTCCTGCGGACTGAAAGGTCCCAGGTTCGGTTCCGGTCAAGGGCATGTACCTTGGTTGCGGGCACATCCCCGGTAGGGGGCGTGCAAGAGGCAGCTGGTCTGTTTCTCTCTCAGCGGTGTTTTTCTTTTCTTTTTAATTTTTTAAAAATATATACAGAGAGGAGGAGAGAGGGATAGAGAGCTAGAAACATCGATGAGAGAGAACATAGACTAGCTGCCTCTTGCACACCCCCTAACGGGGATGTGCCCGCAACCAAGGTACATGTCCTTGACCAGAATTGAACCTGGGACCCTTCAGTCCGCAGGACGACGCTCTATCCACTGAGCCAACCCGGTTTTGGCTCTCATCGATGTTTCTGACTCTCTATCCCTCTCCCTTCCTCTCTGTAAAAACGCAATAAAATGGCCGAGGCCGGTTTGGCTCAGTGGATAGAGTGTCGGCCTGCGGACTGAAAGGTCCCAGGTTCAATTCCGGTCAAGGGCATGTACCTTGGTTGCGGGCACATCCCTAGTGGGGGGTGTGCAGGAGGCAGCTGATCGATGTTTCTCTCTCATTGGTGTTTCTGACTCTCTATCTCTCTCTTCCTCTCTGTAAAAAAAAAAAACTAATAAAATATATTTTAGGAAAAGATTACTTTATCATGTTTTAGAATGTTGGCTGATGATGTTCTCTATGTACAAATCAGAGAAAGCAATCCTTTGGTCGTTTGGACACAGTAGAAAAGCCATGGTAAAGAGCTCTATAGAAGCTACCTACTGTCGTCACCACATGCCAGTGAGGTTTTCTGAACCTTGATTTTTCTGTATGCTTCTCAAGGAGGAACTCTCTCCCGCCCCTTCCTGGCGGTCTCCCCGAGATCCAGGGCAAGACAGGAGGTGCAGGTCTGCAGGTTTGCTGGGTAGCGCTCCAGATGGCCTTTCTGTAACTGTTCAGGCGACATCTTCAGCTCCCACCCAGCCCAGGACCCCTCCCTCAGCACTCCTTCTGACCGTTCCTGTCCACCTGCTTCTTCCCCTCTGCCCGCTTGCATCACCTGAGCTTCCTAGAAAAGCTCCCAAATAGGACTGATTTGCCCTCAACTTTGTTAGCCTTTGGGTATCACTCTTGTATTTCTTTTTTTAAATTTTTTTAAACATATTTTTATTGACTTTTTACAGAGAGGAAGGGAGAGAGATAGAGAGCTAGAAACGTCGATGAGAGAGAAACATCGACCAGCTGCCTCTTGCACCTCCCCCACCAGGGATGTGCCCGCAACCAAGGTACATGCCCCTGACCAGAATCGAACCCGGGACCTTTCAGTCTGCAGACCGACGCTCTACCACTGAGCCAAACCGGTTTCGGCTCTTTTTTAAAAAGTATATTTTATCGATTTTTTACAGAGAGGAAGGGAGAGGGATAGAGAGGTAGGAACATCGATGAGAGAGGAACATCGATCAACTGCCTCTTGCACCCCCCCACTGGGGATGTGCCCGCAACCAAGGTACATGCCCTTGACCGGAATCAAACCAGTGACCTTTCAGTCCGCAGGCCAATACTCCATCCACTGAGCCAAACCGGTTCCGGCTCACTCTTCTCTTTCTACACAGAATTTTTCTCCTGGAGAAGGAAGAAAGAGCCAGGTAGTTTTTCTGCATCCCCGTTAATGATAACATGTTGCCGGAAACCGGTCATTGTCACTAATAGAGAGTTGTGGACAGGGAATGCGGAAGGCTGGTCAACCTTCATTGCTCTGAAAGGTCGGAGCTAATCACTCATGTTTAGTTTGAGAGACATTGGTAGCTAAAGCTGCCTCCGCCTGTTAGTCTTATGTCAGTTCTTCCTGATTGGCTATTATTGGAATTTCCTGCCTTACGGGTATGAGTGTATCTTATAACCTTAATAAAATGGATGGCAAAGCCAGAGCGGGGAGGGGAGGTGTAGTCCTCCCCTTAGAGGTGGGCTCCCACCTGGCCCCCAATATTCCTAAATTAATACTGTTCTGGTCTCTTTCATTTGTGTGCGGCCTTCTCCAGAACCCGAACCCTGAACCATGCAGGACATGAAAGGGGTTCCCACAACATGTGTTCTGTAATTGTTACTGGGTGAATGTGTTGTTGAATAGTTTAGTCCAGGGGTCCTCAAACTTTTTAAAGTGGGGGCCAGATCACGGTCCCTCAGAGAACTGGAGGGCCGGACTATATGAACTACTAATTCCTACTGTAACACCTCGGCTGCGCTCACTGCCCAAAAAACCTGGCGGGCCGGATCAGACTCCTCTGCGGGCCACATGTGGCCCGAGGGCCGTAGTTTGAAGACGCCTGGTTTAGTTGTTCATTTATTCAATAGCTATTACTTGAGCACCTGCTCTGAGTGAGGCCCTTTTAGAAGCCGGGGATACAACAGTGAGTTAGCACCTGCCCTCATGAGCTTGTGTCCTTGTGGGGAAGCCGTAACTCAGGCAGACACACAGGGTTGTCCGAGGTTATTAGTGCTACAAAGGAGGGGACTAACAGGGCGCTCTTTTATTTTTATTTTTATTTATTATTTTTTAAAAATATATATTTTATTGATTTTTTACAGAGAGGAAGGGAGAGAGATAGAGAGCTAGAAACGTCGTCGATGAGAGAGAAACATCGATCAGCCGCCTCCTGCACACCCTCTATTGGGGATGTGCCCGCAACCGATGTACATGCCCCTGACCGGAATGGAACCTGGGACCTTTCAGTCCGCAGGCCGACGCCCTATCCACTGAGCCAAGCCGGTTGTGACGGGGCGCTCTTTTAGATGTGTGGGGCTGGGAAGGTCCCAGGGAGGCAGGGGTCTTCAAACTTCTCTCATTATGAGAATCACCTGGTGGAGGTGTTAAAACACAGGTTCCTGATAGCACTTCTTATAGTTGGGATCTGGGAATCTGTGTTTTAACAACTCCACCAGGTGATTCTCATAATGAGAGAAGTTTGAAGACCCCTGCAGTGAGGCGATGTCTCAGCTGGAGGTTTGTATGAGCGGAAGCCAGGAGGAGAGCAGAGGTGGAGGAGGCCAAGGAGGCCAGGGCGGCTGGAGAGCAGTCAGAGCCCAGGAGGAGACCGGACAGGGAGGTAGGCTGCAGTCTGCTAAGAAGTTTAGGTTTTGCACTAGCCGGTTTGGCTCAGTGGATAGAGCATTGTTTGTGGACTGAAGGATCCTGGGCTCTATTCCGATCAAAGACACATGCCTAGGTTGAGGTTGAGGGCTCAATCCCTAGTAGGGGGCATGTAGGAGGCAGGCAGTCAGTGATTATTATCTGATGTTTCTATCTCTCTCTCTCCCTCTCCCTTCTCTGAAATCAATAAAAATATACATATTTTTTAAAAATTTAGATTTTATTCTAGGTATACTATTGGGGAGCTGAGGAGAGTACTGCGGGGGGTGGGGAGTAGAAAGAAGGGGGGAAATGAATTGGGCGTAATTGCAGTGGCTCAGGCGACAGGTGAGGGGGTTTGGACTAGGTGATGGCAGTGTAGGAGGAGAAGAGGATGGATCTGAGATGATTTCAGAAGTCAAAGAGTAAGACTTGATAGTGATTTGACTGAGACGGATGAGTGACATGGAGGGGCGATATGTTTTGTCATTCCAACAAGGCTTTTAGCAAGATGCACTGGGACTGAGGCCGTTGTGCATGCTCAGGGGGGCTTGTCATCAGGCGCCCACGTGAGCTGAGGCACTGCAGAAGCTCTTCCACGCCGCTCGAGGACCTGGGATGAGAGGTGGACCAGACGGCTGTGGGCACCATTCATACTGCCTTCCTGAGCCAGAGCCACCATGTCCTCAACGTTCCCCTCATGGTCATCTTAGCTGAATCAACACAGGCTCACATTTAAAAGCACAGGCTAGACATTGTGCCGAGTGCTTTTTACCCAATTGTGTCATTAATGCTCACAATCATGTCACGTAGGTACTGTTACTACCTCCATTTCCTAGATATGAAGGGACACTGAACGGTGTTGAAGAAACCTTGCTCTCCGTCAGCCAGGAGGAGTCCCAGTGGCACCCAGGCTGGCCGAGTGCAGAGCTCACGTTCTCTGTTCCTCATTCTCACCTGCCCCTTCGTTTTCAGAGGAAGAGAGCCAGACCTAGGTAGGGAGTCACCTGTCTGAGACCACAGATGCTTCTTCCTCTGGCCATGTTTTTCCTTCTGTTTCTCACTTGCTGAGACCTCGGTCCAGACAGTGTCTCCTGTCCTGGCCTTGTAACTGATGTCCTCACCCCCCCGCCCCTGACACGGCCGCCTGACCGGCCTCAAGGGCCCCACATGGGGCTTTACCGAGGCAGGTGCCCTTCTGAGGTGTCTTTTTGAGGCGGGCATTTTGGCTGTATGGTTCTGATAACATTCCTCCTTTCTCTGGTTGCGTGCAGGCGTCAGAGAGGGAGAGGCAAACGGGGGATGAGAGACCTTCGACAACTTCTCCATCATCCCCGCAGGCTGCGGAGAACTCCTACCTCTACTCCACGGAGATCACCCTGTGGACAGTGGTGGCCGCTGTCCAGGCCTTGGAGAAGAAAGTGGACTCCTGCCTGGCCCGCTTGCTGACTCTGGAGGGACGGACGGGGACGGCTGAGAAGAAGCTGGCGGACTTCGAGAAGACGACCTTGGAGTTCGGGAACCAGCTGGAGGGCAAGTGGGCCACGCTGGGGACCCTGCTGCAGGAGTACGGGCTGCTGCAGAAGCGGCAGGAGAACACGGAGAACCTGCTGAGGAACAGGAACTTCTGGATCCTGCGGCTGCCCCCGGGCAGCAAGGGGGAGGCCCCCCAGGTAACCTGGGCACCTGGGGTGGGACAGCGCTAGGGGCCGCACCTGTAAGTGTGGGTGGGCGTTCATGACAGCTGTGGTTCCAGGTGCCCGTGACCTTTGACGATGTGGCCGTGTATTTTTCCGAGCTGGAGTGGGGCAAGCTGGATCCTTGGCAGAAGAATCTGTACAAGCACGTGATGAGGGGCAACTACGAGATGCTGGTCTCCCTGGGTAAGGCCGAGTCATAGCATCCGGGCCTCTGTCTGTGTCTTTGCTTTGGCTTCTGTCCCTCTGGTGTCTCTGCATCTGTGTAGTGAACCGGGTGGCAGGTGTCCTGACGCAGCTCTCTCTCTCTCTCTCTCCAGATTACGCCATCTCCAAACCAGACATCCTCACTCGGATAGAGAGGGGAGAGGAGCCTTGTCTTGAAGCCCTGTGGGGCCAGGAGGAGGGGGAAGAGAGAGAGGCAGCTTGCCCAGGCAGGCCAGACGCTGGTGAGTGGGAGCAAGATGGTGAGGGCAAACTGAACCGTGTGCCTGCTCTCCTGGGCTTCCCAGGCATGCTGTGAGGCCAGGAAGGGAACACAGGCACATAACCCAGGGTGGGGCATGCTCTGTGCCAGGCCGGCCAGTTGGGTAGGTACAGGGATTTTTGCCTTAAGAGCTATAGGGTTTCTGCCTCTGTGTAAGAGGAGAGCGGACCTCGCCTTACCTGCAGTTACGGGGACTAAAAGTGGTGGCGGGCTTTGCAAAGCCGAGCATTTTACGGTAAATAGGAACCTGCTACTAGCAGTTCTACTAGTAGCAGCAGCATTATTGCCACCACCTCCCAGTGCCCAACTGTGTAACCTGCAGCTGTAAGGCCTGAACTGTACCGGCTTCCCTCTGTGGAAATGGAGCCTCTCACAGGAGCCTGCGGCCGGTTTCCTCCCCACAGCTGGTGTGTACAGAACAGGGGTTCCAAAGTTGACTGCATATCAGAATCTTCTGGGAACTTTTAAAAAATGAAATTAAAAAAAGTAAGGGAAAGTAGAGAAAGTACAGTGACCGTCCAGATGATCATCCCCCAGATTCACCAGTGGTGAAGGGTTTGCCACATTTGCTGTATCCATCTCTTTCTCCCCAAAACAGCCAAAATACCTCTGTCTCTGGCTTCTTTCACCTAGCATGTTTTCAAGGCTCATCCATGTCGTACTGAGTATCGATGCTTTCTTTTTTTTCCTTATTGTGGTCAAATACACATAACATAAAATTGACCATCTTAACTGCTTTTTTTTTTTTTTTTTTAATATATTTTATTGATTTTGTACAGAGAGGAAGGGAGAGAGATAGAGAGTTAGAAACATCGATGAGAGAGAGTCATTGATCAGCTGCCTCTTGCACACCCCCTACTGGGGATATGCCCGCAATCAAGGTACATGCCCTTGACCGGAATCAAACCCGGGACCTTTCAGTCCCCAAGCCCACGCTCTATCCATTGAGCCAAACCGGTTTCGGCTTAACTGCTTTTATGCATGCAGTTCAGAGACATTAAATAATTCATAGTGTTTGCAACTATCACCACCATCCATCTCCAGAACTCTTTTCATCCTTTTTCATCTCATGGCACATACAATCTAATTACTAAAATTCTGTGGCATACCAAAAAGTATATTTTTGCTGGCCTGACCAAAAAATAGGTATAATTTTAATTCATTCACACCGACAGCTATTGTGTTGGTAGTTGTCATTTTTTTTTTTTTTTTTTTTTAAATCATCACCCGAGGATAGGTTTTCCATTGATTTTTAGGAAGAGTGGAAGGGAGAGGGAGACACAGAGAGAAACACCAACGTGAGAGAGATACATCGATTGGTTGCCTTCCATATGTCCCTTACCAAGGCCAAGAGCCTGCAACTGAGGTACGTGCCCTTGACCGAATCAAATCCAGGACCCTTCAGGCCACAAGCCAACACTCTATCTACTGAGCCAAACCAGCTAGGGCAAGTTGTCATTTTTTATTTGACAATCTAAGGAAAAAGAGCTCAGTGCCCCTGATTAAATTGTCAGGTGTTGCATGTTTTAAAAGTTCTTGTGGCACACCACTGAAAAACGTTCTGCATCTTTAAATAATAACCACTCACTCTGCCCCTCCCCCAGCCCCTGGCAATCACAGTTCTATGATTTTGATTACTCTTGAGCACCTCATGTAAATAGATTCTCATACAACACTTGTCTACTTATGACTGGCTTATTTTATTTAGCATAATGTCCTCCGTGTTCATCCATGTTGTAGCCTGTGCTAGAATTTCTTCCGTTTTACATTTTATTAATCCTCACCTGAGGATATTTTTCCATTGATTTTTAGAGATATTGGAAGGGAGGGGGAGAGATGGAGAGAGAGAAAAACATTGAGGTGAGAGAGAGACACCGATTGGTTGCCTCTTACACTCATCCCAACCAGGGCTGCGAGTCAGGTCTGGGGATTGAGCTTGCAGCCTAGGTACATGCCCTTGACTGAAATCAAACTCAGAACCCTTCAATGCTTAGGCCCACATTGAGCCAAACTGGCCAGGGCCATTTCTTCCTTTTTAAGGTAGAGTAATATTCTATTGCATGGATAAACCACATTTTGTTTATCTCTTTATCTATTGATGTGCACTTAGGTTACTTCCCCATTTTAGCTCTTATGAATAATGCTGCTATATTCATGGATGTACAAATATGTCTCCAGTACTCTGCCTTCAGTTCTTTTAGGTATAAACTGAGAAGTGGAATTGCTGGATGATGTGGTAGTTCTATTTTTAATTTTTTTTGAGGAGCCATCATACAGTTTTTCGCAATGGCTATACTGTTATTTTCTGTGTTTTTGTTGTTGTTGTTTGTTTTGTTTTTTTAATATATTTTATTGATTTTGTACAGGGAGGAAGGGAGAGAGATAGAGAGTTAGAAACATTGATGAGAGAGAGTCATCAATCAGCTGCCTCTTGCACACCCCCTACTGGGGATGTGCCCGCAACCAAGGTACATGCCCTTGACCGGAATCGAACCCGGCACCCTTCAGTCCCCAAGCCGACGCTCTATCCATTGAGCCAAACCAGTCTCAGCTATTTTCTGTTTTTTTTTTTTTTTTAATATATATATATATATATATATATATATATATATATATATACACACACACACACACACACACACACATATATATATATAGATATAGTTTTTAATATATATATATATATATATTTTTATTTTGTACAGAAAGGAAGGGAGAGAGATAGAGAGTTAGAAACATCAATGAGAGAGAATCATCGATCAGCTGCCTCTTGCACACCCCCTACTGGGGATATGCTCGCAACCACCATACCTGCCCTTGACCAGAATCGAACCCGGGACCCTTCAGTCCCCAAGCCGACGCTCTATCCATTGAGCCAAACCGGTCTAGGCTATTTTCTGTTGTTTTTTAATAGTAGACATCATAATGAGTGTGAAGTAGTATCTCATTATAGTTTTGATTTGCATTTCCCTGATAGTGATGTTGAGAAACTTTTCATGTCCTTATTGACCATTCTCATTGACTTATTGAAATACTTCCTTTGGAGAAATGTCTATTCAAGTCCTTTGCCATTTTTGAGTCAGATTGTTTCTTTGTTGTTGTTTTAGGAATTCTCTATATACTCTGTATATTAATCTCTTAAATGATAGTTATAATTATTCTATTATAGTTATTGTTAATCTCTTACTATGCCTAATTTATATATTAAAGTTAATCATAGGTATGCGTATATAGAAAAAAACATAGACTATAGAGAGTTCAGTACTACCTGTGGTTTCAGGAATCCACTGTGGGATATATCCCACATGGATGGGATACTAATGTAATTTCTTTCAGCAATGTTTTGTAGTTTTTATTGTAAAAGTCTCTCACTTTCTTTGTTAAGTTATTCTTAAGGTATTTTCAATATGATTATAAATGAACTTGTTTTTATAATTTCCTTTTCAAATTGTTCATTATTAGTGTATAGAAATGCAACTGATCTTTTTATGTTTTGTTTTGTTATCCTGCTAACTTGTAACATTTATTCATTAGTTTTAACAATTTTTGTGCGGAATTTTTACAGATATATATATGAATATATATATTATATTATATAATATAATATATATATTCATATCTATGAACAAAATAATTTTTTTCTTTCCAATTTAGATGCCTTTTATTTCTTTTTCTTGCTCTGGCTAGAACTTCCATCACTTTGTTGAATAGAAGTGGTGAAAGTGGACATCCTTTCCTTATTCCTAATCTTAGAAGAAAAGCTTTTATTTTTCACCATTAGATATGATGTGCACTACAGGTTTTTAATATATGACTTTTGTTGTGTTGAGGTAGTTTCCATCTGTTTTTGTCAGGCAAAGGTATTTAGTTTTGTCAGATGCTTTTCCTGCATCAATTGAGGTCATCTTGGGGCTTTCCCCCCTTCATTCTGTTACTATGGTGTAATCCATCTAGTTTCAATCCATTGATCTACTTTGCATTCCGGGAACAAACTCCATTTGGTCGTGATGTTTAATCCTCTTAATATGCTGCTTGGTTTTGTTTTGCTTTTTTTTTGTTGAGGATTTTTGCCTCAATGTTCATAAGAGATATGGGTATGTAGTTTTCTTGAAGTGTCTGTCTGGCTTTGGTAACAGTGTGGCTTTAATGGTACTCTCATAAGTGTGGTTACATATCCTTGTATTTGTTTATAGGTCATTTAATTTCTTATTCTGTGAAATACTTGTTCATCTTTTTTGCCTTAGGAAGCTTTTAAAAATTATAAACTTCCTAGGCCCACCCAGATCTACTGATGACAATCTTGGGGGTGCTCCCTAGGGGATCCTTATGTACCAGCCTGGAAGAGGACTTGGGGTTGGGAACCATGGCTGTAGTGTTCTGAGCTAGGAGTCCTGAAAAAGCCAGGTCTGTGGTCCTGTGGTGTGACCTGCCTGTACTATCAATAAGTTACGTGCTACCCTGTCTCCTTCTCTCACATATGGAAGCTTTCGGACCTCAACCGCTGGTTGGCGACTGCTGGCCTAGAATGTAGTCACTAGAGGATCAATGAAGTCCACTTAATTATCATATCCTGTGTTTGACCTGATATGTCCCAGGTCCCAGTGACTGCATCTAGCCAGTTCCCAGAGGCTCTGGCTCCCTGTTTGGACTCTGTGTTGTTCTCGGTGTCACTGACTAGCGTTTCCCACTCTCCCTCCAGTTCCAGAGCACATTCCCAGCCCAGTCAGGTCTGACCAGGAGGGTCCACGTGAAAGGCAGAGCCCCGAGCACCAGAGAGACTCGGGAGCAAGAGTGACTCCACCGGGAACAAGCGCGGGTGAGTGAGGGCCGCCAGGTGGCAGTGTGACCGGCATCCCAGCGACAGTGCCAGCCAGCGGCACTGCGAAGAGGGTGGGGGAATGGCTGGGACTGCCTGAGCTGAGTGGGACAGGCGTCCTAGAAAAGGTGCCCCTGAGATGAGCCACAGAAGAAGTCAGTTTTGCTGGGAATGGCATTTCAGCAGGAGAAAAGAGTCTGAGCAAAGGTGTGCGTTCCTCAGGTGTGCTGGGGGCCGGACACACTGGTCTGTCTGGAGTGAGGAGAAAGGCACAAGAGGGCAGGTGACAAGCTGCTTACAGGGGGCTCATGGAGGGAGGTATGTGTCACACACCTCGCATGGGGCCAGCCTGTGTGCTCGTCAGCACCTATCGTCTTTCTGAAGGCCTGTGAGGAGCTCTGTGGCCTTAGTCACCCTTTCCAGTGTTCCCTGCCTGCTTCTTTTAGAGGAAACTCCTGCCATCCTTTCCCAAAAATGAAGTATAATTCAGAGGGCATTAGCCTGATGCCTGCCAGATAACTCAGAGCCATTTTCTTTTTTCTTTTTTCTTCTTTTTTTGTTGATATTTTACAGAGAGGAAGAGGGAGGGATAGAGAGTTAGAAACATCGATGAGAGAGAATCATTGATCAGCTGCCTCTTGCACACCCCCTACTGGGGATGCACCCGCAACCAAGGTACATGCCTCTGACTGGAATTGAACCCGGATCCTTTCAGTCCACAGGCTGACGCTCTATCCACTAAGCCAAACCAGTTTCGGCTCAGAGCCATTTTTAGATGGCGCTTTGCTGCCTTGGCTTTCTCTGTGCCTCCTTCTTCCTGCTGGCCTGGCTGGTCAGACTCGGGGTTCTTTCTCTCCAGTTACTTTGTGCATCTCTCACACTGAACATGGCCGCCTCTCCCTTCCCTGTTCCCCTCCTTCCTGGCCACTGACTGAGTAAGGAGAGGTAGGACCCTCTCATGGTCCCTGTCTATTGCAGACATGGCACAGTGCCCCAGGGGCCTCCCCAACCCTTCTGTCCTTTTTAGAGGCCCAACAGAGTGACACTCAGAGGCCAAGGGACCAGTTGTTGGCCCTGGGGAGCATGGGGCCCCTCTTCCTGGCAGGTGCTGGAGCATCTCCTGCTGGGAAATGGCTGTGCCACCTTGCAGGAGCCTCACAGGATTCTCTCCCACAGGGCCCCCAGCCAGAGCCAGCGTTTTGTCCACAATTAAACAGGAGGAAGATTCTTCAGATGGGGAGTCCCCTATCTCCCCTCCTAGGAGCATCCTGCCCAGCGTGGGTCTAGGTGAGTGAAGGGAGAAAACCCTGTGGCCACGCAGAGCCTCCGAGGAGCTCGGAGTCCCTTTGGCATGATGGGACCTGCTAGGTTTCCTCCTGAGGGTCTCTCATCCCCTAGGTTTTACATCCTGGGGGCTCTGGGGACCCAGAGCCTCTGTGGTCTGGTCTTCCCTCGCTGTGGGCCGCCTGGCTGGAAAGTGCTGCTTGGAAACGAGCTGCATGTCGGCAGGTTTGTGGTCAGGTGACAGAAAAGCCTCATGGTCATCTAGACATGACCCAGGTCACAGCCTCCAGGATCTTACAGCTTGTGTGCGATTTAAATTTAGTCTATGTACTTTCAGTAAACTGGCTGACCCTGTGGTGAACAAGAAAAAGAAAGTGATTGTTGCCTATTCTGGCCTTGGGGCAGATGGTTCTGTAGCTGTAGGACTAAGTTAATGCCAGTGGATTATTTCTAGCAGCAGTGAAGTTCTGTCCTGAGATGTCGGTGAGGGTTATGGGGGAGCTTCAGGGAGCAGAGCGCCTCAGGGCTTACATCGAGTGCTGTCCCTGGAGGCCCACCATGGAAGGGTTCCTGAGGGCACTGGCGTGGCTTGTGGTTTAAGTTCAAGCTTCAGCAAGAATAGAAATTTCTCTGGTCCTGGATCTGGGAAGTTGCTTGTTAAGGGCTGAAGATTTTCATTTTAATGTGCAGAGGTCAGGGTTCACAGTCACCCTTTGAGCAGACCTTGAGGTCTAGCAGCTGAGGCCACCAGGTGCTGGGGGAGAGTAGAAAAGAGCGGTGGGGCTGACTGCAGAGCAGACCAGAGGTGAACACAGTGGGAGGATTGAAGGACGCAGTGTGCCAGGCAGGGCTCAGTAGCCAGCACACTCCTTACCACCATTAGGGACCCCTGGGTCCTGTTCCCCCAGACCCACCCTGAAGCTCTTCTGCCTAAGTCCCGTCTGAGCCACACTGAGGCCCCACCGAGAAGCCCAGATCCTCTTGCCTCCTGCCTGGCACCCGTGTGTCACCCAGATCACAGGCGCTCCGTGCTCTCAGTGTGGCTGGGGCATACGGCACCTCGCGCCCTGAGGCCTTTGACCTAGCCAGGAGGTAGCCAGGGCCCATAAGGCTAATGGTCTTTCAAAGACAGAGACTAAAGTCATTCGAACTCCTGGGGTCCTGCACGGCCAGCCAATCCCAGGGTTCAGGGCCGCTGCCTGTCTTTTCCCTCTTCATTTTCCCACCTATCTGCCTCCCACTCCCTGGTCTTCAGCTCTGTCTCCTCTTTCCTGACATTCTGGCTTGGCCTGCAGGCATGGGCCAAGTGACCAGCAGACCGGGTGGCATGAGGAGGCAGCCCCGTGGGTGGGGCTGAGCGGAAGGGCGCCTGCCCCCTGTGGTGAGTCCTGCAGGGGAAAGTTCAGGAAGGCAGGAGGGGGTGCCTGTGAGCTGTGCCAGGAAGGCCGGCCGGGGCAGGGTGGGGGGTGATCCACAGGATATCCACGGAGATTCCTTTCGGCAGGTGGTGCTGCCGGTCTGGTCATCAAGACAGAAGCAGAGTCTGAGGACGAGATGATGCCGGAGCAGCTCTTCCTGGGGAAGCCCCCCGGCCAGGCCCAGAGCACAGCCCCCCAGGGGCCCAACAGCAGGAACGGGGGTCCCCGCCAGCTTCTTGCCCAGGGAGTGCCCAGGGTACGGGCCGGGGACCCGCAGCCTCGGCCCGCAGGGGCGGCGGGCGAGGTGCCCCGCACCCTCCCTCGCCGGCGGGAGCGGACGTTCCCCTGCCCCGACTGCGGGCAGAGCTTCCGCCTGAAGATCAACCTGACCATCCACCAGCGCACCCACGTGGAGGAGCGGCAGCGCCAGGCGCGGGCCAGCTCGCCCAGCGAATGGGGGGAGGCGCCCTCGGCGCTGGAGCCCGGGGAGGTGGTGGTGTCCGGGCCCGTCATCCGCTGGCTCCCCGAGGAGCCCCCGGGCCGCCGCGCCCTGGCCGGCCGGGCCTTCGCGGGGCGGCGGCCGGCGGCCAAGCTGTACCACTGCAGCGAGTGCCTGTGCTTCTTCCAGCGCCGCAAGAGCCTGCTGCTGCACCAGCGGCTGCACACGGGCAACGGCCAGGGCTGGCCGGCCTGCCCCTACTGCGGCAAGGCCTTCCGCCGGCCCTCCGACCTCTTCCGCCACCAGCGCATCCACACCGGCGAGCGGCCCTACCAGTGCCCGCAGTGCGGCCGCGCCTTCAACCGCAACCACCACCTCACCATCCACATGCAGACCCACGCGCGCGGCCAGGCCTGCGCCTCGCCCCGCGCCTGCCCCGGGAGCCCGCCGCGGCCCCCGCCCGGCCACGCGGAGGAGGGCTGACCCGGCAGGAGCCCAGGCCCCGGCAGGTGCCTCTCTCCGCCTGTTGGGCCTGATGCTGGTTCCTAGTTCTGGGATGGCTTTGGAGAGATTTTTTTTTTTTTTTCTTATTCAAATGGGAAGCAGCAGCCTTCTTGGTGACAGTGTATGAGGGCGACAGTTGCCTCCATTTCCTGTTCCTCGGTTGGTCACTCTTCGCTGCCTGTTCTACATTCCTGAGTTATAAAGGACCCCCTAAGGCTTAGGGGTGCCGTGTTTTGGGTGGGGGCCTTTGCAGATTCCGTGGACAGCACGTGGACCAGGGACCACGGTTCTTTCAGTAGCGGTGATGGGAACATTGAGGTGCTGGGTGTTGACTGTGCACAGAGGACTGGGGCCTGCTGCACAGGAGAAGCAGCGGAGCAGACAGGAAGCCTGAAGAACAGGCCCTGGAAACTAGGCTTTTCTACTTTGTTACTTTGAAACTTTTTTTCTCCTTACGAAGCTTTTCTGGTGCTTTTGTAAGAGTTGTGTGTGGTTGCCAAGGGGACCACAAGCCTCTGGGGGCCAGGACTGTTCTGCCACCTGCCTGTGTGTGGGGACCATAGAGCGCAGCCCAGACCAGCCTCGGCGTTGATGGGACGCTCTGGTTGCTGCCCTGGAAACCAGGTGTCTGCTTGTCGGCCCAGAGTGATTCCGTTGTTCCTGGCCTTCCTGTATGGGGGTGATTGACTTTGGTTAGCGGTAGAGAAGTGGGCACTGAAGCCCAGAGTGGATGACTTCCCCGGCGTCTCCGTGTTCCAGGCTGTGCATGCTCCATGCCCACAGGTCGCCACAAGGGGGAGCCTCAGGAAGAAGCCCAGGAAGCTCCTCCTGAGCAAGAGGTCCAGGTTTGGGTGAGGCTGGTCTGCCGCCTGGGTGGTTTGTCATGTTAAAGGAGGGAGGCATGTCTCCGAGAATGAGGGTCTTCTGCAGAGCTAGACCAGGAGATCTGGATGAATGTGTTCACCACCACCAGCCAGCCTGGTGTTCCTCACTTACCCCAGCGCAGCCTACCTCACCTTAGGGTTGTCAGGGTCGTACTAGATTAAGAGGCAACCAAATAGGAAGCCTGATCGCTTCCTTCCTTTCACGTTCGGGGCTGTGTCTCTCTTCTTTGTTGACCTCCAGCCCATTCTCTCAGAGTCCACCAGGAAGAGCCTTTATTTTTGTGAAGTGAGTGGAAGGTCAGGTAGGTGCTGAGCGGGGTGACTTTTTCATTGGTTATATCCCCCGGAGCGCTTTGTGTTTCAGTGAGACAAATTCTTACCAAATCAGAGAGTCAAACTGTGAATGCTCAGGCATTGGCATCAGGCTCATGGAGAAGTCTTAAATCCTCCTCCTCTGGGTGCTGCCTACGGACCAGCCCTCAGGTTGGGTGATTTTGAAGCTTGGGCGATGGGTCCTCAGCTGTTCTGACAGTCTTATTTGTCTGGCACTATGTGAAGAGGATTGCATCCAGGTGCCTGGGTCCCTGGCTGTGCCCCCTCTGACTGCACATGAACAGAGTTTGGGGCAGGTGGTAATATTGCCATCATCTCTGGGGCACGAATGAGTCTACAAGTCAGTGCCAGCTCATCCAAGCACCTCTGGGAAAAGAGGTGCCCACTGTTTGTCTATTCTGGTACCCCTCCGCCCCCTCTGGGGACCCCACAAGTCTGGGCAAGGCTGTCAGCAAGTGCTCAAACGGAATATGGTGCCAGTGTAACTGCTCTGATCTTAACCCTCAGCTGCAAGAGCTGGTCTCAGGTGTTTCCTGGGGATGCCTAGGGCTAAGAGTTCCGAGGCCCGGTTTGCTAGCTAAATGTCCTGTGTCAATACAGGCACTCCTAGAAGCCACACATGAGCAATCGCAAGGCACTGATGTCCCCCTTTCTCTTTCCAAAGCAGTAAACGTGCTGGGCCCCCGTCAAGGCCTTGTGAGTGCTGACACCCAATAGGTGTTCAAAGAAAGTCCGCGCTTCAAAACGAGTCAGGGGAGCCTGAGTGTGGCAGGAGCAGATTGGACCTCTGGGACTCCAGAGGCTGGAGCCTGGTGTGGCCTTACACTCACTCCCAGCTCTGGGCCGTGGCCTCCTTGTTTGTAAAACAAAGGAAGGTGGAATGCTGGTGTTCAAGGACCTGAAGAACTGATGGTGGCAGTTCCTTGCCTCAGTCTCGAGTCAATAAATATATTGGACTAATAGGGTGTGTGCACCTGACCTGGTTCCTGCTCTCTAGTAGACACCTGCCACACGGGGCAGTCTCTGGGCGGGCTGCTCCGCATTAGCTCAGGGACTCTGCTGCTGCTCGCACCTGCCAAGTTTCCCACAGCACACCGCGGGGTGTGTGTGTGTGTGTGTGTGTGTGTGTGTGTGTGTGTGCGCGCTCTGGAACACACAGACTGAAATAGCAGTTGGTGTGCATCGGTGCCCTGGGAGGTTTTCAGGACTCAGGTTTCTCACCTGTCCCCTGCTGGGCTGTGTCCCTGGGCGAAGTGGTTTGTTAAGTAATTGACTGAGCTCATATCACTGTGTGTGGTATAGCTGGTATTCAAACCCTGTACACTCTTCACTTATTATGGTAATGCTTTGTTCATCTCATATTGCTCCTGGGTCTTGGTTCAAGATTCTTCCCCTAGGGGCCCTGTGGGGTCCAGCATCTGCTGTCTTTGACAGTCTTCCAGGGAGGCTCTGTTTGGGGGGCTGACCAATGAGGCCTTTGGGTGCCTGGAAGAAGTTTCCCCCTATCCCAGAGCCTCCTGACCTTCCTGTAGCTGGAAATGGCTCTGGACCCCTCTCCTGATGGCTGACTCGCCTCCTTCTGTCTAATACGGGAATAGCATATGGGGAGGCTCACATCCAATCTGCTGAGCCCTCCCTCTGGCCATCTTGGCTTCCATTCAGTCCACGGAGAGAAGAATTCCCAGGCAGTCTGACTAACGAGCTTAGAAGCCTGGCAGACAATGTTGCTGGATACTTCTTAAGCTAAACCAGAATATTCGATGTCTAACCTCATATCCAACCATCCAGGTCCCTAGCTTTCACTACTCCTCCCTTCTTTTTCCCTCCCACTTTAACTGCAGAACAATCTCAGTCACTCAGCTGTCACCCCTTACTGGTAGCGCCATGTCCATTTTCCCCTTGAGAGGGAGTTGGGCTGGTTCACCTTTTTCCTCCACCACATTGATCAGCTTGAGTGGATGAAAGGGGTTGAGTGAGTGAAGCGGATAGTGGAGAGGGAGAAAGGGGCCTTCTGTCTCAGGGTGTGGTGTCCTGGCCAGACCTGCTCCTCTACCCACGTAGACTTTACTGCCCCCGAGTGGCTAGTAGGAGAGGCCAGAGGGGACGAGGGCTCTCTTAGGCTGGGAAGCAATGACTGCCCACTGTAGGGCCAACAGAACTGGAAGGCACAGGAAAGTGGGGCCAGAGAGAGAAGAAAAAAACAGAAGCAGAAGGATGAGTCTGGTACATGGAAGGTGGTCAGCAGGTGTTTAGAGGTGGACCAGCGAGCGAGTGATGACAGAGCCAGGGTGTCATAGGGCAGGCTGCCTGCTCCCAGAAGCTGGACTGTAGGAGGCCAGAGGTAGGAGTCAGGTGCACAGTTGAAGAGGTATAATTAAGGTTCATAAGCAGGCTTGGGGGTATAGCTCAGCGGTAGAGCATTTGACTGCAGATCAAGAGGTCCCCGGTTCAAGTCCGGGTGCCCCCTTCCTCAACTCATTTTTAGTGTGAAGTGCTAAATAAAGAAGCAAACGATTGCTCTTGTGACCCATATTGGCCCCTGGCCCCCTGCGACCCCTCATTCCCCATATTGACTGCCCTGTTCTAGGGCCCGTATTGTGCTCCGGTGCTCCCTGGGCCTGGGTTCTGTTCCGGCCAAAACTGCGCTAGAATCAGACAACACTAGGGTGGCTGTGAGAATTAATCAAAGGAGGTTATGGCTTGTCATGCTGTGTGACAATGGCCAAGTCCCACTCCTGCCTTAGCAGGAAGCCAAAATGGTCCCCGGGTCAATGAGCACACATGAGTGACATCACCTGAAGCCTTCCTGAGCTTTTCCCTTTGTTGTTCTTCCTCCCTTGGCCTGCAATCCTCACCAGCTGCTTCTGGCAAACCCCTCCTTGTCCGTCGCCCCCAGGAAGCCCTGTCTGACTCCCCAGGCAGAGGAGCACCTCATTCCTTCTCCCGCGGCTCTCTTCTCGGGCTCCTGCCACTCCTGTGCAAAGTCTTTGGTTCATGATTTTGTTTCCTATTGGAACAGGACAATGTTTTAAGCCCTCAATATGGTTGACAGGACCTGGTACCTCACATGTTCTGCGTTTGTTGAGTGAGTGACTGACTGAACGAGTGGACCAATGAGCACCCTTCTTGAGACCTTAGAATAGGGAGAAGGCTCTCCCTCCACTGAGTGTGAGGTTCAGTGAGGTCCTGGAACTCACCATGATCGTTCTGATAAGTATGTGCTGGTTTCGGTAGAAACACTAGTGTAGTCTCAAATGGCCTTTCCAGGTGTAAAGGCTGGTGCCATTGCCACAACCAGAGGAAGATGAGCGCTGAAGACTAGACAGTGGACTCAGTGAGGGACTTGCCATGCTCTGGGACATGCAGAAAATCAGTGACCTGCAGGCAGGCAGCTATCCTGAATGCAGTGTCACAGGTGAAAAGGTGCTAATGAAAGATTATATGTAAGTGGGGGTATAGCTCAGTGGTAGAGCATTTGACTGCAGATCAAGAGGTCCCTGGTTCAAATCCAGGTGCCCCCTATTTCTTTGACCACTTTAGTTACTCAAGCTGGTGCTGAAATTTCTGCCTTTTCTTTTCACATTGGACTATTAAATGTGGTAAAATTTAGGATTTGGATTGGCACCAGCTCCATGTGTCCTCCCCTGACCACCTACTGTGATCACATCAAACTGAAGAGACTGATGAAGTGAGCCCAAACCACCAGGACCCGGATGCTGGTCCTTCATGGCTTGTGTAAGGAATTTCCCTTTTTTTCATTAGTACCTTCATTTCCTCAACCTCCTGAAAGAAGGCTGATCCCTTATTTTTGTTGATACCACTTGTGAAGTATGGAAATACATCTTCCTACTTACCAGTGGTGACTATAAGGGTTTAATAACCATTTCAAAAGTCAAGGCTGTAGCCCTGCCAGAGTTGCTCAGTGATGAGTGTCAGCCCATGAACCAGGAAGTCACGGTTTGATTCCAGGTCAGGGCATATGCCCAGATTGTGGGCTCCATCCCTGGTAGGGGGCATGCAGGAGGTAGCCATTCAACGGTTCCCTAATCATTGATGTTTCTATCTCTCCTCCCTCTGAAATCAATAAAAACATCATTTTTAAAAATATATATTTTATTGTTTTTTTACAGAGAGGGATAGAGAGCTAGAAACATCGATGAGAGAGAATCATCAATCAGCTGCCTCTTGCACACCCCCTACTGGGGATGTGCCCACAACCAAGGTACATGCCCTTGACTGGAATCGAACCTGGGACCCCCCAGTCCACAGACCAACGCTCCATCCACTGAACCAAACCGGTTTAGGCAAAACATAATTTTTAAAAATAAAGGTTCTGTCCTCTTTCTGGAAATTTCTCAGGGGAGTTGTCACTACCACAGACTTGACCACCTGACTCTCTCATCCACTTCCTTTTTCTCCTACCACTTTTTCTTTTTTACTCTAGGTTAGTATTTCCTTGGTGAAATTGCCTACTTTATATAATGATTTTTTAATTCAAACAATATATTGAAGACATATAAATGGTATAAAGAATCCTGCAAAAGAGTCTCCATGTTCCTTAGTGAACAAGGTCATTTGAAGCAATATTTCCTACAACGACAAATCATAAGCTGGGAAAATATTTTAAACATCTCGTTAAAAACATCAAAGAGCTAGCTAGCTAGACAGGAAATACGGGGTGGAAAGGTTGGGAGACAGGAAGTTAAAGTTCCACACCCGAGCCCGCTTTGTGCCTGAGGGTGGTGTTCAGTCGGTGGAACTTTTGGAAGCCTCTCAGGAATTTGGAGGGGAGAAGTCAGAATTCAGGGTCACCTCGAGTAGGGACACTGGTGAAACTCTCTCTGGCTTTGGGCTAGCACCCTGTGGAGTAGGGTGAACTGAGAGAAATCAGCCACTATAAGAATTTGTAGCTGGTCTTTGTGTCATCTGAATGGCCCAAAAAGTTGAAGTTATATTGAAGTATCTTGACTGCTAGTGTCCACGGGTAACTGAAAAAACAACAACAAGAATGAAGGATTATATTATCTTTACCCAGCCTAAGATTCTACAAATAAAGTTTTGAATCAAATGTTTAATGCATAGCCAAAGATCACTATGTACACAGGGAAGAAAAAACCATCCATGAAAATCAATAGAAACAATAGACCACAGATCTAAACAGGAAACTTTTTTTTAATTTTTATTTCTATTGATTTCAGAGAGAGAGAAACATCAATGGTGAGAGAGAACCACCATAGGTCAATGCTCAACCACTGAGCCACACTGGCCAGGTGGAACTTTTTATATTAGAACTACTGAAAACACACTGTAAAATAACAATTTTGCTGTGTTCAAGGAGCTAAAAGCCAGGCTGGAAAATTTCAGAGTAAACTTGAAAGCATTTTAGGGAACTAATCCCAGCCCAGTATTGCTCAGTGGTTGAGCATCATCCTATGACCAGGAAGTCTCAGCAGTTAAAGGGTTGACTGTATGGAGATTCAGGCCCGGGGTGGGGTGAGCATTGGGCAGAGAGCTCTGATCTGTGTAGCCAGTCAAGTGTGTTCTCTCTTTGAAGTGCTCCGTGCTTGGTCAGGCCATGAGGCATTTTGAGTCTGTTTTTAGATGCTCTGCACAAAAACTACTATGTAGATGTGAGTGTGGATCCTTCCAGCTGTCAGGGAGGGCTCCCCATATTACTGCTCTCCTCTAGGGATGAGGTGGAGAGGTTGTGGAGCTGTGGGAGGAGGGAACCTGTTGTTTCTTCTAATGTGGAAAGGTGAGTTAGCATAAAGCAGGTCTGGCAACTCAGCCAAGCTATGTGGACGGAGTGTCTGGACAGAAGCTCTGGGTGTGGCCACACAGGGAAAGGGTGTTTATTGGGCATCACTGGTATGGCAGGGGGTATAGCTCAGGGGTAGAGCATTTGACTGCAGATCAAGAGGTCCCCAGTTCAAATCTGGGTGCCCCCTAGCATTTTAGTCTC